CTATTGGATTTTGACTTGCTGCAAATGTCGCACTCTCTTACCACTGTCTCTACCTGCTTCCTCATACCTGGGAAGTAGTAGTGTCGAGTGATTCGTTCGAAGGTTCGTGTTACTCCCTGATGACCGTGTGCTGGTAACGAGTGTTGTTCTTGCACCAGTGGGCGTCTCATTTGACTTGGGACATACACTAACCCTTTGTATCGAATCAATCCTTGTTCGTCGATGGCGAAGTCGCCTTCGACTTTGGACAAGACTCGCTTGGCGCATTCGTCTGTTGCGTAAGCTTTCTTGAGTCTTTCCTCGAGTTCTGTATCTTCGATGACTGAGATCGTCGCTAGTAACTCGTTGTACTGTATTCCTGCATCTGTTTTCTTCAGAATTGCTCTAGGTCTTTCTTCCTTTGGGCCGGCGTAGTCGGTCCGTCTGCTGAGAGCGTCTGCTCTTGCATTCTCGGAGCCCTTGCGATAGGTTATCGTGAAGTTGTAGGCTGCGAGGGTTTCTGCCCAGCGGACTTGTCTGCGGTTTAAAACCTTGGTCGTGGTGAAGTATATGAGGTTCTTGTGATCCGTCCATACCTGCACAGGGTAGGTGGATCCCTCAAGATATACTCGCCACTGCTCAAAGGCAACGACAATAGCCAGTAGCTCCTTGTCGTGGATGTCGTAATTGAGTTCCGCGGGTGACAGTTTCCTAGAGTAGTACGCGATTGGTTTGAACTTACCGTTCTCGTCTGGTTGATTCAGACATGCTCCAATTGCGAAGTCAGAAGAGTCCGTTTCGAGGATGATCTTCTTTGCAGGGTCAAATGTAGCAAGGATAGGTGCTTCCGTGAACTTCGTCTTAAGTTCCTGGAAAGCAGCCTCTGCCTTGTCCGTCCATTTGAATTCGAGATCCTTTCTGGTAAGCTCCGTGAGTGGTTGAGCTACCTTGGAATATCCCGAGATGAATCTTCGGTAGAAGTTGGCGAAGCCTAGGAAGGCTTGCACTTCCTTGACCGTGGTCGGTGTTGGCCATTCCAACACTGCCGTTACTTTTGCTTGGTCCATCTTGATGCCATGCGTTCCAATAATGTAACCCAAGAATTCGACTTGGTTTTTATGGAACTCGCACTTCTCTGGTTTGAGGAGTAAGCTGTACTCCTTTAGTTTCTTCAGGACGAGTTTGACATGCTTGACATGCTCCTCCTTGGTTGCTGAATACACCAGGACATCGTCTAGGTAGACAATGGTAAAGATGTCTAAGTATTCGTGCAAAGCATCATTCATCAGTCGTTGCATAGATGCGGGTGCGTTTGTTAGCCCAAAGGGCATGACTTGATACTCGAATAGGCCATAGCGGGTGCGGAATGCTGTTTTCCACTCTTCCCCAGCCTTGATTCGGATCAGGTTGTATGCTCCTCGCAGATCTAGCTTACTGAAGATCTTTGCTCCTTGAAATCTATCGTGTAGTTCGTTGATTAACGGCAGGGCATACCTGTCCTTGATTGTGATGTTGTTCAACGCTCGATAGTCCACACATAACCGTAGGGAGCCATCTTTCTTTGGTACGAAAAGCACCGGACTTCCTGCTGGTGATGTGGATGGTCTGATGAATCCTTTCGCTAGGTTATCATCGATGTACTCCTTAAGTACCTTCAGCTCCTTTTCCGATAGCTGATATATTGGTCCGAACGGTGGACTCTTGTCTTTCTCCAAAGGTATCTCGTGATCCCATGGTTGGTGCTTAGGAAGCGCCTCGTTCTTAGGGCCTTCCTGGAATAATTGCTCGTATTCCTTGTACTCCACCGGTATACTCGTCGGTGAGGATGCCTGGGCTAGGTCATCGAGCTCGGAGGTTGCACATAACTCCTTCCGGCCCTGGGAGGGTTTCTCCCGTTGTCGCGTGTCCGTCCGTTGTTCACACGCGCACTGGCTCATCACAACTTTCTCGTTCCACCAGTCGATCTGGGGGTTGTGTTTCTTGAGCCATGGCACACCAAGGATGCACGCATGGTTGTCCATGTGCACGATGTCAAACTGAATCGTTTCCTTGTGCCCGTGTAGCATGACCATTTCCAATGGGACCGTTTCGTGGGTCACCATTCCTTCATTAGTCGAGATGGGCTCTCCATCTACGACCATTAACGGGTATGGTTCGGTTTTCAATTGCGTCTTGAAACCTTGCGTGTCTGCTACTTTCTTTGTCATAAAGTTGCCCGTCGCTCCTGAGTCAATCATTGCTCGGAGGTGTCGCTGTTGTATCTTAGCGACCACATATAGTTGCATGCTGCCCGTCGTGGCGCATAGCTGGTCTGTACTAGGCCTCTTCATGTCGCTCGCCGGTGGCCTACCGTCGAGGACTCCTAGTTTTTTGACTCGTCCGAGGAAGGATAGTATTCATCCGCTTCCAATGGTGGTCCTTGGGGAGATCGTTTCCCTCGCTCTTCTGCTTCGTCTAGCAGATGTGGGTATTTCTTGTATACCTGTTCGCTTTTGATAGGCAAGTCCCCTTCAGACTGGCTTCGCCTGAGGGCGTGAACTTGCTCTGCGTCTCTGAAGTGTATCCTGGGCGAGGATCGGGGAAACAACTGATTCTGGTGTTTCTTTTTCCAGTGGAGCTTGCAATCATCTTCGCTGCAATACTCCCAGTAGACATACGCGTGCCAGGGATGATCAGTCTCTGTTGCGTCTGTCATTGATAGTTCCCGCTGTCCTCTCACCCATGCACTATCTTCCCTCGGAGGCGTGGAGAACGTGTCTAGTTGCTCCATGGCTCTCCTTTCGATGCGTGGAGTGGGTCTCGCATTTTCCCGTCGGAGCATATCTCTGGCTTTCTCGTCGTACTTCTTCAGGGCTCTCCTGCGGTCCTGGTAGTAAATTTCGACGCTTTTCATATACTTCAGTTTAGCCATATGCTCGACATCCTTCTCCAGTTCTTCCGCTTCTTGGGCTTCCAACTTAGCTACGTCTTGGGACGTGCCAAGCAGCCTGCGGGTATTCGTTAGTTGGTCGTAGTATCTCCAGAGGTCATCCTTGCAGTCGTCCACCTTGCATTTTAACGGAAGTCCCTGTAACAGGTTCCCGTAGAGGTCTTTAAGCATGGGGATTCTCCTCTGGCCATTGGGCTTGTCTCGTTCGGCCCTAATCTTCGCGTGGGCGTGTTTTGCCATGCGTCTTACTACGCTCTTGCACCGTGGACTCATTGGTTCCATAGGTGCGAGTTCATCGAAGGTCTCCTGTTCCGAGACGGTGAACGATTCCGCCTCCGACCCTTCATCTGAGCTCTCGTCTTCTGGGGTGCTTTCGCCGTTTATTCCCCAGTCCTGTTTGCTCACAAACGTTGCGTTCAACTGTCCTGTCCAGGTGGCATTGAGTTGTTTGCCGACTTTGCGTCCGCCGTTCCCTTTCTTTGGCTGTCTGCAGTCTCGGGCCATGTGGCCTGGCTTGTCGCAGTTAAAACAGAGTCGTTCCTTGAATTGTCTGTCTTTCTTAGGGTCACGGGGTCGTCCAGGTTTGAACGTGGCATCGAGTTCCATTGGGTCCGACCAACGGTTGTCTCGCGGGTGTTGATCCCGTCGTCTGCCCTCGTTTCCCCGGTAGGGGTAACTTTTCTTGGGCTTGTCATAGGTCCGACGTTCCTTCTGGAATTCGTATAGTCGATTGTCGATTCGGACCGTATGTTCGATTAGCGCTACCATGTCCGTTGGTTGTTGTTCCAAACGGGCAAGTTCCATACGTATATGGCTCTTCAGCCCACGTCGGTAGTGGCTGATGAGTGCGCTGGCATCCCATCCTGTCTGATTGCCGTATCTCTGGAATTCTGTGGAGTATGTGAGGGCGCTGCCAGTCTGCTTAAGTGCAAACAGATGGTCTTCTGCGGTCTTAATCTCATCGATGTCTCCGAACATGCGTCGGATTTCCTTACAGAATCCATTCCAGCTGCCAAACATAGTCTGCGTAGTTGTCATGCTTCCATTGGTACTTTCATATTTGAAATAGTCCTTGAGGAATGGTTCGATCCATCCCAGGGCTTCCCCCCTAAGGTAGGACGCAGTCCACAGGGCATAGCTCTCCTGGGTGGGAAACTTCTCATCATTGAAGTGCTGGTACAGTTCGACCTGTAGCAAAAACACCTCAAGTTCCTTTCGGTTGCCGGAGTAAGTGTCGGGCAACTTGACGCGTAGAGTTTCCTTGAGTTCGTTGACGGTGGGTGCATCGGGCATCTCTTCATTCTCAGGCTTAGACCTCTGAGACGAAGTTGGCGTGGTGGGGGTTTTCCCCTTCGAACTGACGACAGACATGTTGCTTTGTGTGTAAGCCGGTACCTCGTAGAAGTGGTGCTCAAAGTGTAACGCTGACTTCTAAACGATAGAAGACACAGAGGTTCTCTTGCGTAAAGGTTTACTTATCAGAGGAGGCAGGGGATCAGACACAAAGGCTTCAAGTAACACGTTACTAGTATATAACAAATACTGTATTGAGTTGAGCACGAAGCTCCTATCTAAGGAAATACTATCTACTTATATAGTGGCGTCGTGCCTAGTGGACTCTTGGGAACTCACTCGAGTCCTCGGAGTCCTGGACTCTTAGGACTCTTCTCATCATCCTGCGAGTCCATCACGTGATACTTTCGGAACTACTATTCCCCGCTGCCCCTCCAGGTACCAGGGCCGGTCTCATGCGACCTCCCTCCTTCCTGTCCTGTAGTTGGCCAGCCTTCTTGTTCCGTCGTAACATTTGGCCCATGTTGTTTGAAAATGACTTTGGCTTCCTTTTGTCTTCCCAAAACGAGGACTCCATGCTCGAGGAAGAGCGGCGACTGAAGTACAAGGGTACTGCGCGCATCAGTCTTGCGTGCTCTTTTTCCGCCAAGATCAGCCACGTGAATACAGCAAGAGACAAGCGGACTTCCTGGTGGATTGTTTTCAGAAGGAAGGATGTCATCGAGTGCCTCTCTGCAATCACGTCCCTGTGATCATCAACCAGGAAAGCCTCGATGCCGCATTGCAGCGGTTGGGGAGGATGGCAGACGACTTGCTGACTAATGATGAGGTGCCCGACTATCCCCTGCTAGAATTTCCGACCGGCTTCCATCTTGAGTGTCTCCACGGCCGGCACAGGATCGAAGCTGGGTGCGAATTTCTCCATCCTGGGGACGATTGGTGGACGGTTGATCTGTACCTCGCAGGTAAGATCGAGGCCTTCTCACATATGGGTCGTGCTAATGTGTGACTACCTAGACCTGAACGTCGACCTAAAGACATGCCTCGTTGAAGAATATGCCAACGAGGAGAAGCCCTCCGATGGCGAGATTTACTACAAGATGCGGCGCTACCATTTCCAGCAGAATTTCAGCTTTGAAATGCGGTGGAAGGCGTGCCTGCGAGGCGAGCGGAAGGAGTACCTGCTGACGCTCACCCGTAATGAAGCACTGACGGCAGCATTCGATGACTTGCTGGACATTCCAGGTCTCTGGGGCGGGATGAAGATGACTACGCTGCACAAAGTGATGGCTCTGAAGTATGATACGGTAGGCAGAGGGCTGGCATGGATGATTGATTTTGGCCGATTTCTCGCGGTACAGGAACTTTTACACTACCTTCGCCGCATCAAGCAGGTCTGGTCCGATCTTGTACGTGGCAATAAGGCTGCTATGGGGAAGATTGATCAAGCGACAGTGAAGGCTTTAGAGCTGAAGGCACCATGAGCGTCAACAGCGGACGCGGAGTTCCTCCGCATTCGAGTGCGTGGGGGGGAGGTATTCAGCGCTTTCGACGACAGCGAGCGCGACGATATCTGGAGCTGGCTAAAGTGCGTTGAGGGCCTAATTCCATTTCTCGCGACCTTCTTCAAAGACATCGGGTACTTGGAGCGCCTCGCCAACTGCGTCAAGCAGCTAACGGGCGACAATGTCCAGATCTCTCATGCCTTCAAGCAACTATTCTCCCCTGTTGATCAAGAGGACGGCCGCGTTCGGATCATGGATGGCCAGGCTAAGATTCAGGTCGCCGAGAATGCTTTTGTGTACGGGCAGGGGACGCGTGGAGACCAAGTCGATCTCGGGTACCGGCAGATCATTGCGTATGCCATGCGGCACTTCGCGGATATGCCAAAGGAACCAGTGAAGGAGGGCCACGTGATGCAGCCTGCAGCGATGGCAGATCGAGCTGTCCTCCGCCGCTTTGCTGACTTGGCAGACCAGCTGGGGTTTACCAGTACCAGGATAAAGCATTTGCAGCAGTATCCAGCTGCACTCGCCTAGCAAACCCCACCATCGGAGCATCCTCCCCTCGTTATGTCGGGATGCGGAGTAGAGATAGCTCGTAGATGCGGCACACCACTCAGGCTGAAATTCAACGAGGACCGGAAATTCTGGTTTATCAATCACCTCCATGACGAGAGTGACCAGCAAGGCAAAGGTGTAATGGTGGGTGCACCAGATGTGAGAATCTAGCCACCCAAGGAAGGGATGAATTTACTAAGACAACACACTGTCTTAGAAAACAGAGCCAAAGGGTCGTAGCTTAGACTATTCCACAACGCAGCAATCAGGTGTGTGATGTAGTGAAGTGGTTCAGACAAGTTGCAACAAATGTTGAGTCTGAGAACTCAGGGATAAGTCAGAGGTTAACACCTCACTGACTTTTCAGAAACAAGGAGTAACAAGATCAATGCTTGGAAGCTTGGAAAAGACGTGGAAGTATGTGATAGTCGATTTACTGTATTGTCTGCTTGCCCTTTCTTAAGGAAAGGGCAATCCTATTTATGCTAAAGGAATGTAGTTCTCTCATTTTCCAAGACTTTCCATGACTTACCAGGCTTGGTAACTGTAGTCGATGTAAGAGAATCCCATAGAACCATCTCTTAGGTTCGTAGCCTATAGGAAGTAAAAGGAGGTCCAAGGTCAGAGTACCCCTATAGACAAATTATGTCATAGACAAATTATGTCATAGACAAATTATGTCATAACTTAACCAATCTTGTGGGTAACTAAAGAGCGATGACATGTAATGAATCATAGAGGTTTGTAGGAGCTTTTAGAGCTATCGTTCATGCTCCTAGGCCTCTAGTTGGTAGAGATATGTCATGTGGTAGTATGAGTGATGTCATGTAATGAATCATAGAGGGTTGTAGAGATATGCTATGTGGTAATATCGGCCCAGTAACTAAGGAGCGATGACGTGTAATGAATCATAGATGGTTGTAGCAATCGTTGAGTAGTATTGCTCTTGTTGTTGGTGTGATAAGCCAAAATATGTATAGTGACTTGTAGGTTTGAGGAGGAGATTTCCAAGTTTGCTCTTGAGTTTGATAGCAAACTGAGTGCAACGAATGTCAGTATGACAAAAGGCATCACAAACTTCTTCGTCCGAAAACAGGTTTATCTCGCCTTCTTTGGCTGGCCGACCTGGAGACCTACTGGCCAGGGTGGTAGCCATGGCCGCTCTCCATCTCTCTCTCCTGTTCCAGACTTCAGAGATTTACCTCATGGCCCAAGCCTTGATGCTCAACAGCACACGGTCGGGTCCCGAACGGACTGGCCACCTAGTGCGCTAGAACCTGCAGAAGATGACGGGGGCCTGTTTGTCCCAGAAGCAGGTCCAAGCCAAACCCAGGCGGAAGGAATGGGTGATGGTGGACAGCCAGAGCAGCCTACGAGCAGCTCGACGCCAGCCGAGAATGAAAGGTGGAAGCGGAAGCTTCTGGAACATAAAAAGCGACGGGAGGCGTGGTTGGAGCGGCTGGATAGGGAGCGGCTGGAGATGGAGAGGCTTGAGAAGGAGAGGCTGGAGAAGGAGAGGCTGGAGAAGGAAAGGCTGGAGAGGGAGAGGCTGGAGAGGGAGATAGACATCAACCTTGTCAAATGGGAGGACGATACTTGGAAATACCTAACACCCTGATTCCTCTTGTCATGTAATTGTTGACCAACCGTTCGATGTTAGACGGATCCTTTGGATCGACTGCGAGGCCATAAGCACAAGAATTTCTCGGTCCCGAAGCAGCCGCCTCTTTGCCGCCTGCCGTCACGCCGTGCCCACCCCAAGCTCCGCTCTTAGGCGGTAGCGCCAACTGCCTTGCTATCACTAAATCTCCCCTTGTACCTGTGCTCTCCTACTACTAATTACAAGCCGGAAAGAAAAGCCCCTCGGATCCACTTGAAATAAGTTAATTTAGTGCCAAATGAACCCTCACCTGCATTTTCGAGAAAGTTTCCTTACCTGTAGCAGTCACGTGGGAAATTATGGCTCTCTTATACTTAATGTCACTCTCTAGCTATATTACTCTCTAGACGCCCCAGCAATCCTGGTTGCAAATTACTCTGCAATGTCATGATACCGTTGCCATTTTTACTATGCACCCACGTGACTCTCAAAGGAAATGGAACTTCTGACATTTTACGGTAGCTCATTCCCATCGGTGCAGACAACCATCTTCCATGCGTGGTAAGTGTGAGACAGATCTTCGGTGGCCTTGCGTTTCAAACCGATGACTCTCTTGGTTGCATCCGCGTGGAGCTTCGCTACAGATTCATGCATCCTATCAATAGCAAGCTTGTCTTCTGCAATAAGGAGGATTGTGTGTGTCCTATTATTGACGACTATCTGAAAGCATTCCTCGGGGCTCATCATTCGCATATATGTGTTGAAAGCCAAGCGCACTCATGAAGGCATGGGTATGTGCGATGAGTGCTTTATTGATACCTGTTCTTTGTGGCGAACACATCTTCAATCTCGAGACAGCTTAGCGTGAAGCAAACGTAATATGGCCCTTTTCAGGCACAAGTCCTCTCAAATTAAGCACCACCTGATCATACTGATAACCCCCCCGCAGATAACCATGCGGTGGTTCTGAATGGAAATTTATATAAATACTGGAGGATTTAAAGAAACGGACCGATCCTCTACTCCAACGACGAGTTTTTCTATTGATATCAGAGGAGAACATAATTTTCACCATGAAATCATCAGGTCCCCAAATCCTGGAAGCATTAGAGCGAAGGACAGAAGATGACAAAGCCTCCCCCCAAGAGACACACCATGCTCTTGTCAACGAGTCGATACCGAGTAGCATAGCTAGAACAGACATGGAAGGATTAGCTGAGCAGGTGGATGATATCTCTCAAAGGCACGAGATGTCGAACGACTCGGCACCCGAGGTATGTCTGATCATGTGAATGTAGATATTACTTTGCTGAAATCGACATGAGGCTATAATACCAAATTTTCATCATACCAGCAATCGTCAGCAGCAGGTTGTGAGGTTTTCTGAAGAGGGGGTCACAGTTCATGAGGCTCCATTTTTGAAGGATGCAGTCAATGCACAGGCTCTACGAGTAGCTGATTCTGGGAAATATCTTTCAACAAGACGAGGGGGATACTTTCTCTGGCGTGACTGCTTTGATCATCTGGTGAGGACTGGGACAGCAGAAGTTCTTGTCACTGGTTTGACAAGAATGAGATAGAAAGAGAGGAAGTAACGATGAACAAAGTGGGGTGCAGGAAAAGGGCTTTCGTAAGACGACGTAATTATCTTAGGGATAGAAAACTATAGAAAGCAATAGAACAATATGACTCACACTGCAACTTAACCAACGTTGGCGCTTTTGTGACCTTTTTGCTTGAAGGGGTTGCGAAAGCCCTGTCCTTACCCTTGTTTATTATAGGCCGATCCTCACAACTCCAGGGTGATGTACGTACCAGTACGTAATCGTTGGTTTCCAAACCACCGCCTGGAGGCGGTTGGCGAAAGCGATCCTTGCTGCGAAAGCGATCCTTGCTCTCTCGGCAAACGCGAGCGCGTCCAATGCGACATCAGGACAACGCGACTATCTGGACAACAAACAGCAATGAACGTAGATATAATTGATTAATTAAATAGGTTAGGATCTATATTGTCGGGCAGTGATTGATTATCACTTACACTGTCACTTGCACTGTGGATCATGTCGTAGTCAAGGTCTGCAAAGTCAACAAAACCACTTTCTTCAGCGGCCAATTGCCAGTGCAACTGCTCCTCCTTCTCCTCCTCTTCCTCCTGTCTCCTACGCTCAATATCAGGGTCTATGATTACTTCGAGTAACTCCCTTGGTAGCTCGGTGTCTGGGTTACTCCTTTGGAATTCAAGTAATTCCCTTTTCCGTACCCGTTCCGCTCTCCGTGCATCAATGCCAGCACGGAGCTGCAGCTTATACTCAAGGTTAACCATGCGCTTTCTCTCTCTTCTCTCTCTTGCTTCTTCTCTCTCTTGCTTCTTCTCTCTCTTGCTCCTTTACTATCTTCGTATGAATCTTCTTCCGTGCTTGTTCAACTGTAACAGCTCCACCCTTTTGAATAGATTTTCTGCTTCTAACTTTCCGTTGTCTTTGCTCAGACATAATAGTAGTAATTTGCATAAGCTCTGAGGTAACCAAAGTACTTTCTGTTAACTGTACTTGAATCTCTGTATAAGAAGATGTCCACTTTTGCCGTGATGGTGAACTAAGAATCTCTTCAAATCTTTGACTCCAATTTGAAAGATCTTGACTTGCTTGGATTGCTTGCCTTGGTGTTTCTAAAAGTGCTGGTTTTGCGTATATTGCCACTTTCTTTTCTATCTTCTCGTAGTTTGGTGGCCAAATACCAGAGTCTCTAAACGCTTTCATACAGTTTCCCTTTGTAAACGTTTGTGTTCGGATTGTAGGTAAGTCTCGGAAGAATGAAATATCATTATAGTCAACATCAAAATCCCGAATTGCTTGTTGAATAGCACGGCGGTGCCAATGCTTATACTGTGCAAATACTGTAACGTCAAGAGGTTGTAGTATATGTGTAAGGTGAGAAGGGAATACATGTAAATGTATGTTGTTTTGATGTGCAAGTATTATAAATTCTGGAACTTCATGAGAAATGTGAGAGTCCATTATAAGCAACTTCGTCTTTGTAGAGGGTGCAGAATGTTGAATAAAATGCTGTAGATATTCCATTGCGAGCTCAGAGTTTGTATATCCTGAATCTGATACTGCAACTCTCTCATCACCGTGTAGATTATCATGGTACCAACTTTCCATATGAAGCTTTCCTTGAATTATTAGGAACGGTGGAAGTACAATGCCAGCAGCTGAAATTGTCTCTATCTGTGAGACTTTGACGATTCTCTGGAGCTTGTATATAAAGCTATACAAATTAGAATAATATAATGTAAGATGAGTACATATAACGTACCTCCTTTACTGCTGTTGGCACTAACACATGTTCACCGGTGCTCATTCCCACTCGGAACCCAACTTCATCAAAGTTGTAGATGTTAGCTGCAGTAACATCTAATTGATTACACACATCTTTGAATCCATGAAACCATTCTTTGATAGCTGATACATCATGAGAAGCAACACGTGCTGCTTCAATTGGCCGGGTTTTAATGGTGTGGAAAGTCTCATGTTGAGTCTTAATCCAAGTCTGGAACCACCGTTGAGACGGTGGTGGATGTGTCGGGATTTCTGCTAGTAGTTGGCAGATAGCATTAAACACCATTGGCTTCGTTGCACCGTACCCATTTTCATATGACCGTTGAATGTATCTTTGTATAGCTATAACTTGTATATCTGAAAGTATTCTGTTGTTACCTCCGCGAGGCTTTGGTGGTTGGCGTTGCGCCATGCGTCGCATACGGAGTGTGGTTGGGAGTACATGGTAGATTCTAGCTGCTGCGGCGATAGTCTCCGTTGGGTTCTGATTTAGGAAATCAATTGCTTTTTGAATAGCTTCGTTTCTAGCTATATCAATTGACATGATTGTAACTTTACGTGTCAATTGTTGTCCAGATAGTCGCGTTGTCCTGATGTCGCATTGGACGCGCTCGCGTTTGCCGAGAGAGCAAGGATCGCTTTCGCAGCAAGGATCGCTTTCGCCAACCGCCTCCAGGCGGTGGTTTGGAAACCAACGATTACTTCCAGAGTGCCATCAGAACTATCCGTGGTGGATCAGGGTGGTCCCCATCGATCGACAGGGGTTAACTAACCACCTCTATTCTGGTCGCTCACTCGTGCCGTTCCTATTAAACCTCCACCCAATAATCTTCCACCCATTTATCCTCCATCGAATATCTTCCACCCATTTATCCTCCATCGAATAATCTTCCACCCATTGAACCTCCACCCAATACTCTTCCACCCATTGAACCTCCACCCAATACTCTTCCACCCATTGAACCTCCACCCAATACTCTTCCACCCATTGAACCTCCACCCAATAACCTTCTACCCGGGTCTCGTACAAGGAAGGAGTCGATTGCAAGGATAAGTAAGTGGATACCTGGTGTGGGTTCATTGAGACCATCGGATGAGACAAATCGGATGAGACCATCGGGCGAGACCATCGGGTGGTGGCCCTCATTTTTGGGATGCCAGGATTAGATCTTTGACATCTTCAAGTAGCCGTGGCATGCCATAATGCCAGTGACAGTCTACGACTATCAATTTCTACTTATAACTCTCAAAATTGCAAGAGACATTACGCCCCCTCTGTGCCTAATAGACTCTATTGCAGCATGAGCAACGTACGAAAACGCCAAAGCCAGAATTCATGTAGAAGGAGAAGCACTTTGACAAATAAGGCATATGAGTACGCAGAACTATACAGCGCAGATGTTGCCTTGATCATCCACCAGAAGGGGCGCTATTATACTTACGTATCCTCTGGCAATCCATGTTTTCCACCATCCAAGAAAGAAATTGTATGTTCTCTTCTGACTTTGATGGCTTTTTACTAAATAGTGGCAAGATGAATTCTTTTCCAATCCCAATAAATATGTTGCCACATGACGCTGACGTGAAATATCAACGGAAACGCCATTCAGAAGATCCAGAGCAATTGAGGAGTAAAGAGAAGGGGTGCGCAGATACAAATATTGCCACGGCGCCAAGACGGAATGAGGCCCCCACCACATGAGCAGGTTCATGCACGTAAATCAGACATGTTGCTATGATAGTGTAGAGTATGTATAGAGCGACTTCAATTTATATTTGCTGTCGTTCATCCTCGCCTGAATCAGGACAGATCATGTCATTAAATTTACGTCTTCTATCTCTTGCATTTGTTAAATCTGCCTGTTCAAATGTGAAGGAGAGACTGCCAATGACGGAATGAGATGTTCGCCGTCGCTAATGGCCAAAAATCGTAACCGATGGGCTGGAGAATTAATAATAGACTCAATTGACTGAACTAAACTATGTATGGCCCCACATATCCATGTAGGCCAATTACAGGCTCAGCTAGTGGCTCAACTTTGTGGCCCTACCACAGAGTTGATGGCATGGCACCACGCCATCTTTGAGTCAGTGGCCAGTCAAAATAAGTACGCGATGGGCCGAACTAAAATGACTATCCAGTGCTTATAATTATACATGCACGTCAGGCCAGATAAATAATACAAGTTGATGTTCAACCAAGTGATAACGTTGATATTTCGTGTCAACATCATGTTTCAACATATTTATAGGGATTGGAAACGAATTCATCTTGCCACCATTTAGTAAGCTTCTATTAAAACCAGAGTGAACCTACAATTTCTTTCTTAGATGGTGGGAAACATGAGTTTCCAGGAGATACATAAGTGTAATAACGGCCCTTCTGATAGATGATCAAAGCAACATCCGCACCGTATAATTCGCCATACTCATACCTTGTTGGTTAAAGTGCTCCTCCTTCTTGATGAATTCTGGTTTTGGCGTTTCCGTGCGTTGCACATGTTGGGATAAAGTATATGATGTTTCTTGTCATTCGAATGGTTGTAGTTAGATCAATATAGTTGTACGGTTGTTGCTGGCATTTTATAGAGATCTAGTTCGCCCAGAAAACGGTAATTCTGATGTCCCAAGCTTGTGTCATCTCAAGTGGAGTGTGCGCATCCTTGATCCGCCCGATACAGTATAGTGCCACCTTTTCCCTCCACAAAATCATCAAACGTATATTTAGTTTTTCCACTGGACTGGGACGTGGTTAGAGCTTCGATAAGCTTCTTTGACTTGTATGGTATAGCCAGTTGGTTGAAGAGCGACTCGTTCCACGAAATTCCCGAAATATCTGCAACCGCAAATTCCACTAGTACATGATCAGCTATGTTGCCACAGCAGGTGCACAAGTCTTACACCATAATTTGTCGTTCAAACTGAAGCCCAGCACAGTCGGGCTACAAATTAGAAGATCTTCATCCGTCAGCGCATCAAGGTTTACACTGCTCTCCATAGCCGATTCATCTAGCTTGTTACTAGAGGTTGTATCTCCTAACAGCCACAAATCGATACTGTTAGTGCTCTTGAAGATGCTTGGCCTGGTGTAATTGGGGTTGATCTCCTGAAACATTGCGGCATCAACCATAATCCTGCTGTTAATAAGTATCTCAATGGGTTTGTTTTTCTTCATTTGAAAGGCCTTGCCTCTATAATGCCGATGTTGTGTACCGATTAGGGAGAAACAAAACTTGCGACCGCATTTCACAAGCGTTTCTCTCATGCTCTCCTCTGCTTCGTGGTGTTGGAGAGGGAATGCCTCGAGAGAGTTGATGGTTCTCGATCCGCAGAAACCAAGAATGGCAGTCTCGATTGGAGCTTTCCCAAGCACCTTCCCGTCAAATTCCAAGTACTTTCCTTTGATGTGGAAATAGTCAACTCCAGTTGTGCTTGTTTTCGCTTCCCCAGACTCGAATCTGATGCATCTTGGTTTCTTGGTCCCGCGACAAGTGGTATACACCAATCCGTTTTGGTTTGAAAAGAAACGGGAGTAAATCGTAAGTTATCTCTCCCGTTTTCAGCAATGAGGCAAGCCGTACTTCCGTCTCCTTGTAGGATAAATGGATATGATCGATAAGGAGGGCAATGTGCTCCCGGATGATGCTGTCCTGGGGATCAACGTGATTCCATTTACGGGACGCCTCGAGATCTGGGAGATAATGGAAGAGGAAATTTCGCTCGACCTTTGAAAAAGTGAGAAAGTCGATTGTGATAGTTAGATAGGGCATGCTTACGGAAAGGCTTTCCTCGTTGAAACTAATCTCAGGAGCTTGTGCAAGTATAACTCTCAAGGTATCTCGGAGAAATTTCGACTTGATGTCAATATAGACCACTGGTATTTCGGTTTTCTTGACTGGAAACTTCCGTTAGCAGGTACAATTTGTGGAGAGGAGATACTAACTAATACGCCTGCGCTCTATGAAAACGTATCGATCCAGTCCATCAACTTTTTCTTCCGGTTGTTGTTGTTCCTCAATGACGTACTTGTATGCCTTTTCATCCCAACTGCACCAGTATCTTGTGAGCCAGGAGAAGGCCTCAGCGGCAGGAAGACTTACACCTCATTGACTGTCTTGTATGTCTGAAAACTTTCTGGAGGGTCTTCGGCTTTAACTTCCTCTGCGGCAGCAGGGGCTGCAGGGGTGCTCTGGGTGGCACTGAGAGACTTGACAACGTCTATGAACAGACCGATAACAGTGAAGGTTTGGAGACGTGGGGTGCATCTTCATAGCGGCGAGAATCTCACTAGCATCCTCATCGCTCAGCGTCGGCGGGGTACTGGGAGGAGTCGTTGACCGTGGACTGCGCAGCGAAAGGCCGACTTGAATCATCTCTGTTGGAGCCATGACGATGTAAAGGGTTGGCAGGTGGCTTGATATGCGTGATGGGCGATGTAGACAGAAGTAAGAAGCTTGAAGATGAGTGATGATTTGAAGACTGCAGAGGTTTATGATTGAACTTCTGGGGAATCGCGTGCCCTTATATATTTCTCAATTCTTTGCCCATCATGTCAATGGAAGACAAACCAACAACGGCCGGGGAGTTGAGGAAAGCCGATCCTTCTTCGTTCAGGATCACCAGCAGCCCACAGTTGCAGCATCATGCATTGGCCGATTCAAAAATAAAAAAGGTCCAAGGGTGCATGCAAACAACGCGGGGAGAATCACATATCTGCAAGACAGTGTTGGGGAAGATGCTGGCGAGACCGATTCGCCATGCAGGTAGTCGGGGAAGCAGCCCATTGATGTGAGACAGCGATAGCATTCGGGCCGTGGACGTTGGACGCAGAGTTTATGAGGCATGATTGTGCGGTTCTCCAAGAATGGAATGTCTTCCTGTGATACATATTCGAAGCAGCAAGAGGCAATCGATTGAAAGCATGGCGCAATGAACCTTGAAGCTGGCTGGAAAACTTCGTCGGTTCATCATGCAAAACAACGCGTGAAATAACGCGATCAAGCGGAAGATGTGCACGATGAACTGTTCATGGCGCACGCTAAATCCCAGCCCTAGCAGCTTGATTAAGAACAAGGTGATATTCACTAAGATTATTGATGCAATGTGTTAGATCTCGGTACGAGACAGAAGAATTGTACTGCAACATATCACAAAACACTGCAATATTTTGCGATATATTGCAATATTTTGTGATATACTAATATATATTAATAGAACTACCCAACGCCGAGAACAGCCACTTCAAAGTGTTATTGGGCGATTTAGGCGAGCGTGACTGATGTCCACGAAGAAATATCCCTTTCCGCAAGGCGCCCAATAAGTTTGCTCTTGTTGCTGAGTTATGGAAACTGATCGATCAGCATTATCATATGGATATTACGTATAAGGTGTGCCGGCTTCTGAACAGTTGAGGATAGGCCGATGAACCAAGCGTGTGCCACGCAGCGGCCTACCAACAAGTCAATATATGACAAGGCACTAAATCATGAGGGGGTGATGGTGACCACAGTGTAGATAGGGTGACACGAGGTATCAGATCCAGCGTATCACAGCCATTATTGTTGTGGCATTAAAGATTTGGTGGTCAAGACCCGGCGGTTAGAGGTATCGTAGATGCACGCCACTTTTCGCCCTGTATTGTCAGTCGGGGTGTTGGGCCATAGTATGACGGTGCAAACTATATATGACGCCTCTATCCAGGTTTTCAAATGGTACTTCTAAGTGCCTAACCACTATCGCTTTCACCCATTGCAGAGTTAGAACAAAGATATTTACCTAAAGCTACCAGTCTATACGCCAATTGCTATCATGTCTTACAAATCGAAGCTTACAGGCCTCGCACCTGGCCTGGTAAAATTGGCAGAAAATGCCGTTGAGGGGAGGATGAAAGCTGTATGTAAATCCAGCCGGCCTCTTAAAGTTCAACGATCTCCTACTGACATCTCATGAACAGAACCCTTGGATTAAGGATATCAAACTCAAGTAACCCATACTTTAATGTGCTGCGTGGGACATTCATAAATGCTAATCCACTGCAGGGGTACTGAGCTGCACACAAGCCATGATGGATCGGGCAAGAAGGTCATTACGATTCAAATGCTCAACGAGACGGGTGGGCGGGTTGAATCAATCCACATGGAAGAGACGGGTGAAGTGACCGTGAAGGGAACGGCAAAGGGAAAGGGGACGAAAAAAGGAGATGCGTTCGATGATGTCCCTACAACGTCGCGTGATATTGATCCGTCGCTCCTGAATCAAAGCTCGACTGTCACTTTGTGCGCCTATAGCGAGATGTCATTGTGTGTACTTAGAGCGGGAGTTGTTAAATCAATCATTTCCCTCAAAACATGAGCCTCAAGCGTATGACTTAAGCCAATCATATTGTGCCTCTAGCTTCCCCAGAGTAGTACTCCTTCAGATCCCGGTGGAGCGCGTACCTGGACAAATTATACCCGGAACCCCGACATCGGTTTACGTAAGCTGTCTCTGGTTTCAGCAATTTTGGTGTGGCAAGTATGACGGAATGGCACAACAAGAATATCATACATTGTACCAAAATTGTTCATAAATTACTTATAACAAGTAGAAGGGAATTGTTCGCAGATATAAATAATTGTACAACGGCGCCTGCACCTAGTCAGAAGTCAGCTCAGAGAATTACTATGACTGAAGCCACGGGTGCGTAAGTAAGGCTGCAGCTGTCGGTCTCTTTTCTGGTTCCCAAGATAGCATAGGTCGCACAAAATCTATGAATAAATCGATGTCTCCGGCTCCCTCCAGTCTATCCTTTAATGCGGTCGGCTCCAGGGGAATCCCTCTCCAGCTCCCTGATCAATGTTAGTTCGACTCTTTCTAATGGGAAGTCTTGAGAGAAGACAATGGACGCTGACCTTGCTCGTCGAAATACTGTAAATGCACATCACTACGCTTCAAGAACTCGACGTGGGGTGATCCTAAATATCTAATCATCTTGGCAAGAGTGTCCTGTTCGTTATCTTTGCCAAAAAGGTGTTCTCCACAGAGGAGTTCCCACACCTGATATCATCAGTTTCGGTCTGTCAGGTGCGTGTAGATACTCACAAGAACCCCAAAATTCCAAATGTCTACGCTTTCCCTCCACTTCATTCCAAGAATGACTTCTGGAGCACGATACGGAATCGGTTGGATAATGTGACTGTATTCTGTTTCGCCAAACACAGCCATACCCATGTCCGCGAGAATCGGGTACACGACTTCCTCCTTGTAGTCCATACTTCGAGAGGTGTAAATGGTAACTCTGTCGTTCACAATCTTTTGGGGTCCCGGCTCCTTCTTCTCCGCGTCAACAAGTCTCGTGAGAATTTCGGTGCCATCGTCGGGAAGCGCTTCTTGGATGTTGTCGAGTTTAATGTCTGGGTTCAGGTACTGACCGTTAGTAAATCGTACACGTCATCAATGGAATGAATATTTACCTGTATGGATTACGCCTGAAGTATGAAGGTAATCGATCCCCAAAAGAAGACAATAGGTGACTAGTTTCACAATAGGCAGTTCGAGTCTTTTGGTAGGTTGGAGGTCGATGCGTTCTGATAAACTGATGCCGAGAGGGTCGTACACCAAGCAAGTGTGAGAGCCGCCGGGGACGTCGATCTGGAAGATATCGCAAGCATTTCGAACCCAGGACCGGCCATCATGAACAGAATCACGGCTCTTCAGGTAATCTAGAACTTGAGCCTCTTTCGTCATAGACCGGCCTTTCTTGCAAGTCCCTACCTTCAGAGCCTTGTATGAACAATCTCTGTTCAATGTTAAAACCATCTCATAAACGCATTCTTCATTTAACGTACGCTTCATCACGGCAGAGCCAAACAGTGGAGTACCCACCGTATCCCAATTTGACGCATGTTCTGTATCTATGATGGAAAAGTTTATTAATACGAACGGGATAGTATAGCTTTGGATCATAGTGCTTCAGCGTTCCTTCTTCGATCAGCACAGCTTTGGTCGCGATGCCTTGAGACATGTTGCAGCACTTGAAGAGATTCAAGGAACGAGTCGCGGATCGTGAGATGATCATATTAGCATCTTGCAGGATCGTAGAGTAGGATCCATTCTCGAAACTTTCGTTGGTTGACGTGCCCAAGATGGGCACCAGAGACGGCGCAGGCGAAGGAGCTGACCCCAGGAGGCGTGGGTGTGAAGTACGTGATTGAGGTTGGAGGACCTTAGTGGATAGTATCACGTGACCGCATGCGTCTGAAACGCAAGAGGATGTACAGTCGAGTCGCGATAAGTCGATTCGCGATAAGTCGATAATCGCGATAAGTCGATGCTTTTCTTCTGCACGAATTAATTCCTCATACGATTCGCGATTCGCTCGATATCGACCTCAATCCTCCTCATATCGACTTATAGATCGAAATAATGCCTCCAACTCGACTGCATACAATGAAGACTGAGCAGCGTCGCGCGCTCAGAAGCTGGTACTCTCAACAAAATCCTCGGCCTACCCAGAAAGCCTGTATTGAGTGGTTCTTACAAACATATAATCACCGCCTTACCCAGTCAACAGTCTCTGATTCCTTGAGCTCTCGATTTGCTAGCCTTGATAGCCCGACTTCAAGCATCTCTCCCACTACCCAACGGCGAAAAGCTGCTGCTTGGCCAGAGCTTGAGGCTGCTCTCTTCGACTGGCAGAAGCGTATTGACGAAAGCGGAGGGATAACAACTGGGGATATTCTACAAGAGAAGGCAAAACAGATCTGGCAGTTGTTACCACAATACAAGGAGAAGCCTATACCAAACTTTAGTATTGGGTGGCTTGACAATTTCAAGAAGCGGTATCAGATCAAAAGCCACATTAGACACGGCGAAGCAGGTTCAGTTTGTTCAACTACAGAAGACGAGATGAAGGCTATCCAAACACTAGCAGGAGACTTTAAAGAGGAGGACATCTACAACATGGATGAAACAGGGCTCTACTGGAGGATGACACCATCGAGGGGCCTCTCATCACAAGTTAGGCCTGGATTGAAGAAGGATAAGACACGCATTACTGTAGTAGTCTGTACAAATGCTACAGGATCAGATCGATTCCGCCCTTGGTTTATTGGCAAAGCAAAAGCGCCACGCGCTTTATGAAACGTTAATATTTCAACAATGGGAGGAGAGTGGAGATGGAATAAGAAGGCATGGATGAATCAATACATCATGACCGAGTGGCTACAAGCGTTTTACCTCCACATAGGGAGTTCTAGGTCTGTGCTCCTTACAATGGACAACTTCCCTGGACATACTGCAGCTATTGAAATTGCTCCTCCGCCTTTGAATATCCGAATCATATGGCTACCTGCAAATTCTACAAGTCGATTCCAACCACTTGATCAAGGCATTATTGCCTCTCTTAAAGCCCATTACCGTCGACAATGGCTTGAATTCATGCTCGTGTCATTTGAGAACAACAATGACCCTCTAGATTTCATGTCTCTTCACCTTGCACTTCGTTGGATAATCCGTGCTTGGTATCATGATGTCACAAACACAACTATTTACAATTGTTTTGTTACGACGGAACAAGAAGGCTGGCCAACTACAGGACAGGAAGGAGGGAGGTCGCATGAGACCGGCCCTGGTACCTGGAGGGGCAGCGGGGAATAGTAGTTCCGAAAGTATCACGTGACGGACTCGCAGGATGATGAGAAGAGTCCTAAGAGTCCAGGACTCCGAGGACTCGAGTGAGTTCCCAGGAGTCCACTAGGCACGACGCCACTATATAAGTAGATAGTATTTCCTTAGATAGGAGCTTCGTGCTCAACTCAATACAGTATTTGTTATATACTAGTAACGTGTTACTTGAAGCCTTTGTGTCTGATCCCCTGCCTCCTCTGATAAGTAAACCTTTACGCAAGAGAACCTCTGTGTCTTCTATCGTTTAGAAGTCAGCGTTACATGTTTTCGCAAAAGCACTATTGTTGCTCATCCATTACAACTGCCTACAGAGCCGCTCCCTTCACTTAATACGCTATACAGTCAAGTTAATAATGCTGGGCATATTCGCGACGCTATGGACCTCTCAAACTTCTTAAATCCAGCAGATGAATCACTACAAGAGGGGGAATACAATGGCAGCAACGATGATATATTACAAGAGGTTCTAGCACAATATATACAAGAGGATACTCAAGATGAAGAGGAGGAGCAACCTGAACAGCCAGTGTACTCAATGCACGCTCAGCAAGCTCTCCAAGTTCTAATTGGGTATGCAGAGTCTGAAGATGGGGTTGATACAGCACATTTACGCTCATTTGAGCGCTTTGAACGGTTTTTGACAGCGAAGCGGGCATCACTACAGGCACAGGGCACATTGGATCAATGGATTATGTAATAGCTTGGCATTTGATAACTCGGTATTCTTGATAAGTCTATATATTTCAGCTGCACGGATTGTATCGACTTATCGCGACTCGACTGTACTTGTCATATGAGCTTCCTCACACCCTTAAAAGTGCGTACAGAAGCACTATAAATTTTTGGGATGGTGTGAGGACATGTAATAGTTAAATTTGCGGAACAATCATGATCAGGGCGTCATTTCAGCCTGAAACATGTTGAAGCCTGATGACGCCAGGGTCTTTTCGGTAAAGTATGAGACTGCAGAACAAGTCACATGCCACTGCCCCACTACTCTGAAGTCCAGCATGCCACGATTTCTCATCAACCTCGAGTTGCGAACAAGATGCTGTACAGAATCCAAGGCTGATTTTGGGTGACAACAATGACTCAGTTGTCTTCCATTCTCCCTGTTGCACTTATCTTATTCTATCAAAGGCGCAGAGGATAATTTGAAGACTCTGCAGTTACCTTCGGCACGGCCGCATAGAGAACTTCACCTACCTACCACAAACTATTATTGTTGGCAGACTACACCTGAAGATCTTATGTGAGTAAAGGAGACTGCGGCCATCCAAATAGCTAATAATAATGAAGTGCCAGCTCATCCACCTTGCTTGCCTAGTCTACCAAACATACACGATCAAGAACGGCGTCGTTTTGCACCCATCGAATACGCATTGCTAGTCATGTCTGAGACTGGGGATAAGGCACTTGGTGGAGATTGGGAAAAGATCCGCTTTCGCATTTGAGATAGAGGGGGGATCTTGTCAGCCTTCTCTGAAGGGAGAACACCAGCAATGATATTGGTGGCGGGGATACCGAGTTGATACCCGACCGCCGTGGCGGTTGTGGCGTTGTCCCCTGAAATCATCCAGATGCTCACACCTTGATTGCGTAGAGCAGAGAGTACGGAAGAAGCTTCAGGGCGGAGTGGGTCTGTTGTAGCAAACTGTGCAGCAAGCTTAAATGAAGTCTCCTCCTGGTCTGAGAGGGAAAGAGGACGTAGTGCAAGAAGAGCGATGCTTTTCCCAGCAGTTTTCCATGTCGACACGTTGTTGGACCAGTAAGTGTCTATTGGCGTGCCAAGTAAGGACCTGAAAGCTTCGCTGCCAATGGCGGCTTCATACCGGCTGTCGTTGGTGGATGTACGGATGGTAAATGTGCCTTTGAGACCGCGACCGGGTAGTTCTTCGATAGTAGAGTCGATAACAGAAGCACGGTTTTGATCTGTGCAGAGTGTGCTAATCGCTTTAGCTATAGGGTGACTTGAGGACACTTCTAGCGCTTGTGCAATTGCCCAGATGACCCTCATCTCCTCCGCACCAGATGCTATGATATCATGGTTTGTTACACTTGGGTTTCTGCCCTCCGTCAGTGTGCCGGTCTTATCAAAGACAACCACATCCAGAGCAGAGGCCTCTTGAAACGCTTCTCCACCCCCCTTAACTAATATTCCGTTTTGGGCCGCTAGTCCAGAACCCACGAACAACGCTGTTGGAGCCGCGAGAGCAATGCCGCAAGGGCAAGCGCCGACAAAGACTGCAATGGCAAACTGTAATGCCCAGAATGCCCAGCCACCTGTCATACTGACATTCGTTGCACTCAGTTTGCTATCAAACTCAAGAGCAAACTTGGAAATCTCCTCCTCAAACCTACAAGTCACTATACATATTTTGGCTTATCACACCAACAACAAGAGCAATACTACTCAACGATTGCTACAACCATCTATGATTCATTACACGTCATCGCTCCTTAGTTACTGGGCCGATATTACCACATAGCATATCTCTACAACCCTCTATGATTCATTACATGACATCACTCATACTACCACATGACATATCTCTACCAACTAGAGGCCTAGGAGCATGAACGATAGCTCTAAAAGCTCCTACAAACCTCTATGATTCATTACATGTCATCGCTCTTTAGTTACCCACAAGATTGGTTAAGTTATGACATAATTTGTCTATGACATAATTTGTCTATGACATAATTTGTCTATAGGGGTACTCTGACCTTGGACCTCCTTTTACTTCCTATAGGCTACGAACCTAAGAGATGGTTCTATGGGATTCTCTTACATCGACTACAGTTACCAAGCCTGGTAAGTCATGGAAAGTCTTGGAAAATGAGAGAACTACATTCCTTTAGCATAAATAGGATTGCCCTTTCCTTAAGAAAGGGCAAGCAGACAATACAGTAAATCGACTATCACATACTTCCACGTCTTTTCCAAGCTTCCAAGCATTGATCTTGTTACTCCTTGTTTCTGAAAAGTCAGTGAGGTGTTAACCTCTGACTTATCCCTGAGTTCTCAGACTCAACATTTGTTGCAACTTGTCTGAACCACTTCACTACATCACACACCTGATTGCTGCGTTGTGGAATAGTCTAAGCTACGACCCTTTGGCTCTTTTTCCTAAGACAGTGTGTTGTCTTAGTAAATTCATCCCTTCCTTGGGTGGCTAGATTCTCACATCTGGTGCACCCACCATTACACCACCGGCATCAACATCTCGCCAAGTCTCCGGCAGTACCCCTCCCTGGCCAAGCCCAAACCAGATAACGAATGTAGATATAGCAATGAGCGTGATGACAGGAACGAAGTATCCCGTCAATATATCAGGTACTCTCCACCGGTGCTCGTTTTGTCTGACCTTCTCGCACAACTTTGACGATTTGATCGAGCATTGTCTTCCACGCGTTGGTTCTGAAGGCTCTCATTTATTTGCTGGCAGTAGCTAATCGGGCCCTTATCCTCGCCGCTAGTCACCTCTATGTCGTCCTCGTCCTCATCTTCTTGCTCTTTTTGTTGGCAATGCTGCTGTTCGATCGTCTTTTCACACAATCGTTCTTCGCTCGAAATACCTCGAACGTCTGTATTATTTTGACTTTCCTGGTCCATCTGATTGTATTGGGAGTAAGCTGCGCTTAAAGGCGGCGATTGCCCCGCTTCTGCTGAAGTTTGTCGTAGGTCATCCTCGATATCGCAGACGCCACCACGGTCGCACAATCCACCAGCCCTCTCGCGTGGAGAAAGCCTCATTTCGTCGACTATGGCCTTCTCGACACCCAGGTTAATTTGATCCTGACCCGTTGTCTCAGCCGGCTCAGAGCAATTTGGAGAAGGTCGTCGAACCTGAACAGGGAATGTCGAGTCTAGCTCGGCGAAAGACGGGCGTTGTTGCCCATCCTTGGAGAAACAATCGGCATTAGGGTATTCCGAGTCTTGAGGAGTGAACGGGCCAAATAGGCTGCTCGGGGTCGAGGCAGTGTCTTGAGTGGCCAGGCCACACTCGCTCGCGTCTTGGTCCTCAATGCTGGCAAGGAGATCGCTCGAGGCAACTCCAGCCTCAGCTTCGTCGTCACTTTCATCGTCGCTGTCATCTTCGATAATTAGGGGCTCTTCTGCATGGAATTAGTAAGGTGTATGGGCATACCAAAGTAAGCTGAGAAACCTACTTTGATTATTGCCTGGCACATAGATCGAGGTCGGGGTTGTGGCATCAGTAAGCAGGCGGCTCTCGTCGATCAGTTGGCACTTCAAGATATGGAGGGGCTTGTGGTTTTGATGTGGCATCTGAGGGGTGTCTCCGTTTCGGGAGGCCTGGAACAACTCATTAAGAGATGGAAGAGAGTCATGTAACGAATCGCTATCTTGAACATTCCGTGCTGACTCTGCATCTCCAGGTGGTGATATGCTGGGTTGTAGAGACGGTAGGTGCTTGTTCAACACCAACTTCGTCAGCTGAGCGTGTGAGGCCTTCAAGGCGGGTTTGGGGTTGGGGTCATAGAATTCAACGCAGTTCATGTTCACAGTAGCCATGCTGACACAGTATGAGTGGGAGAATGGTTTTTAGAACGACTCTCGAGCGGGATGAAGGACCTTATATAGAGATTCGGATGGTCGGTCCGCTCTGTTGGCTCGCTGGAATTTGCGAGCCTCCTTTGCTTCCCTCGCACAGATGCAGCCTTCACTGCCAAGCTGGTCTTCACGCTCCGTGTGTCCCCTCGTCCCTTTCCGTGCTCTGCAGCCAGGCAGTGAACTTTCCGCCACATGATTGACCCCGATTCCACCAACAGACATATGAGTCAAAGAGAGGCAAGACACATCGTATTCCGAGGCATTCTGGTGATTGGACAGTTGCAATTTGAGCGGTCTCAAGAGCGGGGTCTCAGTTCAAGCTGAAAGTATAGCGCTGCGGTCGGCCCCTCTACTGCCAAAAGGAGAAATCTTATCCGGACTACGCGTATCGTGAAGGGGCGATCGCTTTGAAAGCCTCAACCAACCAGTAGTGGCTGGATGGAGCGGCATCCGAGGTCAGACGACTCTACCAGACTGCAATAGTTGTCTACTCTCCACAATCCCGGTAGTATTCCCGTATCAGCGCCTCGAAATGAAGGTGAACCGCAGCCTTCAACGCATGGATGGTCGCGGCCGCGATGGCCTTCGAGAAGGATCCCTCTCCACCTTCGATCTCCAGGATGTGAGTACAGGCCCCCAACAAGCTAGGCTCGCAAGCAGAAATCGGCCCTTCTCTCGAATATCAGCCTAGACTGAGGCAGACGTCGCTGCTCAGTGTGCCTGCAACTCGCAACGTCGCAAAGTGTGCAGCGCGGCGGCCTATGCAAGGGCCGGCCACGTCACCGCGAGGCAATTTTGCGATTGGCTAGAACGTAGCGCAAGGCACTCTCAAGGCAGATTGGCCATGCCATAGTCGCAGAGGGTTCGGATGTGTGCGGCGACGAAGAAGGGCGCAAGAGGGCAGATCGGAAGGCAGTTCAGCTCATTGTCGCAACTTGACCGATCCGACGACCAGACGTCGATGCTCAAAGGGCTCGCTGCCCGAGCTCCTTGCGATGGCAGGAGCGCAGCAGGTGCGAGAAAGTTGGGAGGGAGGAGCGACGGTGGAGAGGGACAGAGTCGGAGAGAGGAGGGAGTGGCCCTTTTATAGAAGTTGAAAGCGGCGGCAGGCCCGTGCACGCGCGTTACCCGATTAGGGCAGACGCTAAACCCGAAGCTCGAACACCACGATCTAGATTATTATATTTATCGTCCATTATGAGAACGCCCGCACTATAGTGAACTGTCTATCCGTGGGGTTGTACCTCCCTAGTGAGGCACGAGACAGGCCGTGGCAAGCCGTGGTAAGACGAGGGTCTTGAGACCGAACCCCGGCCGTAGAGGATATACTATACCAAAGTAGGTGTTGAAAACGCGGACATATGGAGGAGGGTTAGCGTTCAGTCTTCGTAATCATAGCTGACGGGTCTACTCTCACGAGATAAGAGATTCCTTTGGCTCACAATTCCCTAATAAGTCTACCAGTTGTATCATTGTTATCCTAATATATATACTATCAAATTGGGGGTTTTAATTGCGGCACTGTTCACCTTGTACTCGGCCAGTTTGCTTTTGAGAATTGTTTCCAATCGTGGCGCTTACGGACCTCTCAGATGTCCCATCAATCCGCGCTTCCTTTGCGTCCATAGCCGAAGTTACACAAGAAACGACCAACCAACGATGGCTACATTCGCCTGCGCAACCCTCATCCCATCTCCCATCCCAGTCCACAGTATTAACCCCCCGCTCCCAGTAAATTCTCCTTCTCAGCTTCTTCCTATGCCTCCTTCCGCCCAACCAACTCCCAGACCTTCTACAACACCCTCCTCCGCTACCACCATGGCCCAACCACCTCCCTCGGCCACGGCCTGATCGCGCGCCGCCTCTCCCCAACTTTCAAGCACATCGTCGCCACCGACCCCTCCCCCTCCATGATCGCGCAGGCACGCTCCTCCATCGTCGACAGCCCCGAGTTCAGCAACATCGATTTCTGCCAGGCGTCGGCCGAGAGCCTCGACGATATACCGAGCGGGAGCGTCGATGCTGTGATGGCGGGGCAGGCGTGGTTCGGTGCGGCCTGGCCGGCAGTTTTGGTGCGTGGTCCATGCCGTCGGCAGGGTGCGGCGAGCGAGGTGCTGGCCAAGAGTTCTGTCACAGAGTTCTCACCATCAACCTATTCTTGTCACCGTCCACGGAGTCTTCTCGTCAGGGGCTTCTCACCCCCCTTTTCTCGGGACGGGATCCTTCATTGGGGTGGTGCTTGGCGATGACAGGGCGGTCGGGTGGATGATGGGTCAAAAGATTCCACATAGTTCATGCTTATCCGTCCCCTGGTCTGGTTCCATTATCCCGATCTTCCCTCCTGGGGTCTAAACATGTATATAGTCTGGGCTGTAGCAACGGGCTGCTAAGGTCTCGCCTCCTCTCTCCAACTATTACTTCAACTTCGCCGACTTCATTTTCACTTAGCTACTGGCAACCCCCCCCTTTTCCCAGTTTCCATTCGCGTTGCACCACGGCCGAAGATGGCCGGAAGTGTTGCTGCTGTCGCTATATTCTCACTGCTAATATCTCCCTTCGCTACTTCTCACCACCGGCACTTACCACCAGTGCCCTGATATCACCCCAGTAAGGCTCGTGACGATCGAACACACGGATGTATCTCCGAGCGGCTAGAGGCTGCGTTAAATAGGTCTGCAGCAGACTTGACTTGTCCCAGAAAGGCCTCGATATCAGCGCTGTCTGCGTATTCATTAGGCTCTTAACACGCATTACCAATGCGTGCTCAACGCCAGGATCGAAGTCGCTGTCTGGAATGGCTTGGGGCCTTGTAGAAAGCGGAGCAGCAGGGTTGGTTGTGTGCGTATTTATGTCGTGAAAAGTTGGCATTGGGACCCGACGGAAGATTGTGGGAAGTCTGATGTTTTGATATAGACGATTTTGATATGAAATTTATATTGTAGCAAGGACTATGCCGTACACATTGAACCACTATCCCAGAAGTACACAACACCGCCATATCGAACAGAAATGGAAGTTAAATACAAGTACAACACCCCCCATGCAATGCAACATACACATCACCTCTATAATACAATCCTACCCCCGACCCCCCCGCACACACAGTTACCAACCCATCACGGCGGCACCCCCTACTCCCCTCTCTCTGCCTCCTTCTGCGCCTTCCTCCACTCCCTAAACTGCCTCTCCTTCGCCGCCTCCTCCGCCCTCCTCTTCTTCTCATACTCCTTCGCCTTCGCCAACTGCGCCTTGGTCCTCTTCCCCGGCGCCTCCTGCTGCCCCGCCACCTCCCTCGCAGTCTTCACGCCCTCCCTCGCCGACTTCTTTGCGCCCTCGACCGTATCGTTCAGCGCGGCGAAGATCCCTCTCGTTGTCGGCGCCTCCTGGCGCTGCTTCATCTGCTGCACCGTGATGATGTCGGCGCGGTAGGGGCTTGCGTCTTTGAGATCCACTTCCTTGACTGGAGGGGGCATCTGCGCCATTCCGAGGAACGAGCGGACGGAGGGGTAGCGGAAGAGGGTTACTTGCGCCGCGGACCAGAGACCCGTGACAAAGAAGGAGAGTTGCACGCCGGCGGGGAGCCAGAAGGTGAAGAGGACGGAGAGGATGGGGAAACCGTAGGCGAGGAGCTTCATGGTGTTGGGGGACATGGTTGACGTTCCCGCTTCTCCTCCTTGCTATGGGGTTGTCAGTACGTATTCATCGGCAGCGAGTATCATAGAAAAAGTGGGAACACACCCTAAGCACCGCATGCAACACGCCCGCCGCCGCAAGAGGAAGAACAAAATATGGATCCGGCAGCGTCAAATTCTGGAACCACAGGATGCCTCCCGTCTCCAGCCCAGGAACCGGCAACTTGGCCATCGCGCGCAGCAGCACAAACGTTCCGTAACCAGTGAACATCTGCACCATTGGCAACAGCGACTTCCACATCTTCACGCCCGCACGCTTATGAATAACCGATATCTCTTGACGCACCGCCATCATCGCCGCTTGGTCGTTGTTGCGCTGGTGATCTAGCATCTTCGCATGAAGCGGCTTCGTCTGGGGTGCGGAACGCGCCATGCGAGCACCATTGTCCGCGGCATCAATGTAGAATTTCATGAAGGCGACACGGATGAAGACGGCGGTTAAGGCGATGGACGCCCACCACGGCGTCCCGCAGTAGACATGTGTGTGCTCGAGCAACCACTCGATACAAGAGGTGGGTCCATACCCGTAGTCCAGCCCGAGCGACTTGAGGTAGCCGATATGTTCCGGGGCATCTTTCGCGCTGGTGATGATATCGATTGCGTCGTCGAGGGAGGTGCTAGTATGCGCACTGCTCGTTCCGGCCAGGGCGTCGGTGGTGGGAGCTCCAGGTGTGGTTGCTGCGGTAGTCGCGGCCGCCTTGGAGGAGTTGAAGCGCCGCGATGGGAGCTGCGTCAGGATCGAACTAGATTGCACGAATCGCGGTCTCGCAGCTGCTGCCTTGGACGACAATGCGCCGAATGGCGCTGCGGGGAGCCGCGCATTGCGGGTGGTCGATGAGGAAAACTGAGTCGTCCGGGTGAGCTCGGTGAATTGGCTGGTGAATTTGGCTGGGGGAGGGGGAGGGGCTTACGGATCTAATGGAGATTTCTTCCAGTCGCCGGCGACCTATGCCAATGGTCCGGCTGGACCATTGTATCCCTCTGCTCGGTATCATGGCTAGTTGTCGTCGTAGGTGCGCGGATAAGTGCGCTGTACCGTCGCCCGGAAATATTTTGGTTCCTGGGAGCTAGTGCATAACTCTGTCCGTGCATAAAATGTCACGAGACCCCTTGGCAGTTCGGGTTTATGAACGCCGCTGTGTCCCTGGTAAGCAAGTGTCCCCTCTCAGGGCAAGATAAGTAGGCATCTTAACTCCCTTGAACTTGTCCTTATAGCATAGAATAATCAAACTCTCATATTTGAGCATCTGCTAATACTCCCTCTATCCCTTGCAATGAAGTATGAAATTGCTGTTTTGATGGGCTACTTGACAATGGAGTAAACTTATCTTTCTAACTTAACAAGCTCATGCTTAAGGAATTTTGTCATCCAACTTTTAGAAGGAGGTGGTAATGGGTTCTATAGGTGACAAACAGTAGCAAATACTATCTGCCTTGTAGCTCCTGTTCCGTTTTGATATTGTTGAAGAATCCATTGTGAAATAGTTGAGAGTTGAGTGTTTAATAGGAGCTTGTTCTGTCCACCATGACGAATTGTGCTTTTCCGAGTAATTGATCGTCGCAAGGTGTTAGGATGCACTTTGAAGATCATAACTGGAGCTGGAGCTGTTTCATTTGGTTTTGAAGGAGCCATTCTTTTGCCTCACGTAGAGCAGCTTTCTGATCAGACATTATTCGTAGTGGAGTGGTGGGTGGTAGGTGGTAGGCGGTTGGTGGTTGGTATGTGGTGGATTTTGAGAGGGGACACTTGCTTACGGGGGACACTCGCTTCCTCCGACTGTGAGCGAAGCGATCAGATTTTCAAACTCCCGGGTATCAATCATATAGTATCCGCTTTCCACCCCTCAAATCCATCCAGGACATTCAAAAAGGAAAAGGTATTCATTCGCTTGGGCCACTAACCCCACGATCCGGACCTCTCCTCGCGGGACTATCTAGACTCTCAAACTCTTTCCTAGCCTGCATAGCATTCTCCAACGCTGCATTAAACCGCTCCTCCCCTGGAGGCAGCACAACCGCCAGGTACGTATTTGTAGAGAACTTGACAACAAACATACAGAAGCGACTCAGCTTCAGCTCCAGCAGAACAAACTGCTCTGCTGACTTCGGTGTGCCCGTATACCGGGACGTCGACTGCTTGAAGTTCTTAATGATGTTAGAGAGCCGCTCGAAGCGATCGGTGGTCGGGTTCGATGATCCGATTGTGGAGCACCAGTGGGAAACTACGAGGAAAGATGAGCGCTCGAACAAGAGCACTTCTTCGGCTTCGATAAGTGTGCCGAGTGTTGCGAGATGCCGCTCGATAGAGGAGAGGTTTGGCACCAAATCGTGTATAATCTCAGCCCACGCTTTATACAGCGACTGGTCCCAGATAGACGTCGCGAAGGGGACAGGATCGAAAACGTCCGACTTCGTCCTGATAGCCGCGATACGGTCGTTATATGATGCCTCGCGCTGAGCGGGCGCCACAAGATCCATTTTGTGAATGAGGATATAGACGGAGGAGGTAGGTGAGAATTGCGACAGGGCGGAGATGATAGAGCGGTAGGTTAGGAGGTCTCGATCGAAGTCGCGAGATTCGATGTCAAAGACATATATTAGAACGCCGACGTTTGAAAAGACATGCGAACGCTGTTGAGATAGATAGTTCTCCATGAACGCATCTTGACTATTTTATGTTAATATTTCCACTCGACAAACGTAGAAGACCTGGCTCACCCTCCGCAATCCCACAGATTCAATGTCAAATTCCCCAGAAACTTGACATGGCTCAAATCGACATCAATCGTAGCCCCCAACCGCCTCGTATCCCTCGCGACGTAGTTACTGAAGATGATACTTCTCATAGAACTCTTCCCCGACCCACTCTTTCCCATCAACAGAACCTTCTTCTTCTTCTGTTTGCGAATCTCCGGCGCCGTGCCCGCATCCGCTACTGGTTGCGCCGAGGCCTCCATATTCCCTTATGTGTTGAGGTCGAGGACAACGACTTGATAGCAGTCTCTCAGAAACTCGGCCCGAAAGTTTGCCCAAGATGTCGCAGCAGTCGCAGATGCGATAGTCGGGAATCTGCGCGAAGCCAGCCACTTGTAATACTGAACTCCGCTGGGACAAACACAGCTGGGTCCGTTGCCAGCTATCTACCCGCGCAATAAAGCCTCTCGGTTCCGTGTTCCCGAGCGTTAGGGTCTGGGTAATCAGCCAAGTCGTCGTCTCGACGTCTGGTTGGTGGTGGGGACACTGTGGTTGAAAGTCGGGAACCGATCTGCGCGATCTGTGTAGCACAGCGGGACTGGAAAGGGTGCTTGCCGGGGAGGTGGTGCGACGGGTGCTATGCGGATGGGTGCTTTGTGATGGTTCAATGGCGGTTTGGATGTGACTGTGATGCTGTTGGATGTGGTAGCTTCGGTCGATTGAGGTTGACAGCGAGCGGGGCCAGGTTTTGGCGCGATCTGCGATCTGGAAAGTCACCACCCTTGACGTAGGAGAATAACAGCTGTTCTTGACAACAATTTCTTTTTATTTGTGCTATCTTGTAGCTGAATCGTTGACTATTGAAGTAGTGTTCTTGATGCCAGTATCTACAGTTTACAACTGTAGTTGTAAATTGTAGATACTGGTCCCAGCGCGCCTGTCCTGTGGATGACACGGCTTATCGGCATTATCGAAAGTCGCCATTTGATTTGGTGTAGTTAAAGGCGGTGGAAACAGCTATGGGCCGGTGTAGAAAGCCGGCAGAATAACGTCTCCAGCATTTACTATCCACCAATAATCGAATATACCAACCTACTAGCAATAACATCCAAATCATTTTATTTATTATCTTCAAAATAAATACCCATCACAAAATATATTGTCAGCCATACCGCACCTCATAATATTCAACCATGATAATACAAGTTTGCATGCTAGAATTGCATATTAATATCTAACATCTACTTTTCATAATCCAATCACTCCGGCCTATCAGCCAAATCCTCAGCAAACCCCTTCTCATCCAACGTCTTCGCATCCTCATCTGGCATTAACGGCGGCGTCTGCGTCGTCGCGCCCACCCCCTCCCTCAACGCCCCCCAAGCTGGCTTATTCCGCTTCGGCTCCGCAGCACCGCTCTTAAAATGGTACCCTCTCGCCCTGGGCTTATGTCCCGTAGCCCCAGGGAGCTCGGTCTCATAAGTCCGCTCAAACACTTCCCTATCTGCCTCAAATGTACCAGCGGTGATGGACTTCCTAACAGCAGCAAAGAACGTCGAGGTGGAGTGGTGGTTGTGGAGTGCAAGGAGCGTCCAGGCGAGCATCTCTTTTGCGCTGAGGAGGTGCTGGATGTACGCCCGGTGGTGGGATGTGCAGGCGTAGCATGTGCAGGTGGGGATGAGCGGGGTAACGGCGGTGGAGTAGGCCGGGGAGAAGAGATCAATGGCGAGGGGTTGGAGGGATGTGCCCTCGACGGAGGGGTTTGAGGAGTCAGGGGCTGACGGGCGGGGAAATTCGTAGGTTAGGGCGAGCCCGGAATCCGTTGCGAAGGTGAGGTATGGGATGGTGAAGACGTCCATACCGAGCGAGATCTGGCGGAGGATCTCATGTGGGGAGGAGGGCTCGTCGAGAGAGAGGCGGACGAGGCGGTTGAGAGAGGGGGTTTGCGGGAGGTCTGGGAGGAGGGAGGAGGAGTAGAATGCTAGGCCGGAGAGCGAGGGGGCGAGGTCCCCGGAAATATGATCGATATACTCAAACTGAGATTGATAGTCTCTTGTCAAGATTGGCACAAAGACGGCTGTTGCCGGTGCATTCGGTGACTCGGGGGACTTTGATAGTTCGGAGAGGAATTTGTCAACCCACATCGAAGTCCTTTCAGACATTTTAGAGGCCCGCTTCTTGCCTGGCATTGGCCCATATGGCAAATCTCCTAGAGCAATAGTGATGTCTGGCTTAATGTAATTTGCATACTCTGCATAGCGCCGCGAGCTGAGAGACTGGAAACCGGTGGAGGTGAATATAGAAAGGCCGCTGTCTGGGTTGCCCTGGGGTGAGCTGACAGCCGGTGAGCGGCGTGGCGACATAACGGTGATGAGGGAAGGTGGTAAAGCAGTGAAGCAGTGAAGCGGCGTGTTATTCCGAGCTGGCATCCTCATGATTGGAGGCACGCCTCCTCTCGTTGCCTTTTCGACATCTAAACCTCATCAGGCCCTGTATGGACACGTGACACTCGCCTTATTTTGAATAGGCCGACTTGTACTTACAGTCTTCAATCGCGGTATAGACGCCGGCAAACTCTGTCTGCTCCCCTACTACATCTGGGCTGATATGGGGGACGACACCACGTGAAGTGAGGGCGAGGAAGTTCGGCGTGTCGAGAGTCCTCCGGGCCTTCACTGAGATACGGCCAAGTCTTGCGTGACGAGGATCTGAGGGCGCAGCATCAACGCTGGTTTCATCGTGGAGCGTGAAAAACGGCTGATCCAACCCTCCGACACCCATTTCGACCGTCTGTGACGACGTTGGAGAATTCGTGTAAGCTTTTAGTCCCTTGCTTCGAAAGCCAGTAACGATCTTCGGCCCGCAGGTCAGTACTGAGTACTGTGTCACGAAGGCCCGAGTTGTTGTTGCACAGCCTTGCATACGCCGGACAGATCTTCATGAACGGGGCGTTTGATATAAAATATTCGAAATATTCTGGGGGTGCGATGACGCTAAAAATGCAGTGGTTGATGGTCGTTGGTCCTGAGTTTACCCGCATCGTTCCTGATAGGCCTACGTGACAGCGCCAATGCGCTACTGTGACTACTGTGAACATAACTGTGGGCTAAGTTATGAAACCCAACCATGTTTCCCATCCTCCCGCATGGCATCCCTGACTAGAGTACTCTAGTCTCTACTCCACCTGGACGCAAGCAACTCAACGACTGCACCCAGTATTACTGTATGCTGTACATCAGCTAATCGATCATCGACGTATAAAGGTAGGGGATGCCTACACTTCCATGGAGTCGAGCTTCGGCGACCGAAGCATCATATAGTCGGTGGTGAGTAGCTAGCCAAGGTGATAGTAACTTGCCCAGTTTCCAGTACCAAACGACATGGCGATGGCTGATAGACTCAGCGACGAAGAAGCCGCGCTTCCGGCGTCAGGTGCGGGGATAAGGACATCAACTGAATCTCTGCAACGGCCACGTCCACATACAGATACAACAGCATCCGGCTCCGACTTGTCTGCCCCACGATTCATACAGGAAGATGGAACCTACCGCAAGTATCCGTGGATTCCGACCAGAGTTCAACGGTACTCCAAGGCTGTGGCAAGATGGACGAAAGGACCACTGCCTCCGCGACGACGGCATATCAAGCCATTGTTTCCGAAAATCCAGGAAGCCCCCATCCGGTTCCTGGACACTTACGTGCCAAAGAAGAAGGCAAGGCTGGCCCTTCTCTTATTCTTCTATCTCTGCTGGGGTCTCACCTTTGGATTGATGCTACGATGCTCCAGCCTGGCCGCTGACATAGGGTCTTATGGCCAGCCTGTGTCTATCGACTGCGGCGCTACGTTCTGGAGTTCTGGTAACTCATGTGGCCTCCAAGGATCTGACTGCCGTCCTTTTGAGGGGACGAGCCTCGCCTTCCGTTGCCCTGCCTCCTGTGCGGGTTACAAAGTGCTCAATCCGCGAGCTGTTGGCACCCAAGAAATAAATTACGCTTCTTTGGTCATCGGTGGACCCCCAGAGGATACCTCAAAGGACCCGAGGGCCACTTATCGCGGCGACTCGTTCCTCTGCCAAGCTGCCATCCACGCTGGTGTTATCACCGACAGCGAAGGCGGCTGCGGAGTGGTCAGTAAGAATGGCGCAGCGAGCTCCTTTACCAGCTCCCAAAGCAACGGCATCAAGAGCATAGGCTTTGACTCGCACTTCCCGCTCTCCTTCGTCTTCCAGCCCGATATTACCTGCTTGGCGAAAGACATGAGATGGCCCATCCTTGCCGTATCCGTCATTTACACCTCGATACTGAGCCTCTTCGTCACCTCTCCCTCGGTTTTCTTCTTCACCATCTTCACCACCATCTTTATTCACGTGGGCCTCGTCTCCGACCCCCCTACGCATAGTAGCATCCTCGACCTTCTCCAGATTCTCGTCTCCAGGTTCCTCCCAGCTATGTTTGTCGCTTTCGTGTTCTACACCTTCTCAATCTGCCGCACCCTCCGCGGCCTCACCGCGCAGGTCGAGAAAACCATCCTCTGGCTCGGCGGCTGCTGGGTCGGATCCCTCACAAACTACACCTTCGACTTCATCCCCATCCAGCGCCTAACCCCCCACGACCTCGAGCAGCAGCCCGGCGCCAAAGCAGCTCTCGCCTTCATCGCCATTATCCTCATCGCCATAGTCGTACAACAAATCTGGAACTTCCGCCTCGAAGGCCGCCTGCTCCGCTATCTCAGTTTCTACGCCGTCATCATCCTCGGAATCATCATCTGCATCTGCATCCCCGGCCTAAACCTGCGCATCCACCACTACATCCTTGCCATCCTCCTCATTCCCGGAACAAGCATGCAAACCCGCCCCAGCCTGCTCTACCAAGGCATCCTCCTCGGCCTCTTCATCAACGGTATCGCGCGGTGGGGCTTCGACTCTCTCCTCCAAACTGACGCCGCCCTCCTCGACGACGCCCAACACAACTCCAAACTCCCCACCCTCCTCCCCCCCGCCATCAAACTCGCCAGCGCCACAACCAGCAACTCCAACATCACCTTCACCTGGCCCGACCTCGAGACCTCCTTCGACGGCATCAGCATCCTCGTCAACGACGTCGAGCGCTTCCGCGGCTTCGTCGACGACGAGCCCCGCAACGGCCGCGGCTTCATGTGGGAGCGCCAGCCGGGTCTGGACGTGAACGAGTATTTCCGCTTTGCGTTCATGCAGGGGACCGAGACGTTGGATTATACTAAGGGGGGCACGTGGACAAAGGACGGAAAGTGGGTCGAGATGGCCCCGGGTCCGAGTCGGCGGGTGAAGAGGGAGGAGAGAGGCAGGGGATTGCTGGGGGAGCCGAGGCGGTGATGCCGGGTCCCGTTGGCTTTTGTTCGGAGAGAAAGCGTAGGGGGGGCGATGGTACTGCAGTGTGATGGGATGGCTGGAAAGCTTGTCGGAAAGTTGAAGGTGGGTTGGAGTTTGGGTTGATACGACGTTACGACATTGGCTCCTCTGATGCCGACATCTGGGATACCCTAAGAGTTTGACTGGGTAGAAGGAGTTTGGGGATCTGGGATTTTCAGTCAGATATTTGACAAAAGCACATATGGGAGGAGTACACACAATTTCTCCAGACAGAGTCGAGATCTGGATCTCGCGGCGGGACTGCATATCTTGGAAGGCATAACGTAAGTGACGGTGTAATGCGGGGGGGACTGGGTAACGCGGTGGATTTCTGAAGACGACGCAACAAAACTGTAAATTTAACTACAATCAACAACGATACATGACCCGCTGTCACTCTGAGATTGTTCCCCTGTTCCTTCTTCAATATACTCGTCAATCTCAGTGTCTAGGGATGTGCGCTTGTCGTTTGCTTTGCGCTTTTTCTTAGTGAGGTCTTGTGTCGCTTTTTCCGCCTCCATCACCACATCACATAATTCTTGCGTAGTAATGTGAAAATGACCCTTTAGTACAACCCTTTTACCCTTCGTACGGACTGTACGTTGCTTCATAATCGATCGCAAGTTGTTGGCATTCAAGTTGGTAGACAATGCTCTGACGCAACTGTGAGTTTTTGGATGTATGTCCGCACTAGTGTTGATGGCACACCACCATCATTAATTGTCGCTATTAAGGAGTTCATTTGCGGTACGTCCCATCTAGAGGTCATCATTAACCAGCATACGTAACACTCGCTAGGGATTAAATGGAAACAAGCTAGCACCACGGTACGCTAACTTCATGTTCTGATGATTGCATACATCAAGCCGCGCCTATATGTACGCCTCCATCCATTCATACTTCTGTATGCGCCTAAGTTACGCTTGGTTGAGTGGGGAGAGCGCTGCTGTAAGATGCTTTTTTAGCAGGCTAAATATTTCAACATCTAATGGTTGTAATAAATGCGATGTATAAGGAGGAAGAATTAGCAATGTGATGCAGCTCTACATGCAATGTGTAATGAAACTTCCGCTAATATGTAAGTCGTGGCCATCACATATAAGATAACCGTCTGCTTTCACGTGTGTTGTTGGCTTAAAGATGCGTTTTAACCACTTTAACCTATAGAGATTGCTTGTCTAACCTTTCGTATTTGCAGAGAAGAACCACTAGTTAATGACTATAGGTGGAATCCATGATTAGAGAACGTTCTTGCCCTTAAAGACCTAAGGGGCGGAAGGATCGTTCTATCTACGTAAATACACTTGACTATTAAAACCGATTCCTAACGGCTAGGATGTGCTTAAAGCTTTGTACGAAGCGTTGAATTAAGTATAATTCGAGTAGATTCCATTGTCCTAATCGAAAATCCGGATTCGTCTATGTTATATGTATTTTCTTGCCTAATTCCTAACTGTTAAAACGACCTTGGTGTACGTGTCAAACCATGCTTTAAGCACTGGTTTTGTAACACCATCTATGCGAACGGTTTCGATCCATCGTCTAATGACAACCTGTAGATGGGGATGCCGTTTTATGAATCGCTATACCTAGTGGTAACCAAGGGAGAATCGTGGTTAGGGCAGAAGTGAGTTTGGTCGCGTCGTCAAAGTGACCAGTGCAACTGGATTTCTTTAGCTATTTCCTTTAACAACCGATGCCCTAGAGAATAACCACTGATTGTTAGGTTCTTAATCCACTTCAGAGGTATCACCTCTTGTGCGCCTGACAAACTCTGCTGTTGCTGGCGGGCTTGAGAGCGTGTCAAACCTCCGTTAACACGACGCGTCACGGAACTCTTAGGTAACCCTAGCACTTTCTCAGCGTGATATGCGCTCTTGTACTTCCTAGATTTGACATCTAATACTGCTTAGGCTATTAAGGTTTCACATTTAGTAATACCCAGGTGTTCGCGACGATTCATTGTTGAGTTATTTACAATTATCTGAAGTTGGTGGGGGATTTACCTCACTTACGTTATAGTATTGGGGTATACGGAGGATAGGACTACATACTACATTACGTAGATTCATACACTATCGTCAATATATAGGAAGCAATTGGAAGCTATCTGTCCCCACTCACCCACTCACCTCTCCATAACCTACCACCCCCAACCCAAACGCCTCACCCCCTTCCCCCTCGCCACATCACGCACTCACCACGCCCAAACCGAAAAAGCAAATCCCCATTACGCCTGGACCCCCCACGCCCACAGTACCAAGACACAACCTTGCAGATCACACCGCCGCCGCCCGCCGCCTCCTCCAACGCCACAGCACAACAACTCGCCACCATCGCTCCAAGAGCTGCCTTAGCACCAGGTTTGAGATAAAGCGAGGCAGGGCATGGTTCACGCCGTGTTGTGCCCGTGCTCCTTTGCATCCTGTCTAAAAGGCAGCCCGAAGAGGCATCTCTAAGAGGTATCTCGGATGGGCCGACGATGGGAGATGGTTGCCGTGGCGATGCTGGGACGGGTCGGGGCAGTGCGCTGCAGCATCCATGTCGTTGCCAGTCCTGTGGCTACGGTACCTGCATCGTGGCCTGCGCACGAACCTGATGGGCCCATAACGCTACTCGAGTTCGTACTTTGTGATGTCTAGGATCAGGCCGTCTCTGCCGACCCTCCCGACGACCATTTGAGAAGAATCGCAAGAAGAAAACGTCCCATCTCTGAGCCTGGCCGTGGTAGTGGAAGGATCTCTCCGTCGTTTCCCCGTTGCGTAGCTACAATTGCATGACATGATTGCATACCGAAAGAGGAAAGATATCCGACACCCTTGCAACATCTCTACTAGCGTAGTTTCAATTGCATGCCAAACCTAATGTGGACTTGCGTTTCATACACGCACGTGATTGCACTAACTATAGAGAGAAAGGCCAATTTTAGGGTAGCCTGTCCGTGGCTTAACCTAAACCTATTCTAATATATGCAATATATGCAATATTTGCAATCATGTTTATGCTATTTGGAGCTGGAACCCTCTTAGAGAAATGCCGCTCTGGCTCCTCCTCCTCTAGGCTGTCTCTAGTTGCAAGTCCAGGGCGTATTTCTTGCCTCTGTAATTCGTCAACCAGCCATAACTGTGGATAATGGACTGTGTGGGCCGACCTGCGGGAAGACTTACGGAGCGTAGTAGACAATCGAGCTGACCCTGGCCAGCTTGTTACTTGCGTGGTGGAACGAGTAAACGGCATATATTTCCGTCTTGGTTGAGCTGTGAAAATATATTTCTCGTTGATCGTCTCTCCTCTCTCCTCTCTCCTCTCTCCGCTCTCCGCTCTCCCCTCTCCGCTCTCCGCTCTCTTCTCAACGCTGTTTTAAAAGTTGCGAGAAATAATCACTTATCAGTTAATAATAACAAAAATAATAATCTACATTAATAATCTACATTAATATTTTGTATGCCACCCATTAGCATCAATTAACAGCTTCGTATGTTGACCATTCGGCGTCATTATATAATGTATAAATCCGACGACGTTCATAGCAGCATAACATTCATTACTCGGGTTTTTATTGGACTACTCTACTACTGGGGTGGCGACGATCATCACCCTACATACATCTATTAATCCAAAGTACGAGTATAACCACTGCGCGCCTTACCATCGTTGATTGTTTGGTTACATGGCTCGATCCACCAAAGCTACTGCTATTTGGACGGATAACTTAGTTCTCCTACCTCGCTCTGAGAAACGCTCACAACAACCAACACACCCCCATCTCCTACCCGTTTTTGCCCCCCCCCCCCCCCCCCCCCCCCCCAAAAAACAAAAAACAACAATCTCTCAGACATATTTCGAGAGTTATCCGCTGTATATTCTGCTTGGACGAGGCTTACCTTTCGATATTTATTTACTCGGAAGCTTGTCTATTGTTTGCCTTCTTTTTGCCACCTTCTCTTCCAATTGCGATTGTGGTTTCACTTGCATCCATCGCCACTCTAACAATCCACACCACCAATACGACATTTGTTTCTCGAGCACGTCAACAAAACAACATCTGACAGCAAATCGAAAGCGCATTAATCTTTCTATAGATCAGATCAATCTGTTCATCTTCGCTTTGTATTATTCAGCGATCAACTTGTGTATTTCCCGCACATTTACGTCTTCTACTACTGTTCCCCGACCCCACCACCAAAAACCCCTTATCAACCCAACAGCACCCGATAAGATGCGTATCTTCAGCAAGAGCTCGTCCAACAGGAGGACATCTTCCAAGCCATCTCTAAGTGAACGCTCAGCTTCACTCGCCTCCTCAAGTTCCTCACTTCAATCTCCGACTGGAAAACGCTCGTCACCACCAACTAGGTCGGGACCGACTCCATTATCTCCAACAACATCCGCCCCGTCGTCGCATCGTCCTCAGATCCCAATGCCTAAAGCTCCAGATCCACTCGTCGACCCGGCGGCATACCTGCGCAGCATCGGGTCAGTCAGGGCACGATGCTCAGTGTTACTGGAGAAGGCACTGGATAATGATTTAAACCATTTCGAGGTCGACATGTCCAAGTTTGACGATTCGGTGGCTTTCGTTGTTTCAATCATCAAGGTACTCTTCCTCTGACCCCGCACCTCGCGCTCTACAAGATCGCAACTAACCACCATACAGCGAGACTTTGCACCGCACTATTCTACGATTCCCCCTCATGGACGCTGGCAACATTTTAATGTCGGCGGGAAAGATAGGGTTACACATCTTTTACAGTCATGGCCCAGCTCTGTCGACACGTCTGAGCGGACCCGCCGCCTTCTCGACCTATTCCTAGTTTCTGTGCTTCTCGACGCCGGAGCAGGCACTGCTTGGTCTTACAAATCGAAGGAGAATGGCAAGATCTACAGCAGGAGCGAGGGCCTTGCTGTCGCGAGCTTGGAAATGTTCAAGACGGGCATGTTCTCCAGTGACCCAGACCAGCCATTCCGAGTCGATTCCGACGGACTGAGGCGTCTCACAGTTGAGACCATGGGCAAGGGCCTCCAGGTCACCTCACAGAACCCGATCGCTGGCCTCGATGGCCGCGCGAACCTCCTAATCCGCCTCTCCAAGGCTCTGGAAAACCGCCGGTACTTCGGTGATGATTCACGACCAGGAAACATCATTGGTAAGGCCGTCCACTATGTCGCCCAACTTCCCGCAGCCACAATACACTAAACAGAGCTATTACTAACTTCTCCAGATTACCTGATTTCCCACCCAACCACCCAAATCTCCTCCGTCCCCATCGTTCCCCTCCCGACTCTGTGGCACGTGCTCATGGACGGGCTCGGACCCATTTGGCCCGCCTCCCGCACAGTAGTCGACGGAGTCAGCCTCGGCGACGCCTGGCCCCTCTCTTCCATGCCGCGCGAATCGAATAGTGCCGAGTGGGAAACCATCGTCCCATTCCACAAATTGACGCAGTGGCTCTGCTACTCCCTCATGCAGCCCATGTCCGTGCTGATGCACATCCACTTCGCGGGCACGGAACTCATGACCGGGCTCCCCGAGTACCGCAACGGGGGACTCTTCATCGATACCGGTGTGTTGACGCTCAAGTCGGAGCAGATGAAGAGGGGACTTGAGGGTTTCTCGGCTGAGGCGGATCGTAATGGGCAGAAGTGTATGGAGGTCGTGCCGATGTTTGAGGCGAGCGATGATGTGGTTGTGGAGTGGCGCGCGGTCACGGTGGGCTTCCTGGACATGCTGCTCGCGAAGGTGAATACCGAGCTGGGCTTGAGTGGGGAGGATGCCCTGTCCCTGGCGCAGATGCTGGAGGCGGGTAGCTGGAAGGTATGTCTTTCCTGAACAACCGATTGATTTCCCTATGTACAAAAAACTGACAGTTAAACAGGGTGGTCGCGAAATCGCGGAGGTCACAAGACCGAATACCAAGGAGCCGCCGATCATGATTATTAGTGACGGGACGGTCTTCTAAGCAACCTGCCTGATGGGCTGGATTTGATTATGACCCGAGTTGTGGTCAACTTTTTACCCATTTTTTTGTTTCTATGACTGAACGACACCCTCGACGGCGAGTACGGCGGGGCGAATACGATGGATTATGACGACTATGATACTAGAGAAAGGGGGGATAGAAAGGGGGATTTTCTGCATGTGGTGGGGTTGATACTACTATACTTTCCTGTTAACCCGCGATGGGCTTGGATTTGGGATGCATCTGCATTTTCGGTAGCAGCATGGGATGCGAGGGGTTAGATACTGCTGGGCTTGAGGCTGGTGGTGGTGCTGGTTCTCGTTAGATAGCGCTGGGAGAGAGAGACGCTAGAGAGACAATTGACGTGTGTACCAAGATGAAGCTGTTTTTGAGATATGCAGGTCCTGAAGCCAGTCTACTCGAGTACCCCTTTGCGGGGAGGCAGAACGCTACGAAGCTGGAGCTTGTGCTTGTTTGTGAGTCGAGGCATGAACAGCTCGTCTATCATTGGTAGAATACAAAAGCATCAAAGATGGGGAGTCTATTGTCAAAGGCGAAGGCAGCACTTGAGACATATAATGATCAAGAAGTGCGCTGGCAGAAGCAGGAATTTCTGCTTAAAGCTATCATCATACAGCATTGCGAAAGTACATAGGCGGCGAGATGCTCTTCTCATCACCGCCCCTTTTCTCGTCACAGCACCGTCTTCTCGTGACCCCCCTTTTTCTCGTCACCGCGGTGTCGCCATCCATCTCTTCTCCAAAACACCGTTGACGCGCTTTCTGACGCGCAGATAGGCTCAATGCGGCGAGACATAAGATTGCATCCAACCCCGCAATTGATGGGAATGAGTGGTCCCAGTAGTAGTGTTGGCTGAGCTGATGCCTTTAAGGAAGCTGTGAGGCTCAGACTGATGGAGTTTGGCTCGAGTGAGAAGGAGAGGGACTTAAAGGTTCGAACTACATGACGTGTAGTTTATGGATGCATATTATTACTATGCTGCACTGGAAGCGCCGAAAACAAATAGATTCGGTCAACGGGAACAATTAGAGTCTCTAGCATATGAATTTCTGAAGAAGACAGTCATGCATTTGGGTAAAATACCCTTGTGATACCCATTTCTCGCTGCCTTTCCAGGGCGCCAACCTCTGCAAACCTATATTATAAACATACAGCCCAAACCCCCGAATTATTCGCTCTCAAATACGCGATTGATATGATACACCGACCACGCCCAGCCTCCTCCTTGCTCTCCTCATCCCAAACTCCGCAAATGCATGCATTAAACGCCCCTCATCCCCATCCCATCCCCACCTGCCTCCCTACCCAAGCAACCTCCTCCCCCTCGCCTTCAACCCAAACCGATCCGCCCCCGTCGAATGCTGCCCCCGATCCAAGCCCATCAACCCCACCAGCCCCCCGGCCCTCTCAGCTTTATACCTCCGTAGCGCCTCGCGCAAGTGCTCCGCTGTCAACGGACCGCGCCTTTCTTCTTCCTTATTCGCCTCCCAGAGCTGGACGTCCTTGCTGGTGTCGACGGGCGCGGCGCCGCGCGCTTCAGGGTCATCGATCTGGGATTCCGCTGAGGCAGCAAGCCATTGCGTTTGGATCTTGCGGGCGCGCTCGATCAGCTCGCCTGCGAAAACTTTGGTCACGGATTTAACGGCCATAACGACGTTACTCGGGACGGATTGGGAAAGCGTCTGGTTCACGAGCTGCAAATGGGTCCAAAGTCAGCAAACCGCAAGGATGGGGGAGGTAAACAAATAAACTCACCCGTCGCACCACAGCATCAGCAAGCTTGCTAGACCTCCACCTCTCATACCTCGCATACTGATCCGGATCCAGCGCCCCAACCAACAACGCACGATAATACTTCTCCTTCTCCTTCTCCTCATTCGTGCGCGCCACAAGCGCCACATCCAACGTCCCCACCTCCTCATCATCATCTTCCGGACTCGCCCCCCTGGTCCCCTCCCTCTGTCTCTCCCCCGACGCCATCGACATCGCCGTGCTCCCTCCCCCAACAAGACTCCCCTCATCTGCCCCCCCTTTCCCTTTCCGTCCCCGTTTCTTGGGCGGCTTGGACACGACGCTGCTGGAGACCATGCTTGTGGCGTCTGCTGAGGGGGAGCGCGCGTCGGCGGAGTAGGCGCGGTTGAGGCCGTCGGGGGGGAAGGAGGTTTGGCGGAGGGGGTGGGCGGAGTGGGTGGAGGTTGTGGAGGGCTTGCGGCGTTTGGGGGGGGGGCGTGGTCGGTGCTGCGGCGTTTGGGGGGGAGGGGGGTGTGGGAGGGGTAGGGGGGGGAGACGGAGGTGCCGCCGTATTGGGGGGCGTAGGGGGGTGAGGTCGCCATTGTGAGGTGAGGTGAGGCTGTTGTGGTGGTGGTGGTGGTGAGGAGGGTGAGGGTGGATGGGTGTTTGGGTGTTTGGGTGTTTGGATGTTACGTCGACGGGCGCCGGGCCTCGCGCGTTCGGTGAATTGTATCCAGATTTGACTTTGACGCTGGAGATGGTAGAGAGGCAGGCGCAAGCTGTGACGCGATCTGTACGTGTTGAGAAGAGGCCGATGAGTCGAATAGTGGTCACGTCGATGGGTGCCGTGGATGCGTGGATGCGTGGATGCGTGGATGAGATGGATGAACTGGGAAGGAAAGATGTTTGTTGGATTAGGACCAATCAAAGGAGTCAAAGGACGAGGCTGACAAGGTACAGTAAGTAGCAAAGTAGCTCCAGGGTTTGACAGTGGTACGTACGTACAATACAATACAATACAGTACAGTACAGTACAGTACATGTAACACAAGGCGACCCAAGCAAGCGCAGAGAAGTCGCGGTACCTGAGTCGTTAAACCAGTGTAAGCCAGCGTTAAACCAGTGTAAGCCGGCGTTAAACCAGTGTAAGCCAGTGTTAAGCCAGTGTAAGCCAGCGTTAAGCCAGTGTTAAGCCAGTGTTAAGCCAGTGTTAAGCCAGTGTAAGCCAGTGTTAAGCCAGTGTTAAGCCAGTGTTAAGCCAGTGTTAAACCAGTGTAAGCCAGCGTTAAACCAGTGTAAGCCAGTGTTAAGCCAGTGTAAGCCAGTGTTAAACCAGTGTAAGCCTGCGTTAAACCAGTGTAAGCCGGCGTTAAACCAGTGTAAGCCAGCGTTAAACCAGTGTAAGCCAGCGTTAAACCAGTGTAAGCCAGCGTTAAACCAGTGTTAAACCAGTAAATTACTCGTAAACCCCACGCTTCAAAAGATTATCGGAGAGGCGATCCCGACTACTGCGACTACTGCACCAAATCGCACTGTAACTGACTTTTTAGTACTGGGTTCTATCAGTGCAGCATAGTAAAAGTGGGTGTGGACCCCCGGAATCTGAGTCCGACGTTAGCCTTGCCAAAATGTCCCCGCGGGGTCGTCATATAGATAAATTTCCACTCCGGCCTCGCCCACCATTACCATTCATTCCCTCTTCAATTCTTTCTTTCTTTCTCCTCCCTCGCCCATCTATTACCATGCCATCTCAAGCAAACATGGTAAAACTGACTGCCAACCCTGAAAGACGGGTCTTGCCAAATTCTGCGCCTGTCACTCCCGCAGAAATCTCGCGCGGACCAACTCCCAATGGGGTGTTGGGAGGCAAAGTGAAGAGTGATGAGTCCAGCAAGAGACGCCGCCGTCGCAAGGCCAGGAAACGCCGCAACAGTATCGGCAAGGCCCCGAGAGATCCCAGAGATGCCGTGTCGCCACCTGAGGAGCTCGAATCCGAGACCAGGTCCCCAAGTCCGGGCATTGATTTTGAGGGATTGAGCAAGCCGAGTAAATTACGCCACCGTATATATTCCAGCCAGTGGATTGTCACTAACGCTGTTCTCAGGTATTGGAACGGTGACACGCTTGGAGGAATCACCGGATAAGGCATTGGAGCGCCAGGCAAAGATTGCTGGTGCCGTCCGTACTATTCTTGAGTGCATCGGTGAGGACCCGAACCGCGAGGGCCTACTCGGGACACCGGATCGATATGCGAAGGCCATGCTGTTCTTCACGAAGGGGTACCAGGAGAACATCAAGACGATTGTCAATGATGCCGTTTTCAACGAGGGCCACAACGAGTTTGTCATTGTCAAGGACATTGAAGTCTTCTCTCTCTGCGAGCATCACCTGGTACCTTTCACAGGCAAGGTTTGTTGTCCAACCAAGTTCCATCAGCCACAGCAGACAGCTAACCAATTAATCAGATGCACATTGGCTATATTCCAGATAGAGACGTTATTGGGATTTCGAAGCTCCCCCGCATCGCCGACATGTTCTCCCGCAGACTACAAGTCCAAGAGCGCTTGACCAAGGACGTCGCTCACGCAATTATGGACATCTTGAAGCCACAAGGTGTGGCGGTAGTGATGGAAAGCAGCCATTTATGCATGGTTATGAGAGGCGTCGAGAAGACCTCCGCGACTACAATTACCAGCTGCGTCCTCGGCTGCGTCGAGAAGCGCGAGAAGACGAGGAATGAGTTCTTCAGCCTCCTCGGCCTGAACAGGCGGTGATATGTTCTTCATCGGAGGGCGGGGGGACATTTTTTGGTATCAGCATGTTGGAATTGGTGGATGTCTGAAAATCTCGGGCTATTACTTTGCGGGCGTTTTAGGATTACGAGTGTTTGCGGTCTTCAACACCTAGCACAGGAGCGGCGTTTCTTGGTCTTAACGCCATACATTGCGTTGTCTTCGGCACAGAATGTGTATTTACATGGAGGCATAGTGTGGATAGGTCGGCAGTATAGACGGCTTGTCACAAATGTTCACAATTGCAATTTGTTGCACATCATCGAATGGTGCAGCTATGTGTTACTCATCAATGTTCACGTTTCCACTTTCCAACCTTTCTAAGCTCCGGGTGAAGTCCTTGCTTGACAGCCAGGCTAACAGAACTAACAGACTGAAGGACGTCCTTTGTCACCTCCTCTAGCGACTTCCCTGCGTCATATATGACCATATCCGAAGCCTCCTCCTCCTCAGAGTCATTCAAAGCATGGAATAGTTTCCTAACCTTCTCCTGCATCTCTCTCTTCTCATATTTCTCATCCCCGTAGCCGCCCCTCTCCTCTGCAACCTCCGGTTCCAAGTCCAAGAATATGACTAGGTCCGGTCTTGGAAGGCCCACTTCCGGCTCCCGAGCCCATGGTAATGACAGCTGTGGATTGGATTTTGCTGCACTGTATACCACTCCAGAGTAGTAATAACGGTCACAGATGACGGTATATCCATCTGCTATATCCTTCTCAATCTGCTTCCTGTGATTTTGTTAGAATCTACCAGAACCACAAGCCATGACCCATGGGAAAGCAAACATACGCAAGCTCCCATCTGTTTGCTGAGAAAAGGAGGTGGATAACGTGATCTTCCAGATCAGATTTACTTTGTAGATAATTATTTATCATTTCCCCAATAACAGTAGTTCTATCTATAAGCAATTGTTAGTACCCCAGGAGATAAAAGGGCCGAAACGGCAGGCAGGCTGAAGGGAAGTGAATTTACCAGGAAAGCGCCGAAGCTTGACTTTATAACCTTCACCCACAAGCGCAGCCTCGATCCTCTTTGTCTGCGTCGTTTTCCCCGACCGATCCAACCCCTCCACCACAATAAAGGGCCCACGCCCTTTGGCGTCTATCGCTTCCATGGTTTGGGCTTATACGTGTGTTTGGCCAGTATGTATCCGCATGTTACATGCTTGCGGCTGGCCATTCGCGTAAAGTACCGCCCACCGGGAGGGCGACGCGATTGCCACTAGTGCGCTGCCGTTGCGATCTCAGCCTTGTCGTCGGCCAGCTTCAACTCACCTCCAAACGGTTGATTGCGATCATACTCAATTGTCGTCATAATACGGTTTTACAACAGTTACTGAGAAATGAGAACCTAGAAGGTATTTGATATTGCGATAGGATCGCAGTCAAGTTCTATTTCGTGGAATCATCGCGGAGCCACCATCACTTCACCACCGCTGGAATATTCCGACTTGCGCCAACGACTTGTCGCGTGCTATTACATCAACGATCACATTCAACAAGAACAAGGATCGAGGAGTCTTTATCCTCAGAAAGACGCTGAAAGATCCTCTCGAGAGGCTTGGCTACCTACGTAGCCAGTCGCCTTTACTTCCTTCAACATGGCGGACCAGAAACTTGTGTGGAACGCCGACAACGTTCGCGATGTCGCAGAGTCCGTCGGAATATCACAACTGGGTGAAGAGGCCGTGAGGGCACTATCACAGGAAGTTGAATATCGTGTGGGCCAGGTTATTGTGGAAGCGACGCGATTTATGCAGCAGGGGAAACGGACTGTGCTGGGAACGCAGGATATATCACAAGCCTTGAAGGTGTTGGACGTTGAGCCTCTATATGGCTACGAATCCACTCGACCTCTCAGATTTGGAGAAGCTTCGCTGGGCCCTGGACAACCACTATTCTATATTGAAGATGAGGAGGTGGATTTTGAGAAGCTCATTAATGCGCCCTTGCCCAAAGTGCCAAGGGACATTTCATTCACTGGTATGTTATTCATTCTGCAATTTATACAACATTCTGACAAAAAACAGCACACTGGCTCGCTGTGGAAGGAGTCCAGCCTTCAATACCCCAGAATCCCACAACCGCTGAAGCAAGAACACAAGAGCTGGTCCCCAAGGGCGCAAACGCCAACCCCACCCTGACCGCTCTAACGGGCAACGACAATGTCGGCTTCAAGCCACAAGTCAAGCACATCCTCTCCAAAGAGTTGATGCTCTACTTTGAGAAGATCCGCACCGCCATCCTCGACACCGACCCGGATGACGACGTCGTCCGCCTCCGTGTCGCCGCTCTCGCCAGCGTCGAAAACGACGAATCCCTCCAGCAACTCGTGCCGTACTTTGTGCAGTTCATTGCTGAGAAGGTGACACATAACACAAAGAACATCTTCGTCTTGCAAACTATGATGGAGCTTGCCTCTGCGCTCACAAGAAACGAGCGTCTCTTCATCGACCCTTACACCACAACCCTCTGCTCCTCCGTACTTACATGCCTCGTCGGTCGTGGTCTCACGAATGCCACCCCTGTGGAGGTCAAGGACCACTACAAGCTTCGCGAGTTCTCCGCGTCCCTCCTCGGGCATATCGCGAAGAAGTACGCCAAGTCGAGTCAGCAGCTCAAGCCGCGTCTGGCACGTACTGTTCTCAAGTACTTCCTTAACCCCAAGAAGCCGCTCGACCAACACTACGGCGCCATCAGTGGTTTGGTCGCGGTGGGTGGTCCGGAGTCGGTGCGCATGCTTATCATCCCGAATCTGAAAGCCTATAACTCAGTGTTGGCCAAAGGACAGACCGAGAGTCCCCTCGATGCGGAGATGGTCGTTGGTGCCCTGATGAAGGCGGTTAGGACTCTGGAGGAGGACGCAGCGGTCCTGGCGAATGGGAATGGCAACGGTATTGAGGAGCTGTCAGCACAGGTGGAAGAGTTCGTGGGGCCCATCATCGGTGACCAGATCAGTAAGCTTGGCGACCATAAGCTTGAGAAGGCGATTCTGGAGTGTCGATCATGATTGGGCAAGGAAACGTTAGAGTAGGGCGGATAAGCATGTAATGGCGTACGGAGTTTGAGGGCAATGGTGCAAAAAGCACTTTGATACAGGCAGAAATAGGGATAGGGGGATGAGGGCCGGATGGAAATATAATGCTAGTCTCTTCCGTAATACACCCAAAATATTTACGTTCACGTCCCGGAAGATGCACCGTTCACTCCATTGCTTCGTCCAAAGGCACCCGAATTATATTCAATAAGTATTTTATTCCACAATCTGTTCTTTATCTTGATACAGGCAACTCCATCCCCCAACGATCAATCCCACGATCAATGTAACCCCCCTCTACACACCCCTTAAACAAAGAGAGAAAGGTACAAGCTCGACGCAGCAGTCAAACCAATCACAGTCCACCCCGTCTTAATAACCGCCTTATTCGTGAACTGGCGTCCCGTATCCCACACCAAATGCCTAACCCCATTAAACGCATGGAACGTAAACGGCACCGAGAAAAACAGCTTCGTCGCAACCTGCGCGACAATAGGCCATGCCGCAAACCCAGCCGCCAACGACGCAGAACCCAGGTTTAGCCCCAGCACCGGCGCCGCAAGGTACCCGATCCCGAAGAGGTAAAAGGTCCCCGACAGCACGGCGCCCGTGATGCGGTTGAACATCGACGCGTACCATGTGATTTGCGGGCGATAGATGCCCAGATGCGGGGAGACGGGGCGGAGGCGGCGCTGCTCGACGAGGATCTTGTAGGAGTCGGCGGGGGTGAGCTTTTGCGTTGCGACGGGGCTGTGGGTGTGTTAGCAGGGGAGGAGCTGGGGGCCCGCGGAGGACGGGTGGGAATGGGCGTACCGAGTCTGGATCTGGGATGTGAGGGAGAGTGGCGCGGCGACGTTCTTGGATGCCGCTTGGGAGATCACCGAGCGCTGGGCAACTAATGGGAGTTCTGTTAGCAGCTGTTTCCATGCGTCCGTCTGATGCCGGGACGTAGCATCGTCATTGCGTTGGACCGGGGAATCACGTACAGCGCCTCAGCGCCTGCTGCGTAGCTCTCTGCGCAAGCATTGTGACTCAATTGATGATTCGGGTTCGCGTTGCAGCTTCAATCGGACAATGGCAAAGGAGAGTTGTGCCGTGTGGTATAGGACTCCAATCAACACGCAGTAGGATGCTCGAGAATTCCCGATATCAACTGTTACCGAGGACCCGACCAGTGACGATTGAAATATCTCCGGTGTGATTGGCCGGAAACTTAGGGCCATTTCAATATCACGTGATTGTCGCTTCGGAGGCGGTGGTATGTTTGAAATTCTCGGCGGAGGCTTGGGATTCTTTCTTCTCTCTTCAACGAACAGCAAAACATCGCTTTGCCGTCATTCTGAGGATAGGGCAGCGGCGATGTATTGATACCACTTTGGCGTTATGTCATTGAGGTGTCTATCTTTGTTCTGAGAGCAGATTGTTCTGTCGTTAATCTCCGACCAAGGAACTCTATTCTTGAGTCAGTTTCATTTTATGAACTACATCTAAATTCCCTTTTGCAGTTGTATATCTACATAGCTTTAATGTCATGCAATTACCACTCTCCATATTCTCTTGTATCCGTTCTGTGAATAACAACGGTGTTTTGGAGACCACGTCTTTTGGAGGAGGATCTCAGGAAACAAATTTTCCATGCACGTCGAAATAGTGGGGTCCTGTCAGCACAATTTATCAAAAAAATTATAAACGTTTCAGCAAGTATCAATGGTGATAGATAGCATTAGATTTTATCTCTTAATACCAACCACTACCAAATTTCTAGGACTCTGCTTGTAGTCGAAAACGGCTTCAACCCAGCAGTCCTTCACCAACTTTGGATGCTCCCTCAGGAACAGCCATCTGTCAGTGACTATCAAGCTCTCGACAACTCCAGCACTGAAAGCCATGAGACTCCACATTATGCTGAGCTCCTTCTTCCTAGGGCCGTACTTCTTTGCATATACTTCGATGTCTTCATCTGTCAAAGTCCCCATTTTCTCTGCAATCTCCTTTCCGCGGACAGGATCGCGCGTAAGCTTCTCAACAGCACCCTTAACGTAATCCACGAAAGACACATAGCATCCTTTCCGTAACGAGCCAATAATCACTGGATCTGTGCGGTCAGTCTTCGGTGACTCCGACCCAGCATCTCCACTGTCATGAGGTGGCGGTGCTGCGCCAACGACGCCAGTATCAAGAAACACCTTCTGCAGCAACGCTCTGTAGTAATGGCGTGTAAAGAAAGCATCACTTTCCTTCTCAGTCCAGTTCTGCGGCGCCTGAACAGCCATCATGCGAGCAGTAATGTTCAGGCGGATTCCGTCTCCATTATGGGTCCCGACTCGCTCACTCATCGGGTAGCCATGCGGATCGAATGTTGCCGACTCACGGGCCGTGCGGGCGTTCACCGCCTGGAGATTTGGGCGTAGGATGGGATTCTTGAAAGTGGGTGGCCCAAGGCGCTCGGTAAGGAGGTTATAGCAGCAGCCAACAATTGCTACTGCGTTTACCGACGGGTTTAAAAGGAGCGAGCGGATGCCGTGATGTGAAAGGTTTCCGCAAGAGTGAATGGATATTGTCATAAGGCTCTTTTTAACAATGCCTCCTCCGCATTGCCTTTGGTGATTGCTACCATCGTCAAGCCCAAGGGCAGCAACAGAAGCAGCGAGATTCGACTCTACCTCCACATGATCAATTTGAGGGATAACTTCCGAAAGATCTCCATGATTCAAGCGCTGTTCGACGTATTGAATAGACCCTTGGCCTTCTCCACTCGTATATATAGTCGCAAGGTCCCTATATGGTCTGAAATCAGCCCCATTCTCCGTTGATATAGTCTGGGACTTTGCAGCTATCCTTTCCTCCTTCTCCTTTTGCGTATCCTGTGACATGTCATCGTCCATCTGCTGCCGATATATCTTCTTGTTCCGCATTACAACCTCTCTCTCTGCGAGGCTCGTAAATATATCCATATTCTTCGCCCCGGTGATATTGATTTCCCGGCCCTCCACTGCAATGATGTGTTTGTTATAAGGCGGATTCGCCAGAGCCCGGCCAAGGTAGTTCTGTCCGCTGCCAAAATCTATGTAATGAGTAATATTCTTGTTCGTTTGTACAGCAACGTCTTCGGCGAGACGGTCCACGTAGTCTGCGAAGTTGGTGACCTCGTGGATTTTCTTGGGAACCATTCCCACAGCAACATTCCTGGGCAACTTGCTCTGTTTGAGCTTCCTCGGGGCATACTGCCGTTGCAGAGAGTGTTTCCGAATGTCTTTGATGTATTTTATAAGACTGGGACTCGGGCCTGACACATTATCCAGGTCGTCTCGTATGAGCGCGTCGAGTAATTCCATGGAACTGCAATTTGAAAGCCATGAGTGCCATTCTTCTGGGATCACAGATTCGTAGAGCCCGGGTTTTCTGGTAAAGAAGTCGAGGATATGGACCCCGCCACACAGGGTCTGGAATAGTGTAGATGTGGTCGCGAAATCCAGCAAGGAATCCACATATTCTTCTGCAGTTTTAAACTCCGAGGAGAACGGGAGCGGCTTATCTGGCGCCATGATAACCTGCACTGCTTCACGAATGACGTCTTCCTTTCGTGGTTAAATCAATAAGTTCTCTGAGGGGCTCATTCAAAAATAATTTAGAGCTGTATCACGGCAGTTCCCGCATTTACCGCAACGTCAGCCTTCCTGGCCTCAGCCTTGCTTCGTGGGACATGCCAGGTTCCCATCTACGAGACTCAATCAACGACCAACAGAATCGAATCTTGGGGGCTCGTAGCCCACTCAAAACTGGAGGATGATGTCGTCTATTAATGAAGAGGACCCATTCCTCCAAGTTCAGGCGTACGCCGCCCCCCGCTTGAACGCATCTACACCCTACTGACGGTTCCTGCAGAGATGTCCTTTCCCAACTAAACACCACCCGACCCCTCTTCGCCTCCTATCTCCGCATCCGCTCTCTTTCTCCAAATCCCAGCAGCCCGGAGGTAACATCTGCGCGCGCGGATCTCGAGTCTTCCCTCTCAACTCTAGCCGAAGACCTTGCCGACCTCGTCTCCTCCGTCAAGGCAGTCGAGACCGACCCCCACAGATATGGGCTCCAAATCGAGGAGGTGGTGCGGCGCAAGCATCTCGTCGACGAAGTCGGCAATGAAGTCGAAGATATGCGCGAAGAGCTGTTAAAACACCTGTCTCAGTCGAAGTCGCGCAATAAGTCTCTGCCACCCGGCGTGGATGAGGAGCAGGCGGTTAGAGACGATATGTACGAGGCGTTCGAACAGCAGGAACAGCAGCGCATTATGAATGATCAGGATCAACAGCTTGATGGCGTGTTCCGTACCGTGGGCAATCTGAGGCAGCAGGCTGATGAAATGGGCCGTGAGCTCGAGGAGCAAGCCGAGATACTGGAACATGTCGATTCGGCGGCGGATCGGGTTGGGGGCAAGCTCCAGACAGGGCTTCAGAAGGTGGGATGGGTTATGAGGAACAATGAGGAAACGATGAGCAGTTGCTGTATTGGGGTGCTTATAGTGGTACTTATAATTTTGTTGGTCCTTCTCTTGGTGCTGTAGTCGGACACTGTACACTGGGGGAGTTGGCGTTGGATTGAAGATGTATACATACTACGGAATCAGAACATTGTTTATTCGTTCACTTCATTTAGGTTACTCAGTTGGGATCGACCGTCTACATAGACTGTCCTCTCGCTGTACCTGATTATAGCTATAATGACTCCTTTACTTTGGGCAGACTCTAATATCACCCGGTGTCCACAACAGTACCTACTGTTGTGGACATCGGGTGATACCTTCCCTAATAGGGGTGTTACCCAGTTACCTAGGTAACACTCCTATTAGGGAAGGTTTCCAGCAATGTTGGGCTATAGTACATTGAAGGGCCAAATGCTCGCTCGTGTCTGAAGCAATCCATAGCTCTATTATGTTGCCAACTGTAGGAAGGGCCGACGGATCCTATAGTATTTCACCAAGTATTCAACACAATGGAAAGCTCTATGATGAAATTCGCTACTCAACTGCCTCGCGGCGAAAACGCTTCGAACACTATGCCTGATCATGAATCATGTAAAAGGTAGGTACGGATCAGAAGCCCGCATCAAAAGTCCCCATGCACCATAAATCCCTACTGTGCTCACTGCTCGGAGCAAGGCCGAATAGAACCACCAATCCCTCCCTCATCATCAATCAATCAAAAAAAGAACAGATCGTTAACGTCGTCGACACCTTTGCATCTCTCATCATAGCAACGCTGAGGAGCGTTTTTGCGGCAGCTCCAAAGTCCCAGCGTTCTCGGAATTATCGTTTCCCAAACTTTAGGCTCGAGAGGCGCCGAGTTTCGTGCTGAAGGAACCATCGCTGCCCGAGCTCCCATTATGAAAAAGCGTCTTGCTAGGTAGCAGACAACCAAAAAGGGTTAAATCCCAACAAAATCTATCGAAACAGGAATTTTTCAAGTCACAAGAATCTGGCATATGCATCAGCCACAAGTGAGCGGCATATACCAGAGTATATAGATCATCGCTGATTCCTGGAGCTGCCTACCGAGTTTTGACGATCGTGGAGGCTAGGTCTCCTCTCCCTCCGGTCGCTATCTTGTAACTTCAGTGAGTCCAGGCGCTTTTGGTTGTCTTCCGTCATCGGGTCCATCTCATGTGAGGGAACTGCGCCGAGCGTGGCCACCCCGTTCGCCTTTCCATGCTTAGCTTGTTCTGCGAGGGCTTTCCATTTGTCCTCTCTAGCTTGCATACGTGCGTCTGCATTGTTCTGGTGCTCTGTATACTCGTGGGAGCAGTCGTCGAATAACTTAGGGTTGATCTCCATAAATAGCTTCATGGCGTTATAAACCATGCCATGGATTGTCCTATAGTGTATTAGCGTTGTTTCCAAGTTAGATGATCCGGATAGCGTACCTATTCCAATGGCCCTTGGAGTTCTCATAAAGAGGGGCGAACATAATTGGCAAAATGACCTCGACGTTGTCGCTGACAAGGTTGCAGAAGTATTCGTTGTTCCAGAAATATAGTGCTCTCTCCGCAACTTGGAAGTGGGGGCTGGCCACTGACTTCGCAAGCTGATGGAACAAAGGTTCCTGGACCTTTGCAAATTCAGCAGGATCCATAACCTCGAATATGTCTTCCACTTCATTCAGGAACATGACTTCTTTTGTGCTGTTAACCTTCGGCCAATATCTCAGTAGGCCCAAAACAACCTAGATCTTGTCAGTATACTATGGCGGGGGCTAATTCAGGGCTACTAACCTCTTCTGTTAGTGCGGCATCCTTTTCGAGGAACTGGACTATGCAGTACGCAAGTTGGGGATGATACATGCTGAGGCTCTTGACTTTGTGCATCGGTAGGAGGACCCTGGTCAAGAAGAGCTTGTGCTCCTCTTTCAGGGGTAGGGCAAATCCGTTGATGATTGACCCAAGGATTTCCAGCAGCTCGGCGATTCCATTGAATCGTTCGGTTTCATAAACGAACTGGAAAAACACGTTGTTGATAGATCTTCTGATATAGGAGCGGAGATTGAGGAATTTCCCATATATCCTATGGAGGGTCGTCTTGAGGAAATCACGTTCCCTGGGGTCTTCAGAGTCAAATAGCTCAAGCAGTTGCAGTACAAAGCTATGGTCGATGTATACCTTCGCAATGTTGGTGTTGAAGTCTTGGCTCTCAATGAAGCGCAAAAAGAACTCATAGACAACTTGGATATGTGGCCACGCAACTTCCAACACAGGCTCGTCTTCCTCGGGGTCAAAGGCCTCGCCTTGGGGGTTCATAGGCGGAGGTAGTGGCCGGAAGAGGTTCTTGTTGAACATATCAACGACACGCGGATACATAGCATCCGTAATGACCTGGCGGTTGTTTGCAACGTAATCCAGAAGCTCATGGAGGGCCACGCGTTTAATTTCCTTCGATTTGATGTCGCCTGTCGCATCATTGAAGTCGAAAATGACATTACATTGGTCAATTTTCTGCATGAACAGCTCTTGTCGCCTGTTTGGAGGCACTTCATGGAAACCAGGAAGCTTCTCTAGCTCTCTAAGAGGGGATATGTCAAAGCGCGATGAATGTTGTCGCTTGGGTGTTCTGATACCTTCTGGTACATCCTTAGGCGTCGCTTGCAACCTGTCGAACACGAGGTTTTTTGAGCCCGCTTTAGGGGGTGCCAAATCGTGAGGCATTGTCTCTGCCGATCCTGGGGGCGGGACATGCTGTCTCGTGTTAGTAAAGAGGATCAACGCAAACGGAAGAACTGGGTGCATACCGGCGCACTAGGACTGATAACCACGCTTGGTGGTAGTATTGGATGCCTGTTTGGTGTACCAGGAGCTGTACCACTCGGAGAATTTGAACCAAGCGTCTTAAAACGGTCCGCAGCTGGAAGAACTCCATGTTGTCCGCCATTCAGCGCGTTGGCAGGCGCTAGTAACGGCGAAGCTGTGTGTCCGCTAACAGGAGTCCCTGAATCACCCGCTGGCAGTGGCTTGTTTCGTGGGTCGTTTAGTGAAGTCGTCGAGGCAGAAGGTGTAACGCTTGGCGATTGACCAGCCTCTCTTGACGACCCAGAGGCCGATGGAGATGATGTGCCATCCTTCGGATCTTTATTTTTCTTGGAGGACTTGTTCGGGTCTTTCGAACGCGAGAGCTGGTCATGCTGAATGAGTTAGACATTCTATACCCGGATCGCTGCGAGACTAGACATAAATGAGGGATGATGAAAGGGGTTCTTACAACTCTCTGCCTGAATCCTTTCATCCTGGCTGCTATACCGGGAATGATACGCTGGCCAAGTTCTGGGTCGGTTTTGCTGACCTGGTGGGGTCAATAATTCTTTTGGTTCTAGTGTCTTGAAATGTTCGGCACAGGTCCAATGGTTCTCAGTGAGTTTAGAGGGCTTGTACGCTCTTTGAGTAGCAATTCGAGGGCGGAATAGATGGAGGAGGCTGGGTTATCGGTTGTGGCCGGTAACCTAATTTCGTATAGTTATGCCACAGCGTAAGTAAGAGTCTCGACGGCCAACCTGTTGGTTTACTGTCAGCCCGCTCAGGGTGAGTCGTTGTCAAGCAGTGCAATCTAGATCAATTGATTGCTATGCAAGACTCACCTTTCACTGGGCCCCTTTCAGCTCTTGAATCCTCCACGGTTCAGCTGCGAGATCTTGTGCTAGCAAGCGTTGTATGAAGCTCCTATGCCGACATCGGGAGGTTGTGTAGGGAGTTCTGGGCAAAGAGTCTTTATTCTGAAAACGAGAGCCTGCAGATAACGTAGTTGTGATTGCCGGGAAAGCGAAGAGTTGTTGGAGTTGCAGGGCAGAAGGCTGTTTACACCGATGGACTTCAGATGTGATGTTAATTAACCCCAGGTGAGGTTGGCCAATGGCACGGTCGCATACAATAGAGGTGGCAGAGCTTACCACAAACGCTTGGCATCAACTTTATATGGCGACGCTTTATATTACGACACACTTTATAGCTTCTTACAACTTATCACAGGACGACACGACATAGATTATAATGCAAGCTGGATTGTATATCAGCATGGTGCAGATATGAATGCTCTTGCCGTATTTGACGTACGATTCATAGCTGCTCTGCTTTATTTGCCCCCCAGTACCGAATTGTGGAGGTTCACGTGACGAAAGCATGATCTTTACCAGCCTTTGGTAAATCACCTTCAAAAGAGAATCAAATCCAATAGGGGCGAGCTATGGCTTCCTTTGGGTCTTCGCCGGTCTATACCGTGCCACGCCGAAAGGTTGTTGCTGTGGAGCACCCGATAGCAATCAACGATGTCGACAGTGCTATGAAGACTTTTGGTCGAGGCGCGCCGTTAGCCCAGGTAAGCCAGGCTTTGCTATCACGACACTTACTGGATTAAGAAACAGTTATCCCGTCTGTCTATACTAGGACTTTACTCTTCCAGAGACCATGGCGTTCTCAGCCTTGATTTCATATGCTGTCTCAACGAGCCCATAGACAGATCACTGACATATATCCCAGATACTTGATGCCGAAGATTATGACGGTTGTCTGCCACTGTTTTTGCGCCCAGGGGACCCATCGTGTCCTCCCAATCTGTCACAAAATGCACCTACCAATAATGTGTTGCTGAAAGTCACCATCCCGAAGAGGACAGGTTGCAGGCGCAAACGGGGCTCCCAGGATCCTTTTGAGTACCACTCATACATGCAGGAAGCAGAGCCTGAGTCAATGATCCATAACGATCAGTCACCGGGGCTGCTGTCACACTCACGACTTGATGATCCTAGCTATCTACAAAAGAGACTAAGAGATTGCCGTGGATATTATCACATTGAGCCTGTAGGCTCTATCGAACAGACTCATCGATATAGGGGGCTCTCAGATTTCCACTATTCCACCACGCACGGAAACTATATGACAAAATTCCGTAACACCATTATGACTGGTGATCTGGATAAGATCAAACAATACAAACTCGATCCTAGCCGCGGCCCAAAGCAAATGACAGAGCTTATCCCGCCTCCAACGATGACCGATCACCCTCTTCCTTTCAACTGGGGCTACCATCAAAACCCAACCATCAGGGTTACTACAGACCATCAAACTGGTAAGAAAACACTTATCAATCATTCCACTCCCGCGAGGCTTGCCACCCTCTACGTCGCCCATGACATCCCAGTCACACCTTCCGGTCCAACGAACCCTCCGCCTAACGACCCCCTCCTCATCTCTGTCATCGAAGAGCTCCAGGCCGCTCTCGCGGAGCGCCCAATATGGACCCGCCGGGCGATCATGAACCGCATCGGCGCCTCCCCAGGTGTCTACCTACTCAAGCCAGCCATGCAGTACGTGGGCTACCAATTCCGCGGCGGTCCCTGGCGCGACGCCATCATCCGATACGGCGTAGATCCTCGCACAGATCCTAAATACCGCTTCTACCAGACGCTGTTCTTCAAGATCTACGACGAGGTTGAGAAGGTACCTGGGCAGCCTTGGACGGATATCAGGTCTGAGTATACACGGCGCGCGCAGGTCACGGATGTCTCCCTCGACAGTCATATCTTCGACGGCACGAAGCTATCGCTCGATGGCAAAATCTGGCAGGTCTGCGATATTACGGATCCGATGATTCAGCGCCTCGCATCGACGTCAACATTACGCTCAACCTGCGATCTCGAAGTGAACGGCTGGTACTGCAACGGGACATGGGCTAAGATTAAGGCCGTGATGCGGACGAAGATCTCCGCAATCCGTGCAGGCAAGCACGTCCCAGATGAAGCCTTCGAAACCGTCCTCAAAGTCCCGGACTTCGTGGAGGAGAAAGCCAAGGCGGGCAAGGTCTCCATCCCGATGCCTGATCTGAAGAAAGTCGGCATTAAGGTGGGGGAGAGTGTGAACGGGGCGAGGAAGAAGAGAATCAGAATGGCGGCTAGGAGATGGAAGGCAGGTGGCGCGAAAATTCCAAGGTTGAGTGCAGTGCCCGAGGATATAGCGGTGACTGGTGATGGTAGTACTGCTGCTGAAGAGTCGGTTGAGACTATGACGGAAGATCAGAATGCGAGCGTCTACGGAACGGAGCAAGATTATGATGAGGATGAGATGATAGAGGAAGAATATGACGACGAAGGAGGACATGATGAAGATGAGGATGAAGTTGATTACGATGAGGCAGAGTCTGAATCCGAAGGTGCAGGGGATAGTGGGGGGCGATGATGAGGATGACATAAACTCTCCCAAATAGAAACTCAGAAGGCATCAATAATGATAAGAGAAATAAAGTATAATTTCTAAAGCTCTATTTTATATATGAACTCCCATCATGCCACACTAGTTTCGTAATCGTGTCCAAGAGCCTCATCCGCTGGGCTGGTACGCTGGGCCGGGTATTCCAGCTTACTAGACATTTAACGCCAAATATAAACACTTTAGCTGCCTGTCACACTACATCTAGCTCCTCATCTTCTTGAGAGGGGGGGCCTCATCATCATCAGACAATCCCTGGAACGATCCAGCCTCGTCGTCCTCATCACCAGACTCGAAGTCCAGATCAGACAAGGCATCCTGCTCCTGTGCTTGTGCTGGATAATGTTAGTTCTATAATCTCTTAAATAGAAGATTCCTTGGAATGAGAGACTTACTGAAGTACTTGATCGCTCCCGGCCACAGATCCTCAGCAATGGCAATGGCCAAGTCATCTCCATCAGGGAAGATCTCGAAGCTCATCTCCAGATCCTCCAGATCCTCCTGCTCCTCAGTAATCGGCTCATCCTCCGCCACCTTCTCGCCCTTGCGCCTAGCTGCCTCGCGCTTAATAGCCTCCTTCGACACCTCCTCGGTAACTCTGCGACCAATGAAGCCGAACCAGGAGAAGAAGGAGAGTCCACCCATACCGGTGCCCTCAATCTTCTTCTGCAGCGCCTTCTGCGCATCGTTCGGCTCGCCCTTCTTCGCTGCCCCGCCGTTGCCAGCCTTGTCAACCCCCCATGCCTTGATCACCAGGTCCAGCAGGCCTCCAGTGAGATCCTTGTCCTTCTTCCAGTTGATCTTGACCGGCTCGCTGATGAGTCCCGACCAGCCATCCGCGGCAGTGCGGTACCAGAACTTCTTCTCCAGGACCCTGTTCTCGAAGTACTCGTTCTCGGCGAACTCGAACTTGATGGCGACAGAGCGGGGGTCACCGTTCTTGCCCTTGCTGGTGATCTCGAAGTTGTCGACGGAGAGGGAGGTGAGGGAGGAGAGGAGGAGCGCGGAGTCCGAGGGCTGGATGAACTGGTCGATATCTGGGGGCGCCTGCTCGAGGACTAACGGCCAAAAGTTCTCGATCTTGGAAAGGATCTCTGCGCGCTTCACGTAGAGGGGTGCGGTGAGCGCAACTTGTTGCCTAACTATAATGGTTTGTTAGATAAGCCCAATTCTCGAGTTTGGGGGGCGTAGAGGCATCGAATGCGCTTTGCGACAGGGCATTGGGAAGATTATTCTTGAAAATAATCTCTTAAAATATCAGACAAGGAATGCGATTCAAACTTACTTATCTCCGTATCCGCATCATCGAACTCCTTCTCGATGTTCGCCAAGTCCTCGTACGAAATGGACGAGTTCTCGAGTGCAGTCGCCATCGCGGAAGAGGTAAATGCAGCTTCTTGGGCCATTTTCGAGTTTCAGTTGTTTTTTATGTTTGAAAGATGGTGGGCTGTGAGAATAGCTTGTTAGAATTTTGATGTTGCGAGGACGTGCGCGCTGGGCAGATCTGCGGGTGGACTTTTACTGGTGATCTGACCTTGACCTGGATTAAGGTAGACCCCCTGCTGCCACAAACTGACTCTCCATGCGCGGAGCGTGCATTGGCGAGTAATGATGACGGGGAATAATGCTCCACCATGACGAGCTGTGATATCTGATATTTCGGAGATTTGTGAACAAATCCTTGCGCACAGCTCCTGAGAGCAAACGCAAATGTGGGATCTTCTATATTTTCAGGGTTAATAACTGCCTCTCTATCCTGCCGGGAACAGGGTTAGAAAATCAATTATAATCATGATTATTAGGTCGTAAGTTAATCATAATCATGATTATTTACAAAGCGCATAACTAACTTAAGACTAGTCATGCTTACATAATATTCGACTATTCGAATAAGTTAAGTGCTAACCCTGGCCGGGAAAATATTCCCCATATAATGTCCCTATGATGATAATATTCATATATTTTTATTAAACCTACTCGAAGATATTTCTCGCTGGAATAAGGAATCATAGTAAACAATAATACACATAGGTAGGTCAATTTATTTATCGACTCACAATTTACAAAGTTTCATAGATTAATTAAAAAATACTGAACATTATATACGCGTGTAAATTTCATTAATCATTCATCTATGAATACTGAATACCAGTCAAACTACATAAACCGTGTCAAAACGCCATATCCCACATGCGTTATTACATATCATCCTCATCACTCAAGAGCTCTTCCACCAATGAATCTCTGGGCCGCTGATTCCTCTTCGGCCTTGTGGCCAACACGCTCGTCTCGCCCAGCATCGATAGCTCACCTCCCTCGCGCCCTTCGTTCAACTGCTCCTGGACTAATGCCCCGATCGTGTCTTCATCTTGTTCGTCATCAACATCATCCTGCTCTACCGTCATAACTGTCCTCTCATCTGCACCATCCTGCTGTACCGTCGTTATTGTCCTCTCATCTGCATCCTCATCCTCATTCGCCTCCCCGACTTCTGTTTCAGGGGTTGCGCTGCCCCTATCTCGTGGGAGGCTGCTGTTCGGGCCCTGCTTCTGGGCCAGGTTATTCACAATTTTGCCCAGGCTGATATGGATTTTGAACAAAGCATTTCGCCCTGTGGCATCAAGGACGAGCTTATCCCCGACGGCGATGCAAATTTCGTCATAGAGAACGCGTATCTTGTCTTGTGATGATGCCGCGGAAATATGTACCTTCCCGAAAAGAGGCGCGAGGATTTTCTTCTCTTCTTCTTCATGGTTGTTAGTACATTTGCAGGTAGTATATTAGGGACGTCGATAAACTTACTGGTAGCATTGTTCATACGGTCCAAAATGTCACTTGCGAGATCAAGGTGAACGTCGCCGTTAACGGCCTTCTTCGCGCCCTCATCGGCGATACTCATGGAGTTACCGGGAACGTAGCACTTCCTTGGATCGGTCCAATCGACAAGGTGCGCGCCAATGACGCTCAAGCTGACCATCTCAATATCCTCATCTTCATCGTCGAGTGATTCATGAATATTGTATAACACATGGAGAGCATCCACGGCAACAGACCTTATGCGGTCTTGGTTCTCCTTACGACTGTAGCTGTATACTGGCAGGAAGTACGAGAGTGTCTGTCGAACCCCCTGGTTGCTCTGAGTAGAAGGATCGAAATATGCGACGATGAGGGTCTTGAGAAGATCGTTGGCAGCATCTGAATCTTGGATGACGCGGCCGAGAAGTAATTTGCAGACGGCCACAGTAGTGGCAGCCTGGACTTCTGGGCCCTTGGATCCGTTCTTCAATGCCTTGAGGTAGACCTTGAGGAGCGGTGGGTTGGATTCGAGAAGATGAGACCCGTGTTGTGTAAGAATATCCGTGAGAATCTGAAGGGCTGTAATCTGGAGGGCTGCATGGCCCTTGCTGAAGAAGTGCATGAAGAGGTTCAGGTTCTCCTCTGCCAATGACTATAATTTCCTATGTTAGATAAAGTTGCAGACTTACAGGGATAGGGGTAGAATTACCTTGTCCAGCAAAGAACAGAGTCCAAGGCACAACAGTCCACGTTCGCGAACCGGAGCTTCATGGCTTCGCACTGCCGGAACAACCAAATTGTTCAGCATTGCCACGAGGTCAACATTCTGCTGAAGATTTCCTTCAACATTTTGCAACATGCACTGAACTATGTGCAAGCACTTCATGTTTACCATGATCTCCTTAATGGACTTATCCTGAAGTTCTTCCTCACTCATCTCTGGCTTCGGCTTCTTTGAATTGCTTTCCGCGTCACTGATCTCTGACCTTGCGGAGTGGAAGCTCTCATCGACATCATCCTCAGCTGGTTCGTCCATAATTGTATCATGGATATCAGCGACAGCTTCGAGAACGATACTGACAAACTCTCGCTCTCCGGCCACGTCGCCTGCACATATGCCACGAAGTGTCTCAACGATCAACTTGGTGGCTTCTTCAGGAAGATCTGGCACAGAAAGAGACTGGCGTAGTAATGCAAACATTTTCCTTCGTCCAACTTCGTCGGAATAGTCAAGCGTATGGGCGATGTGGAGGAGTTGTTCAACGATGAATTCCTGTTCCACAGTATCTTCCTCCTCCTCCTCCTCCTCTGGGGATTGCTGAGCAACCCTCTTCAGCGCCTCGACAAGGACATTGATGTAGCGCTGGAGGTAGTAGGCGAGTTTGGTCACTTCGGGCATCTTGTCTTCGACTAACGCCTCCAACTTGTTGCTACCCTCATTCCGGCAATAGTCATTAAAGCTTCGTGCCATAAATACGGATTCAGCGCTCAGGGTGTCCCAGAATAGGTTGTCAAATACAACAGCTTCGCGATAATCCACTCTGCCTTCCCAAAAACCTCTCATGGCCTCAAGAGCGACACCATTCTCGACTCCTGAGTTGACGACATCGATGCGCTCTAGCAGTTCTTGGAGAGCCTCAAAGTTGGGAGGTGGTGCCTCGGCATCGGCTACAGCTTCTTCTGGAATTCCCGCGCAATCCTCAATCCACCTATCGCGGAAGAGTTTGCCCGCAGCTTTCCGGACATTTTCATCGCGGTCTCGGAGTCCCCACCGCAGAAGCTTCTCGCGCATGGCGAGGGAAAGATGGCGGAAGTCACCAAGAGCTGGAAGGAGACGCGAGTACAGAGCTCGCCTTGTCGCCGGGTCTTGATCTCGCGCTCGCTCTAGCAAGAATGGAAGCGTGGCAGGAAGAATTGGCAGATTAATCAGCAGTGACCGCCGGACATCTGCGCTTGGGTCGTTTTGTAACACACCGAGCAGCTTCTCGAGCAATCCTACCCTGGACTCCTCATCACTATCATCTGAGTTGATTTCTCCCTCAGCCTCATTTCCAGCCAACCGGCCAAGAGCGAGTACAGCCTGGACGCGGACCATGGCCTCCTTATCACGGATTCTTTTGAGGAGCCCATGGCGCAACAGCTGGAAAAGGTCGTCATCCATAGAATCAAGAGAGTTGACTAGGTGTGAAATAAGTTGGGTAGCCCTAAATCTCACAAACTTTTCCTTTGCCGTAAGAAGCGAGAGCACTGTCTTCATGACTTGGGCTGTCAACCTAGTGCTCGGCGTCTCGACTAGCGCCCCCATATCATCATCCTCCATAGGGACAAGCTCATTGTCCTTATCGTTGGCATGGCGCAGAAATAGGCCAATAAAGAGAATAACCCTTTCGCCTGCAGCCTCGCTCTTTTTCACCGGCATCACCCTTACGACACACCTGGTGACTTCATAGTTGAATTCATCCTCATCAAAATCTTCCGCGCCGGTCTTTTTCTGCTTGCTTGATGGTTCATAGCAACATGCCTCCTGTATCTTCCGTAAATTGATCACCAGCTTTCGATGGCCTGTGGTTGATTTCTGTGCGTCGCGGAATATTGCGCATATCTGCGTTCGCAATGCTGTCTCCGGGGCATCTTCCGGTATCTCCACGTATGGCGCAGATACACGCGATGCTATTGATGCTCGTGTAGAATTGAGGGTTTGCGCCGACGATTTGTAAGACACTGCCGTTGACGTCCTTGCGGACCTGGTTGGCACTACTCTGGCGGGCATTGTGGCAGGTATGTGGTGCTCTCTGTTTGGCGTTGCACCAAGTTTAGTGCAGTGATGGTTGTTTTCAATATATATATTCCGCGTCGTGTTGGCGAACTCGCCCGTAGCCGTATCTGTTTCGCGAGGATCAAGTTCAAATTGGTGGGAGTTTGACGCGTCGTCCTCGTAATTACGGCTTCTACACGATTGCCACGAGAATATGTTGATGGTGGGTTGGTGCTGTTTACATTTGACCGGAAGCGGTTAATAGCATAGATTAGATAAGATCTAACCCTGTCGATTGCGTGCTTTGAAATCTAATCGGCCTTCCACCCACCAGACCAGGAACGGCCTCGGGGATTGCCGTGTGATCCTCGTCCTGTTGACAGTTTTCCGACTTCGGCAATACTGGCAAATAGTCAAGACCGTGAGAAATCATGTATAGGCTAGGAGTAAGACGGTTCACTACGTCTGTTCGCCATGCGGCTCAGACAGCTGCACAGATGGAAGCCAAGAACCAGTATGGGATCCAGGTTTCCAAGGCCCAAGGCACTGTTAAAGGTCTCGTTGGAGGTGAGCTTTTACAATTGAAGGGGAGACGCCACAGTTTAGGCTGACAATTTATAGCAATTGGAAACACGCCATTGATCAGACTCAACAAGCTGTCTGAGCAGACCGGTTGCGAAATTTTAGGAAAGGCCGAGTTTATGAACCCTGGTGGCTCAGTCAAGGACCGAGCTGCACTCTTCGTAGTCCAGGATGCCGAAGAGAAGGGATTGCTCGCGCCCGGCGGAACAGTCGTCGAGGGAACAGCCGGAAATACCGGAATTGGTCTCGCACACGTATGCCGGTCGAAGGGCTATAAATTGGTCATCTACATGCCAAATACCCAGTCCCAAGGGAAGATAGATCTTCTCCGACTACTGGGAGCAGAGGTCTACCCAGTCCCCGCCGTGGCATTTGACAACCCGGAGAACTACAACCACCAAGCTAAGATACACGCCGAGCGCCTAGAAAACGCTGTCTGGACGAACCAATTCGACAATGTCGCAAACAGGCGCGCCCACATTGAGACGACCGGACCTGAGATCTGGGCTCAAACTGGCGGGAAGATTGACGCATTTACTTGCTCTACGGGAACTGGAGGTACCTTAGCAGGAACTACCGCATACCTAAAGGCTGTCTCAAATGGCAAAGTCAAGTCTTTCTTGGCTGACCCACCAGGAAGTGTTTTGCACTCTTATATTGAGTCCGGAGGGCAACTCAAAGAACGCAGTGGCTCCAGTATCACCGAGGGTATCGGTCAGGGCCGTGTCACAGACAACCTGAGCCCTGATATCGAGTCGTTGGATGGCTCCCTTAACATTAGTGACGAGAAGAGCATTGAGATGGTTTACAGGTGCCTCGATGAGGAGGGCCTCTATCTGGGTGCAAGCTCAAGCTTGAATGTCGTCGCTGCGAAGGAAGTAGCCGAGAAGCTCGGCAAGGGGCATACCGTTGTAACAATATTGGCTGACGGCGCATATCGATACGCCGATCGCCTGTTTTCAAAGAAATGGCTTGAGGAGAAGAAGCTCTTGGGCGCTATACCCCAGCATCTTGAAAAGTACATAGTTCTTCCATAAGGCTAAATATACAAATTTGTAATATACAGTACACTACCATGTTATGACATGCAATCGTCAACCCTACTCTGCCCCGGCTGTATTTTCGTACACCCAAAGTCCCAGTCGCTCCCCCGAGCCTGCAACTGCCTTCAAGGTCTCAACATCCTGCGCAACTTGGGCAGATAGCTTGGTTTCCAGGTCGCGGAGTTGTCTGGTAGTGTCGGAGCTTTGCTCAAGTACCGAAATCGCTGTCCTCACACCAAGGAGGATAGGCGCGACAGTTTGCAGCATAGAGTTACTCTCTACCTCCTGTATCCGTGCCGGGTCGGTTTTCCGGTTTTGAAGCATTCCCTCTAGCTCTTTGTCTTGTAGGCTAGCCAGAAGACTCTTGGCGTACTTCTCGACAGTGCCGTTCTCGTCTTTACCCCCTTGATGCTTTGCGTTGAGAGCACTTAGCTGCAGGAGCACGCCTATAACCTCCGGGCTTGTTCTTGGATCCTCGGAGTCAGTAACCCTTCCACCTGCATGTGCCTTGTCCTCCATGAGGATAGCAATCTGCTCGGCCATCGAAAGTGCCTTCTTGGTTTCCGCCTGGCTGAAGCCGTTGACCAGTGCACGATGCTGAATCCACCACATCACCATCTTGGAAAGATCTCGGGTGTTGATCCGGAACCCGGTCTTTGATACTCTCCGCGCGCTTTCTAGGACGATATATTGGCGACCAGCCTGGCCAGCCTTTCTTACAAACTGCTCTAAAACCGTCCCGTCTGTAGCACGACCCGCGGAATGAAGGCCCTCAAGCAGGAGGGGGAAGTTGTCCCAATCTTTCTTGTCCTTCATTAACCCTAGCGCCTCACGTAACGCTATGCGCTGGTTTGGTACATCCTTCGTCCTGTTTATGTGCTTTAAACGTATTTCGTCCCCTCCTATCTCCACCGTTACTGGGACCGTGTCCAGGCTTTTTTTATGTTTGAAGGAATAGACGAGATCACGATGCTGTTTCGACAAATGCGCCGGCAGGAAAACAGTGTTGCGGAATTTAGAGAGGATATTATCGAGTTCGGGAGATGATGTCGGTTGGAAGGTTGGGAAACCTGTGAATCTTATTAGAAGCTACTCTACTCTCATGTGCCAACTGTTAGGACTTACCGTGCTTTTGATGTGGAAGTGAGCTGGTGAAAGCCCGGCGCTGGCCCAATGTTGGACCAACGGCGTATTGCGAAGTGCGCTCCAACCGAGGGAGCGCTCTCTTAATCGTTATTCCGGACATATTCGTTGATTGACAAAGTAAAATATTGTTTAATCCCTGACCTTTCTGAACTAAACTAAAATTGAAGGTCTGGAGCCGTAAACTTGGCGGGCGGTGAGTAAATATGGGCAGTATCGCCTAAATTAGTCGAGCACGAACATTTTGAAAGGTGGACGAACTTAACCGCAGTGAGCTCAGACAAAGGCAAGTCGTCTTGTCCAGCCAACACAATGGCCTTATTATTTACACCGACAATGCGTCCGCTGAGCTGCCTGAAGACGCTCCTGCGGCAAACCCGGCGGCAGAAGACGATAGCGAGGTCGTTGACAACATACCGTAAACCAGACCTAAACCGAGGTCTTCCGCTGGCAGCAGCTGTGGATGCAGGAATGCCCCATGGTAAACTTTCCTTCCGTGAAATCTCACTCACAGTCATATATCTCCATCAATTGGAGGGCACAATGGACACTGCAGCCGACTAATACTCTGTAGTCAACAGAAAGCTAAAGGCATACCCGCCTCCTCCATCTCCCGCAGCCAACTTTAAGAACCCAATTGGCGACCTTCACGCAGAACAAATTTCCGTCCTAGACCCTACTGGGGCACGCACACAGCTCTTCAGCAAAACCAGCCCCGAGGCAGCCAAGGTCGGCGATATTCTCCTCGTTCGTCAGAAGAACGGCGATCCATTTGCAGGCGTCTGCATCAACATCCGCCGCCGAGGCGTCGACACTGGCATTCTCCTCCGCAACGAGCTTACGAGAGTTGGCGTGGAGATGTGGTATAAGATCTACTCGCCAAATGTGGAGGGAATCGAAGTGGTGCAAAGACGGGTGAAGAGAGCGAGACGAGCACGTCTGACATACATGCGGAAGCCCAAGCACGATATGGGAAGCGTCCAGAATATCGTCCGGGCATATCAGAGATCGAGGTTGGGAGCACGATCGGGCAATAACAAGGGCGGGAAGAAGAAGGGAAAGGGAAGGAAATAAGGAGCTGAGATGGTGTATAAATATGTATGGCGTTCAAATGTCGAGAAATTACTTGATTAGTTTACACTAGCAATTGCAGAAGTGACCAAATCCTATCATTGACCGACCTCTCTTGAAACTTTTGGGCAGCACCTCTTCGGTGGAGTATCTTCAATGGGAAAGAGCGATGCTGATGCCAAGGGTCGTACTTGCCATAGCAAAGATGGTCCAAGTATATCTACGCCGAGTTGAAATATAAGATCTAAACTCAACTCCAGGGGTGCCGTCCGAGTCTGGCCTCGGTATCTACGTCTATCCATCATACCACTAGCAGAAACACAGAGTTAATAAGGGCTTATTTGATGGCTGGTCAGACCAGGGAGGCGATTATAGAGATGGGCGTTATCGGCTCGAGCATACTCAATGGCTGTAGACATGATGTATTGATTTTCTGATCATGAGGGGTAACTTACCTCGAACCGAGAGCAAAAGTGACGCTTGAGCGATTGGAGCAGAGCGAATTTCCCTACGAAAGGTATAAAGTAGCTACCATGGTTTAGTTTATGTAGTGCTTAAGCCAAATCAAAGAGAAAGACCTACGCTTGCTCATTCATGAAGTACCTCCCTCGCTGTGTAGTAATTGTGAAAACCACAAGCTCGTATTGTATTATTAAAAGGAACAAACTTATATTTAGTTAGCAAATTTCGGGCTATTTTTTTTTGGGGGGGGGGGGGGGGGTGCCTACTGTAGCTGTAGCAAAGAGCATTGCTTGGAATAGTAGCAACGATATCCTATGAGTTCCTTTATTATCATCCTGCGTGTTCGAATACATGTCCCAGGACTGCCCTTCATCTAAGAGTGGCGTGCAAGGATGGACATGAAGGAAATAATGCCGTATAAACTGGTCGAGATGAGGCCCACTAGGAACGTGTAAACAGCCCTTTGACTCCAAGTATCTTACGTCACTTGGGGTTAACTTTACCAGTTCCCTTACCTCAAGAAATGGGTAGTAAGAAAACGTAACACTGCATTAAAGGCTAGTTCTCGAGAGAAGGGTGAAAAGTCCCCTATATTTAGTGGAATAGTCGATGGTCGAAATGGACACCTGTTGTCTTCGGTCTGGGGAGAGCAGCTATACGGCCCTAGAGACTATTAGAAAAAAGGTTGCTTTTTTGGTGATGTAGACAAGAACATGTTTGTCGTCGCCTTCTATATATGCCTCCCATGGATGTAACTCTGTTAGAGTTTCTGTACCTATCGGAGCTGAGGTTGTCAAGGCTGCCGAAGGAGGAGGCGGGAAAGTATGCCCTAGAGCTTGAATAAAAATATGAGATCAGTTAAAGGCGTGCCCATCGAAACGGAAGATGAGTGATGGAATGACAGACCTTCCGGAGGAGCTCCGTACAGTGCAGATGTGGTGATCTAGCCGGCAGTTGGTACAAGGGATGCCGTACTTTGCGGTCATGACACAAATGACATGCAATGCGAGCGCGTTTTCGCGGTGGCCAGGTGTTATGGAGGTGGATTGCATATTGGGCCGCCTAGGTGGTATGATAAGCAACATCGGCAGAATAGGCTCGGCAGACCAGTCTCCTAATTGAAGCCTATGGTAATCCTTTGGCAAAGGATCAATTATATCAATCTTGAGTCCAATGCTGTAGACAAGGTGCGAAGGTAGGACGGGGAAATGGCGCATTGGCTTAACCTAAAACGTTCTTAAGGATAGGGCAAAGGCGGGGGAGTGGGGTAGGTAAAGGCCCCGGGAAAGCGGATCTTATGGGGCGGATCTTACGCCTATAGAACTGAGAGCAGCCACAAGGTCTGCTAGCATTTTGGGATGGAGCGAATTGCCGGATTGCGGGCGGTTGTATGTCACCAATGGAACAATGCCATGGCTCAAAATCTCCACCTTGACGTTATCATATCAAATGAAGCACCTCCATAACAACTTCAGCCTATAATGCGGCTACGTAGGCAGTGTTGTAGTTCTGTACATGCGGGCGAGATTATAATATTCTAATATTATGGAAGGGTGGAGGTAGCTAGGAACTATATACCGATATTCGGATTATAGGAAACTACGAAGGTAGCAAGGAACCAGATACCGATGTGCCAAATAACCAACTGTAACCCCGGTCCGAGAAGTTGCCGAACTATTGTCGCGCGAATAAGCTCTCTCCAACTCTATCTTTACTCTCCACTATTGAAGGCATCGTTCGGCCCAGGGAATCACTATACGGCATAACAGTAACAGGCATGGACGCAACTGCAGGTTCCCTGTCACAATCATAAACCTATCAACTATCAGTTTTATATCACCCCTGCCCCCCCTAATCTTTTACTTCTTTATTTACTTTACACTATCCATACGTCTACAAATCCACCAAACTTTTAACCATGGTACATTTTTACGATGCTGTACTCCAGCGACCGGACCGGTTCAATTTTGCAGTAGATGTTGTCGATTATTGGGCGGCCCGTCCCGACGACTTGGAGGCAATGTATTGGGTATCAAAAGACGCGTCTCAAAAGCGTTCCTTGACGTTTAAATACTTCTCACGCCAGTCTCATCGGGTCTCCGTTTTATTACAGCGCTTAGGCGTTAAAGAAGGCGAGACAATGGTTATGATCGTCCCTCGTGTACCAGCCAGCATGGTGAGAAATCCTGCCCTTAAAACTCCGGAGCTTGACCAGGCTAAGTAGATCACAAAAGGTGGGAAATCGCCGTTGGAGCTATTGGCAGCGGGGTAATTATCTCACCGGCGACTACCTTGTTGACCGAAAAAGATATTCAGTATCGCTGCGTCAAAAGCAAAGCCAGCGTGTGGTGCAAGCGTTGCCAAGTTCCTAGCAGTCCGGGATGCGTGTCCATCAGTTCGCACCGTACTGCTAGTAGGCGACGTTCCACATCCAGGCGCCAATTCTTTCTAGGCATCTCTAGAACTTCTCGAGGCCGATGCTTCGGTGGAAGATGTTAGACAAGACTGGAATTCCCCGGCCCTGCTCTACTTTACATCGGGCACATCTGGTCCACCGAAGATGGTGCGCCATAACCAGGTTTCATATCCATTAGGTCGGTTTCCTTGCACAAGCAGCTATAGTGTTAATATCTAACAAGCCCAGCTCTCACTACCACAGCTAAGTCTTGGTATCAGCTAGCTCCAGGCAAGGTGCTTTGGAATACCGCAGAGCAAGGTCAAGACTCCTCGACTGTACCAGGGCAATACAAAACCATAGGCTAATTATTACATTACAACAGGTGGGGCAAAGCTTCCTGGTCATTCTTTGGTGCATGGAATTGCGGAGCTACTCTTTTTGTTTACGATGATCGCGAGCCATTCAACCCTCAGCGCCTTTTAAGGATACTTCATCGATATCCTGTCACAACCCTTTGCGCAGCTCCACTTGCATATCGACAACTTGTCTTGCAAGAGGCTAAATAATACTATAAAGAATACCCTCCAATGGCTCTCTCGCATTGCACGGCCGCTGGAGAAGCTCTAAATGATGAGGTTATAAGGCAATGGCATGCGATCAGCGGCATGGAGATCCGAGACGGATACGGTCAGACAGAGACAATTGTCCTCTGTGGAAACTTCAGTGGGTTCCCGATTCGTCCAGGTTCCATGGGGAAGCCAGCACCTACAGTAGCTCTTTCTTGATGGGTCGAAACTGCAGTCGGGGAAGTGAGAGATGGCAGTGTTGATAGACGATATATCATCCAAAGAATTCTTCGGCATCTTCGATGGATACTTAAATGATGATGATACGGTTGGCCGGCGAGAAAAAATATTCACCAAGAATGGAGAGAGAAAAGTTTGGTACCTGACGGGAGACAAGGCGAGGAGGGATAACGACGGCTATTTCTGGTTTGTTGGTCGGTCAGACGATGTCATCAACTCTTCTGGATATCGCATCGGTATGTTATTCTCTATTGATACACACACTCTCTCACCTCTACCCCCCAAAAAAAGAATTACTAACGGGTCGGCTTTGCAGGTCCCTTTGAAGTAGAATTGACTTTGAAACTACACCCATCAGTAGTTGAATCCGCCGTGATATCCTCTCCAGATCCAATCCGAGGGGAGGTCGTGAAGGCCTTTGTCGTTTTGACCCATGAATGAAAGACGTAAACCAGGGCTCACTAAGGAAAGAGCTACAAGATTACTGCAAAAAGAATGCTGCGCCATACAAGTATCCGCGCAAGATCCAGTTTGTGCCTTTGGATTTTTTACCCAGGACAGTGAGTGGGAAAATTCAAAGAAACGAGCTTAGGAAAATGGAGTGGAAAACTGAGACTAAAGCAAGACTATGAATATATATGGTTATAGAGCAGGGAATCAAGGCTACCTTTCTTTGTTGTATCTAGTCTCGAGCATATAATATGTATTTTCAAACTCGTCAAGATAGCCTCAGCGTATGAGCGAGCCAATCTGTAAACCTCATCTCCTTCGGTACATTGGTATATTTTAGCCGCTTGGGTTGTCTATGCTGCACGGGACAAGCAGGACGTGCTTAAATAACATTTGAATTATAGCTAACTTAGCTTATGTGCAATCTCAAGCAAAGAGTTGCGATATGATATAGCACCCCCAACCTCAGCTCACTTCTATTTCTCCGCTAAAAATACAGCCCCACGTTCTCCTCATGCTCCAACACCAAAACTCGATATGCTTGCTTTCATTCGTATAATGCTCCAACAGTAAAAGCCCACCCAACATGTAACACCCACGCGAAGCCACGCCCAAAAATTCTCGTCTGTCTCAACGCCGCCAAATATAATGCTTTCATCGACCTCACATGGCCTCCTTCTCCGGAAGCGGCGGCGGAGGCATGGTCTGCAACCTCTTCGCATCCCGCTCCATCGCCTCACTGTCAGAAGGGGGCCTCTTGCGCTCCTTCTCCCGCGCGGCCTCCTTCTGGACTGCCCGCCTCGCCTCTTTGTCGCGTTTCTCGTTCTCCTTCCGCAGCGCCTTGGATTCAAATTCGTGCCAGTCGCCTTCTAGGGTTTGGAGTCTGCGGCCATATGTTAGCTTTATGAGTATATGGAAGTATGGGATGGGAACTTACTCTATCGCTTGCTGCGGCGCCGGTTCCTCGACAGCGAAGTACGGGTGCTCCAGCACATCGCCCGCAGTCGGTCGCTTCGCGGGGTCGTACTGGAACATCGCTTCGAGGAGTTCGTATGCAGCGGGCGTAACTCTTTCCTTGTACTTATCGGCGAACACGTTCGGCCGACGGGCAGTCGGGCGCAGGAGCTCGAACCACTGCATGTCCTTCAGGCCGGGCCAGTCGCGCGAGTTGGGGGTGCCGAGGATGGCGTAGATCTTGTCGAGTTGACTGATCTCGCCGCCGTCACCAGGGAAGATGGCGTGGCGTGTGAAGATTTCGACGAGCACGCAGGCGGCGCTCCAGATGTCTACCGCAGGTCCGTATTGTGTCTCGCCGAGCAGAAGCTCAGGGGAGCGGTACCAGATGGTGATAACACGGTTAGTATAGTCCAGCTGTCGGCGTTTGGCATAGAAGCGAGCAAGGCCGAAATCAGCAAGCTTTAATTGTCCTTCATTGCTGACGAGGATATTTGCGGCCTTGATATCGCGATGGAGAACACCGCGTCGATGGAGGTAGTCTAGCCCTTCGAACATCTGTTTCGCAAGGTCCTTCTTCTGAGCGGGGTTGAGTTTGAACGTTGGGTGGTTAAGCAGGCCAGTCAAATCGTGGGAGAGATATTCAAAGACCATGAAGCAATCATTCTTCTCCACCATAACCTCTTGGAGCATGACGACATTGACGTGCTTCAGTGATTGCAGGAGTTTAATCTCTCGCACAGCAGTCACTGGGAATCCATCTCTCTCGCCTTCCATGCGGATCTTCTTCAGAGCAACCAACTTCTTTGTGTAGACGTGGATGGCTTTGAACACTTTGCCGTAGGTCCCAGAACCTACGACAGATTCATTACCCGGTTTCCTGAAGTACACAGAGTCGAATGTCTTAAACTCGTCTGGGAGAATGGGTTTCGCTTTTAACCGTTTCATGATCTTTTTTACCATCCGAGGTGCAGGTGGTTTTTGGGGTGGAGGTGGCTCGCGATACTCCCGAGTTGCTGGAGGTTCACGGTACTCTCTGGGTGCAGGGGGCTCTCGGAACTCCCTACAAGGTGGAGGTTCTCGGAACTCTCGTGGTTCCCGACCGCGTGGTTCTCGTAGTTCGCGGTGGTCGCGAGGTTCACGAGGTTCCCGCTCACGAGGGCCACGAGAGTCGCGGTAGTCATGCCTCCTTGATGAGGCAGGAGCAGTGGGGATGTGACGCGACGCATTGTGCGCTGGATCTATCTTGGTTGGCCCACGTACGGGTACTTTGTCTAGCTTCTGCGATATTTCGGGCTTCGGTGTAGCTGGAGCAGCTTTTTGGGATGCTTTGAAAGCAAAGCTAAACTTGTTCGCACTTGTTGGTGTGGGCCTATCTGGTGGAGGCATTTCGTCCTCGACATCAGTCTTCTTCGAGGTATCTTCGACCTGTAGGTCCTTGGATGGCCGGAAGAGGTCCTCCTCTTCCACGTCTTCCACTTGTTTCGTCTCCTCGGGCCCCGTGTGAGGAATCGACTCTTGGGAAGGCTGCCCCGTTGGGGATGCGTGCTGAGGAGTTACGTTGCCCGAACTGTTGTTTTGGCCCCGACCAGTGCCTTGCTGGCTGGCATTCCAGTGTAGATTCTGGAAGTGTCCGCCACGACCTCTAAAACCACCTCGGAATCCGCCTCGAGGACCGCCACGGTAGTTCTGTTGTGGTGGCGGCTGATGCTGCATACCCGGTCCAGGATACTGTGGCGAGTGGTTTTGTGGAGGATAGTATTTGCCTTGTGGCGGCCCTTGAGGGGGTTGAGGGTAGCCTTGATTGTAGTTTGGAGGATATTGTCTGTGATGATTTATCAGTGATGCTTAATAATAATTGTCGAATAAAAGTGGACCTACTGTTGTGGAGAATACTGATGTCCTTGAGGAGGACCCCATCCTCCTCCTCTACCAGCCGGCGGATAGGGTGATTGTTGCGGGGATCCGTGATAAGATGAATTAGGAGAAATGTGCTGTGGCGACTGCGAATACTGATTTGTAGGACCTTGATTGTACTGAGGTTTCAACGGGAAAGCCGCTTGCATCTGGTTTGGATGATGGTAGCCTGGTCCATACGCATATCCACCACGCCCATTCATCTTTGTATCTTCGACGTCGATGCTATTGGCCCCAGACGCAGTTTGTTGGTCTGGACGGTATTTGTCGCGGGTCGGCCTACCATGCCTTGAAAGGCTGGAGGATGTCGTCCCCGATTCCCAGCGACCCCTCGAAGGCCTGGGGGACGTCGAGCCCGATGATTTCTGTCTGTCTGGTCTTGGTGACCTGTTATCGCGAGATCTCGAGCGATGTCTCCGAGAATTTTGATCGGATGACTTTGGGTGTTGGGACCGGTGACGGTGGCGTCGCTCGCGATGAGTGCTATCACGATCACTGACACTTCGATTACGGCCGTCGGCGGGCTCTCTTGGAGGACTGAGTGGTCCGTGAGTAGGCAGCGTCTCTCTGCGTGGAGATCTGGATCGCTCCTCCCTTTCTGGTGCAGCGGACTTGCCCTTATCTTTCTCAGGCGTTTGGATGGATGAACGCCTGTCGCGAGGCCAGTTTACTCGACTCGGAGATGTCTCGTGGCGAGAGCTTTCAATGCGTGACACCGATTTGGATGTCGAATGACGTCTTTCGCGACTTCGACTCTCTCTTCGACGTTTTCGATGGCCTCTTTCCCTCGATGGACTGCGGCTCGAACCGCGCTTCCCAACTGACGAGCCTTGGTGACCTTCCCTCCTTGATTTTCCTGACCCTTGAGAATCTAGTAACTCACGACCTTTATTGCGTTCCCGAATATCCTCCTGCTTAGCTCTTGAGGTTGGTCGCCGGCGGTCCCTGTCTCTGCTTTGGTCTCTGCTCCTGGGTCTACGCTCGGAGCCAGAGCTAGCTTCCTTTGCCTTCTCGCGGTCCCTCCCCCTCTCCCTTTCGATATCGCGTCTCCGGCCGGTGGGTGATGGCGATCTGCGTGGGCGTGTCACTCCTCGATCAACTCGATCTCTGCGGTCGTCACCGTGGCTCCAGCTGTTTTTCATTGCAACATCTCGTGTGGTGAAATGTGGACTAGGCATCTCTGTCATGTCAATGGGTTTTACCTAAGATCGGGCGCGACGACGCGGCTCTGCGTTAGCCGAGTTCTGCTAGATTCGCCCTGGGCTGCTTCGGCGTGCGATAAGTGTCGAGATGACAACCTTGAAAGTTGAAGTTGCCCCAGCGAAATAAAATAGAGAAAGATAGATATGTTGTCGAGAATGAATCCTCCAGCGAGTCAGACTTACTGTAGTCTAGCCGTCGAAAAGTTGTGTAAGCTTGCGAATTGTTGAGTTGTGTCCAGCACCAAAATTCTGGTCGAGAGTTGCTGCTTTAGCGATGCTGCAAGCCAGAGCCTTAATCCTCAGCCCCAGTCCGTCGGTATGAGTAGTACAAGTCACGAAGCATTTAACTAATCTACAAGTTTACGGCCATCAATCTCCAAGTCATGCAGACGTGATCTGTGAATCCACGAGCTCACTATTTCCCCAAGACCCCTGGACTCGCTGAGCAGTTCTACAACCACCATGGACGACTTGGAATCGGTGAGAAGCTGTAGCTGTGTAGCTGGGCCGTTTGTCCAAGGCGATTCTTGAATGTCCAACACTGCACGGTATATTGTCATGCGTGGATTCCTTGTAGCAGACACTGCCTCAAAGAGGTACACCAATTCTCGTGGAAGCGACGATATGGCGTGATAGATGGGGAGACTCCGCCGAGACGATGGCCGGATACCGAAACTGCTAGACAGCGGGTGCTCATTCAGCGACCGGCTGGTCTGAGTGCCGCGATGGTAATTATTACCAGTGAGCCGCACATAGGCGGTCGCTCAAGTCGTAGGACATGAACGGTTAGATCGATATAAAGGACCCCCAATCCAACCAAGAAGCTCGTCCAGCATGCCATTCCTCCAGTATCCTGCCATATGAGACCGTCATGCCCTCCAGCTGATGTTCCATGTGGAACCCAAGATATCCATCAGAAGCAGCGTGGTTAGTGACTATAAACCCATCCGACAGATGCCAAACCACAGGCTATCATGTCAGACCAACAACTAGGCCACCGTGCCATTCAACCTCTCAACCTTGATGTGTCCTCTTAATAAACCTCTTTGAGCGCCGTGGTATGCGAGCCTTATTGCTGTTGTGAATATCCGCGCTGCCGCCGAGGGTAAGTTGCGACGAGTCGGGATTGACGGGTGAGATCGCTGGCTGTGTTCGTGCCAGTCTAGGGAAGTTCGTGTTTAAGGTAGGTAGGCAAGGCCTGCTTGTTCTGAGGTCAATGGCATATAAACCAAATCATATCTGCATTTGTTTGTCGCATTCCTCATTCTGAGGTGGTTGTGTCCTCCTTCACCGACCCGGACGCAGATCCGAACACCTCCATCATCGCAGCCCGACGATGCAGCGACAGCATATTCATTATCGATAGTTCTTCGTCTTCCGATAAAGAGATTATAATGTGTAAAGCCGGCTCATTCTGATGTTAGCACCTCAATCATCATAGTCAGACTATGCTGATTGTTGTTTATGAATTGATCACGGTGTCGTTCGGAGACGGACGACAGACTGTAGCGTTCGCTTAGTCGCTACGTATGCCAACGCTGACCAAACACGTCATTATCCTCTTTGTGACAGATTCGACAAGGATTTTTTATATGAGTGAAGTTATGGGTCCTTGGAATTTTATCATATTGTAGTGATATTAGAGGTTTGAGAAGGGTCTATACCCCTGTCAGGAGAAGCAAAGTAAGATGTGTCCAATCCTTTCTATGACCCATGTTGAAGCCCTGATACCGAAACTGTGTCAGCCAGTTTCGTGATCCTCCGGATACTGGATCTTCCGATCCTAAAAGCTTCGACTCGGAAGCTCTAGGGAACGGACCGAAACCAGAAGGGTTTTAGGATCCGAGCCACGAATAGGCACAGGAATAGAGCCCGTAGGCCGTAACAGTATATATAGTAGTTAGAATAGCTTTAATTAGAAGAACATGCATTACAAAATTATCACTTTTGGGCCCTACTGCTTTATGACTGTATTTTCGGTTTATATTCTCTACCTACTGCCACGGATCCTACGGGTATTGTTCAACAACCCATAAAAGTTTTATATAATAAAGCTAGTTCCTGGTGTTAGAGTACAGGGCGTAGAATGGTGGCGAACCCATAGAGTAAAATAAATCCTTTCGTTGTTAGGAGTCCTAACTTGGGATGGGTGTAGGTAAAGGTTTTGAGTCTCGAGTATATATAACATCTTATACCGTTCTCACTTATTTTTTTCTTTCTACATATGCTCCGGCCCTCCCACCAAGTAGGCCAGTTGGCTAATGGGCCGGCCCTGCCACTAAGTTTCCACTTTGCAAATGGGCCGGCCCGTGTAGCTAAGTGGCCGGCCCAACTATAAAGTAGTATAATAGAATAGTAAATAGATTAATTGCTCTATACTACAATTCCAGCAGTGTCTGCCCGTGCTCGTTTCTAAGGAGGCCTCTTAACTAAAGCCATTTCTGTACGAGTAGCTAGACTTGATAAATTGCCACAGTTATAGTCGTCATTATGGCAGTGTACGCTACACTCCTTTGCTTCCTTATAACAACGGCACCTCTTTGTACTACATTGACCCTTACATTGGCATGATACTCCAACCCGTATTATTAATGAGCTCAAAGTCAAATTACGCACGGTGTTTGAGGTTCATAGACTCTTGGTCTGTTGGTTTGAATGCTGTTAGATTCCGCAGTATTGTACGTATATCGTCCCATTTGTTATATGATGTAATGATGTACGGTTACGCTCGCGCTACATCCACCGAGCCAAAAAGACTACAGTATTCCGGCTCGCCCGGAATACGCGTAACACGCTTTATATACCACATGTACCATAACGGCAGCACCCGTTACATATGAGAGTTGCTCTCGATTGGAGTAAGTAGGGCTGCTTATATAGGCTTCGAAAGCAGTGCGTACGTCGTTTGGAAACGGGTTAATCGAAGCAATAGTAGCCATAATTATAGTTGTAGAATATAGGAAGATTTGAATTTTCCACCATACTATCTACACCGCCACTTGGCTGTTGGGTCGGCCCGTTCGTAAAGTGAAAGCTTGGTGGCAGGACCGGAACATATACATTATTACCCCCCAAACATTGTGTTAGATATCCCCTGCACACCAATTTCAAACATGGCGGCCGTTTCTCAGCAATCAATCAATATCCGCAAGGCAACTTCTGAGGACGTTCCTACAGTCTCCAAACTTGGAGCACATATTTTCAGCATTACCTTCGGCCACTCCGTTCCAGCAAACGAGCTTCAATCGTTCCTAGAAGATTCCTACAGCATATCAGCAACTGAAAATGACCTCAAAGATCCGATGAAGGATATTGTCGTTGCATCAGACCAGGACGGCACGATTCTCGGTTTCGCCCTCTTAACTCGTGGCAGTTCTGAGCCATGCATTTCCCACCTTGAGAGCACGATAGAGCTCCAAAGGATATATGTTGATCCCGATCACCATGGGAAGGGAGTTGGGAGGTTGCTTGCCAACAAGTTAGAAGATATGGCGAGGGATGAGGGATTTAAGCATATTTGGCTTGGAGTCTGGGAGGAGAATCACAACGCTCAAGGGGTGTATAAGAAGTTAGGGTATAGGAGGGTGGGCCACCATGACTTTACTATTGGGGAGATCGTTCAGACGGATGATATCATGACAAAGGAGCTATAAGGCGGTTTCTAGAATTATTTTGTTAGAGTGCTCGACCATTGCGGCGAAGAAGGGTGCAGGAGGGTAGATTAGAACGCAGGTCAACTCATTTCGGGGAGGGAGCTGCAATTTATATAACTCAAAACCGGCGGCGCCATGCGGACATTCATTCAAGTTACATATTTGTTATAAAACAGTTTTCTTTTTTTTATTGCGTTTCTGCCCCTTATAAAAATAACAAAAACCAACGACTGCTCCTCCGGCTATGCTACACTAGATGCTTTTCATGGTACTCATCCGACATCGTGAAGTGCTCATACCATCGTCAAGCCTATACAAACCCCCCTATAGCCCCGCATCTCAAATGCCTACAATGCTTTTTACTGCGTCGGTGTCGGAGCAGGGCCTCCGCGTCCCCTATTACCTCCTCGTCCTCTCCCTCCACGTCCCCTGCCACGGGCAGCAGAATCCAGGCTGGCCGGGGGTGGCATAGAGTTATACGACTGGGGCGCTCCCCCTCTACCTCTCCTCGCACCATCCAATCCACCTCGGCCTCTCGGTACAAAGTGTTGTCCATTGGTTTGAGTACCAGCCCCGTTAGGTCCGCGAATAGCCATACCAGAGTGAGTAGCAGGGGCATTGTCGAAGCCTAGTCCACCACGGCCTCGTCCACGACTGAAGTTATTGCTCTGGCCAGCCGCAGCACCGCGGTATGAGCCGCGAAGAGGTGGCGGTGCGCCAGCCTCGCGATACTGTCCACGGCCGCCGGGTCCGGTTGGCGCCCCGTAGCCGCCGTTGGCAGTCAGGGGCGGCTGCGAGGTAGGAGCGGGGCGCTTCTCGACTGCAGCCTTGGAGCCAGCGATGACTTGCTTGTGCGACAAGTTCAGTACCGAGGTGATGGGGACGGTGGAGCCACGGAATGGGTCGCAGCGGCCATCGAGGGTCGTTCCACTGATGAAAGTGTGGTCGAAGACAATGTCGACTAGAGTTGTGCGCGCGGTGCGGCTGATGCCCACCACAGTTCCACGAGTGGCGATTGGCACACGTCCGGAGTCTTGGACGTAGACGATGCGGTCACCAAGGCCGAACTTTTGGTTGCCAAGGCGGTGCTCTGCGTCAGCTGGCCTCATGAGCGCGTTCCGCGGAACGCCCTTGAGCTTCTTGCCAACCGGCCCTGGATTGCTCTGAATCATGGCATCGACTGAAGCCTCGATTGCCTTGACAGTGTCAGAGTCGAGTTGCTGAGCATCGATAGGAACCTTATCAAAGTTCTTCGATTCAATGGTCTTCAGCCAAGCGGTTATCTCAGCAAACTTCGCCTTAGCAGAATCAGCTGTGTAGAAATCTGCAGCTTCGTACTCATTGCCTTGAGGCTTGCGTTGGATGCCAGCAATGAACTCAGGGAACCTGATCATATACTGCGAAATTAGATCAACAGCTTTGTCGCTGAACTCCCAACCAGTATCTCCACGACGAGAATAGCCCAGAACCTTGAGTTTCTTGCCTTCGAATTTCAGGTTAAGGCCCAGGTTGACTCTCAATCCATTCACATTGACTGTGAAAGAAGAAGTCAACTTGCTAAGAACCAGCGGGTGAAGCTGTAAGCGCTTCGCCACAGCATATGACGGCATATACGGAGTCGTCCTCTCAGACCTGGCAACGACCTCACGGCCAACTTCTGGCTCGCGACCTTGCACAGTCGACAGCCAGATCTCAGCCTTGTTTTCGTTGTGTTTAACTATCTCGAGGGGACGCCCGTAGTTAAACTCTCCGAGGAAGAAGGCTCTGGACCCAATAGGAAATTCTTCCTCGATGGGTAAGGCTGCCTTCTCAATAAAGCGCTGATCTTCGCTGGCCACTTCATCGACCACGACTTGTGAGGCATAGTCAGTCTCAACCCCAGCGATATAAGCATATTCCTTGACCGTGGCGCCGGCATCGGTCTTCTTCATGCCCCTCAACATGTCGACGTGAGTCAGAGACTCAACTGGTCCGATGATGATACCGAGACGTTTGCTATATACATTCTCGATTCTCTCCGCCTTCCTGCGGAAGTCTTCAATTTCGCGAGGACCGTGAGGAGTAGCAACAACATGAGTCGAGCCATCTGTTGGGAGAGTGTAGTTAAATAGCTCATCGGAAACACGGATGACCTTGGCCTCCTGAAGGAATGGGTATCCAACATGCACCTTTTGACCAAGCCTTGCCTTGGCGTTCTCGACCTTTGTCGTTGCCTCAGTATCCGTCAATGTGACAATTGAGCTCTCGTTGCGGCTGTCTTGTTGGAAGACGTTCACTCCGTGGAAGCCCAGAGCAGCATTGTACGGCAACGTAGCCAAACTAGGGAAGCCTGCCAAGGCATCCTCCCCAAGTTTAACGTCTCCCATGAGACCAACAAAATATTCTAATCCCTCAATGGTGGGCAGATCAAAAATGTTTTCAACGCAGTGGCAATGGGGGATATCTGGGAAGATCCCCACTAGCGATGAGGGATAAGTGAAATCCATATCTGGAGCGTGTGTAAACTTCAGCGAAACGCCGAACTCATTACGCGCCTTCTCAGCATCGCTTAACATATCATTTTTCGGTGCCATGGCCGACAGTAGTCGCTTCTCGTCGATGAAAGGAATCTTCACAACAGCCTCCCACTCCATTTTCTTGCCGTTCATGTCTAGCTCGAAGTCTCGAGGGTAGAAATCAATAATCGGCGACTTTGGATCCGTCATCAATTCATGGTACACTGTTGGTACAATCTTCTTACTGCGGTCAGGCAGGACTCCCATCAACTGTTCGTATGGGTGGAACGGCTGGCCAAGCTTGAAGTTGATATCCGCCTTCAGACCCTTGATGACATCTAAAAGCTGGTTAGCATTGCAAGTATGGGAGGCATGGAAAACGACACACCTGAAATCATTGGCGAATAATGGTAAGCGTAATACCAAGGCCATGATACGACGCCCTGGTAGTAGTAATACAGAACCCACTGCAACCCCTGGACGTAGTTCTCGGCGAGCTTCGTCAGCTCCGTCTCGTTGTCGCGTTTCCATTCGAATTTCCCGTCGTAATACTTATCTTTCCACTCCTGGAACTTCTCCTCGTACTTCTTATCCATCTCAGCCTGTGCCTCTTCGGCGCTCACGTCAACGATATTTGCGTTATCGTACTGTTTGACAACCCGTAGGATTGCAAGCTGGGACTCTTCATCCTGCTCTTCCTCCTCGTCATCATCTTGCTCCAACTTCGCAGGGAACGAAATTTGCAAGTGGCGGTCGCCATTCTCATCCTCGACTGTCTTCCAATCTAAGTGAAGGCTATCTGCCAGATCCTCGACAAATTTCCTGTCCTTGGCAGGAAGGCTAGAAGGCAGGTCAAGTGGCTCTGGCGATCGATTGTTGACAAAGATCTTAACCAATTTCCAGACATCCTTTTGCGCCGATGTCATCACTACCTTGCCCTTGCGCCTGCTGCCCTTCTCCATGACATCCACCTTTGCCATTTGCTTGCCCTTGAACCATTTTGCATCCGAGTTCTCAGACTCGAAGAAACGGTACTCCACATGAGAGAGCTCTTCCAATAAAATCGCTAACCGCGGCATGTTGATAACTCCGCCCTCATTAAGGTATCCGCCAGCCTTTGGTAAAACAGACTTGTAGATCTTAAACATTAGCGCCAACGCTCCTTCGTTAATATGCAGGTTGGGTAAATTGGGCAAGAAATCGTTTCCAACGAAGAACGCCATCAAAATAAAGTCGTCAATGACCCGTTCCAAGTCGAATGCGAAGCCCATAATGCCAGGCTCTTTTAATTCCTGGAACTCGATCTCCAAATATTCTCGTACAATGCATAAGTGCATGAGGTAGAAATTTTGGTGCTCTAGCTCCTTCGACTTCGCCTTGCTCTGTCGCCCAAAAGTAACTTCTTCTCGAAGTAGACAGAAATGAGGGTCGTGACTTAACAGACCCAGCATAATAAGATCTGCGTCTAAACCGTACAAGCAATGACGGACATTATGATCGTAATCCGGTTGTGCTTTCGACAGGCGAATATACTCCATAATCTTATGCTCTCCCTCTCCCGGAACTTCATGGCCAGAGAGAACAATCTCTACACCCTGCCAGTCGGTATCTTCCGACACCTTCTTGTTGATGAAGTATTTCAGCTGCTCTGTAAGCTTAGCCATGAACTCTGTCCCTGGCGTAATGCAGTTGCTGTCGAATGCCTCCTCTTTGGGCATCTCCTTCCCCTCACGAATCGCCTTTTCTCGAGCATTTTCAACATCGAGAGCTGTGCGGAATCGTCGTGCGCGCTGCTGGTTCATCTTGGCTCTGGGGGCAACCCCATCAATGGCCATGAAGAAGAGCTTGTGTGGCTTGATCTTCCCAAAAAGATGCTCGATGTAGTTAAATATCGCAATGAACATCTGCTCCTCTGTCATACGGAATGTCGCATCGTCGGAGTCCTTGTGGGTGCAATTATGGATAATACCGTTCATATCCAACTAATAGAGCGTTAGTATATGACATAAACATGGTATTGTAGTCCTGCGCGCGGCAGGCAAAGTTCATACATAGAGATTATCGAATTCTGGAATGCGGTTTTCCGCGATGAGCTGAGAGATAGCTGGGTATCTCTCGCTCATCCAGCGGAAGAACTTTGGAACACCCATCGCAGCGGTCGCTGTATAGCCCTTCTATAAGTGCTGCAATTGTATCAACGTGGCCAGGCGTGTAGTGGTTGTGATCTGAAATCGAATTTGAGCGTAGGCTGTGCTAAAAGAGGCGATAACAGATGTAAGGACTGTTATATAAACCGATCAAAAGCCTGTAACTCCTAGAGAAACCGAAAAGTCGAATAAAATGACTGCGTATGTGGAGATATTGCCGGTTGTCTGGAGGAAGCCTATGACTCTGGCATTGATCGTTATGACTCTGGATCTTGACGTTTGAGTTCGTCAGGTTGAGCCCCCTTCAGGTTAGCCTCGCGATAGGCTGACAATCCTTGGAAGGCCTTTAAGGTTGCCACTACCTAAACCCGCGCCTGGGACCGCCTCATGGACCACTTTAGACGCGCTTCACCCCAAAAGCGCGTCAACCTTCACCAAAGCTCTTTGTAACAAAGAACCCATTGCAACTACCCCTCTGTGATTCTGGGGACTGCCATACCCTTATCACACTCCACTCTTCATTGCGGTTATTTTATTCTATTTAACCTCAATCGCAGAGAGCGATAATCATGGCGCCCACAGCCGCAGCAGATGTGAAGGACGAGATGGACAGTAAGTCAATCGCAAACCCTGCCTTTCCATGACCTGGCGGACCTGTCTGTTAGAATTCAAGCGGAATGTGGGCAATGAAAGTAACTTCAGCTTACCCATGTTATAGTCGCCGAGAGAGAGGTCCAGGACGCAGATACCGAGGCTAAGATTATCAACGAAGGTAAACGGCGCCCAAGGTGACGATGGGGCATTGCCTTGCTGACAGGCGCAAAAGAATATAAAACATGGAAGAAAAATAGCCCATTTTTATATGATATGATCCTGAGGTATGCGACTGAGGCAACCCCATTATAAGAACGTAACTAAAAGTGATTAGCACCGCCCTGGAATGGCCGACGTTGACAACTCAATGGTTCCCAGACGTCAAATCGTTTGTCTCTCTCTTCTACCCATTTAACAGTACCTTCTAACCCTTCAGACTCCCTGACAAGAACTATACTACCCACCGCCTGCTCATCGGCACCCACACATCAAACGATGCGACAAACTACCTCCAAATCGCCAATGTCGAGCTCCCAAAGAATATCACCCCGAACGAGCGTGACTATGACGATGAGAAGGGAGAGATTGGAGGATATGGGAACTCATCGTCTGGCGAGTCGCCTGCCATCAAGATGACGATCGAGCAGAAGATCGACCACCCTGGAGAGGTCAATAAAGCGAGATACCAGCCTCAAAACCCAAATATTATTGCAACAATGTGCATCGACGGCAAAGTCTTGGTTTTTGATAGAACTAAGCACAGCAGCCTGCCAACCGGCACTGTGACGCCCCAGGCGGAGCTGAGGGGCCACACCAAAGAAGGCTTTGGCCTGTGCTGGAACCCCCATGAGAAGGGGCAGTTGGCGACCGGTAGCGAAGATAAAACTGTCAGGTTATGGTAAGAAGTCTTTCTACTACAGCTGTACACCATCTGACTCTCTAGGGATCTGAAATCTGTCACAGCGACCAGCAACATTGTTAAGCCCTCAAGGACCTACACTCACCACGCAGCTATCGTTAATGATGTTCAATACCACCCCATCCACAAGGCAATAATCGGAACGGTCTCGGACGATCTGACTCTCCAGATCCTGGATACCCGTGAATCGGATACGACGAGGTCATCACTCCAAGGCACAGGCCACACCGACGCCATCAACGCGATCGCCTTTGGCCCTGGTTCTGACCACATTGTTGCCACCGGTTCGTCCGACAAGACGATCGGCATCTGGGATCTTCGCAACTTGAACAACATGATCCACTCCCTCGAGGGTCACAACGACCAAGTTACATCTTTGGCTTGGCACCCATTCGAGGAAGCTATTCTCGGCAGTGGCAGTTACGATCGTCGTGTAATTTTCTGGGATCTGAGCCGCGTTGGGGAGGAGCAACTGCCAGATGATATTGAGGACGGCGTGCCGGAGCTGTTAGTTGAACCCTGACATATTACCCCTTTTACATCACGTGGTCTCGGACGTACTAACACAATATAGTCTATTCATGCACGGGGGGCACACCAACCATCTTGCTGACTTCTCATGGAACCAGAACGAGCCCTGGGTTGTCTGCAGTGCTGCGGAAGACAACTTGATCCAGATCTGGAAAGTTTCAGAAGCTATTGTCGGCAAGGACCTTGAAGATGTGCCAGTCGATGAAGTCGAGCGCTAGGTGCGTGGCACTGAAGGAGAGAGAATTATGTATGAATGTATGGAGATGACAGCCACCAAATGGGAGATATCCAAGTGAATATCATGGGACAAAATGAGTTTAAGGAGTTATTTGCATAGCATGCCACTTGTCTAGCGTATACAGATACGTACGATGCACAATGAGGATTTTGTGGTGATTTACTTTCAACGGAAGGACTCTGCTGCTGTGGCAACAATTTCATTATTCTGTCTTGCGATCTTGTGATTGTGATCCCTATTGGTCTCCTCCAGTGAGGTGCTTCCCATTTTATGAATGACATGAAGGTCTCAGCTGTTAATTAATATCCCAATTACGCCGAAAACGTGGAGACCTACATTGGTCACCTCCACAGCCGCAACAAATATTTGCTCACGGCGTTGTTGAATAACGGACAAATGTATGTCCTGAGATGAGCTGTTGAATAATTGACGAATAGTATCCTGAGGATGAGCTGCGAAAGGGCAGAGTGAGTAGTTGCAATTATAAGGTGGGAGATATGAAAGGTAGATAAAGACGAAGAGAGAAGGGAGGTTATACTGCCATTGTTCTATGAAAGAATTACCGAAAATGGGCTAATTCACTGTTGTGTATGGCAATATAAGGTATTTTCATAATCTCACCTTCGTCAGACTACTTTATTCCACGCAACGTTACAGCTCTCCATCTCAAGGATACCACACTTGGATTCTTATATTTCAAGAAGAGAGGGATCTGTAGAACACCCACGATGTCTTCGAACGTGAACAACAATACAGACTTCTTTGGCTTCACTGATCCGGTCGAAGATGGAAACAGTCCACATTCAAATGGCCAAGGATTCACGAACACAAATTCAAATTCAAACCCAAATCCGAACCACAATACAGCTCATGGCCCCGTCTTCTTTGGACCACCTCCTCCGCCGAGCCACGTCTTTCACAACAACGATGCAACCACAGCTCCGTCTATTTTCGGGCAATATGGCCAAGCTTTCCAGAGCGGGAACATACCTGCTGCCCCCTCATACTTTGGGCCACCTGCTATACCACAGACACCTACCTTTCCGTCGAACCCAGGCCATGGTCCAGTCTCTCTCGGCCAGTTTGGCCACAATTTTAATAGCGGGAACAACTATCTCACTGCCTCATACCTAGAGACACCCTCCTTACCAGCATCAGCCACCTTTGCTCCGACTCCAGGTCCTTCTCAAACCCACTTTGGGCAAGCTGGACCAACATTGCAGAGCGGGAACATGACTATATCCCCCTCATACGACTACATCGAATCACCGGAATTTGAATCACCACCCACCTTCCCTGCTCAAGTCTTCTTCGGCCCACCGCCTCCACCACCCCTACCCGCCATGAACACCCTTCCACAGCATAACCTGGTCAATAATCCTCAACCTCCTTCCATAGGCGAATTTGCCCATGTGAACCACTGGGCTCTACCTCATTTGGTCATCGGAAGCCAGAATGCCCCCGCGCAAGGTCCCCAACATGCCCCTAACCCAGTCGAGGGGTTCGGCGGGCTAAACATCCAAGGTGCCTCCGTGCAGCCTGAGGATGAGAGCGAAGATGAAGACATGGACATGGACCCCTCCGCCGAGGGCCTGGACTTCGGCAACTCCGACGAAGACTACAGCGAGGACTCCGACTTCGAATACGACTACGTCGACGAGAACGACAATCCCGTACCTGCTTCCAAACTACCCAAAAACGCCGCAATGAAAGCCATGATGACCTCCAACCGCGTGCGCGACGCCGCAATGCCCGACACCGACGCCGGCGACCTCGACCACGACGACGACTTCCCCGAGATCGAGGAGATCGAACACGCCGACGACGAAGAGGACTCAGACTGGGAAGACGATCCAACCGGGTACCAAGACCCCGCCGACCCCCGCGCCGCCGCCTTCTCCGGGCCCTCAACAAGCACCGCTCACCCCGTACCCGCCACCGTCCCCTCCTTCACAAGCATAACCACCAACCCCCTCACATCCCTCGGCATCCTCCCCACCACCACCCAACTAACCCAAAGCCTCAAGCGCGCCCGCTCCCCGTCCCCCACCCCCTCCTTCGAACAATCACCAGCACCAACCTCTCCCCTCCTCTCCACCAAGAAACCCCGTCTCACCCCATCGACACACTCCCCCCTCGAAGCCCTCGCCAGCCACCCCGAACTCTACTTCGAGCTCTGCGCCCACCTCCTCCCCTCCTCCCTCCTAACCCTCTACGCCACCTCCCGCCTCTTCCACGCAACGCTCAATACGCACCTCACGCACGCTCTCAAGACGTGCGCGCGCGCCTTCGCCCCTCTCGCGGGAAGGATCTGCAGACACGGGATGTACGACTCTCTCTGCATCTTCGACCCGTCCGGGCGACGCGAGCTTACGAACTGGGCGCTGGTGCGGCGGGTTCCCAGTTTCCGGTGGTTGGCGATGGTGGTTCATCGGGAGAGGTGTGTGAGGGATATCCTTGCCTGTCTAGCGCGGGAAGGTCATAGGCTGCCGAAGAGCATGGGGGAGACGCTGGTGAAGACTTGGGTGGTGATGGATGTTGCCACGACGGCGGGGAGGATTTGTCTAGTCCATAATGAGACGTGGTGGACTGATGTGGATTGCTGGAATGTGCAGGCGTGGGTGCTCAAGCTGGGAATGCGGTTTAACGAGCCGATGACGGGGATTGGGGATGATGGGCTTGTGAGGGTGATGTTGGGACAGCGCGGGTTGACGCCGTTGTGGCGGTTGTTGATGCGTAGGGGGTTTACGACAGCAGTAGAGGTATTGCGCGCCGCAGTGCGGTACTGTTATGAAGTCAGGCCCGAAAACTGCGGGATGTCTATCTTCGGGGTCCCTCCCGCGGAGATCGGGCAACTGCACCTCGAAGGGTGGGGAGCGGGAAAGATCCATCTGTTTAGGATTGATGAGCTGGTGATGAGGGAGTCGGTGAGGAGGAGGTTGAGGCTGGATGATCATCTGCTTTATATGATGTTATGGGGTCATGTGGATCCGGTTACGGGGAGGGATATTAGGCCGACTGATGAGGAGATGTATATGAGTGATACCGAGGACGAGGATAGGGCGATTGGGGCGAGGATTAGGGCGGAACAGAAGAAGGAGAGTGCGGAGAGGAAGGCGGAGAGGGCGAGGATGAGGAGGGAGAGGGCGAAGGTTGGGTTTGGGGGTGGGGATACGGAGATGGGAGAAGAAGGCGACGAGGAGGGTGGGAGCTGCAGGATGGATAAGGGAAAGGGAAGGGAGATGCCAGAAGTCGAATCCGACACCACGGATTACTCAACCGACCTCGAAGACAACGTAGATGAGTGGCGCGGAATCGAGATTGACGACGAGACGGCCTGGGAGACGGAGGATGAGGACATGGCGGAGGCAAGTCTGTTTAATGATCTGCGCGATGCGGGGGCGGTGGGACCGAGTGGGTGGAGGAGGAAGAGGGGGTCGGAGAGTGAGAGTGAGAGTTCGGGGGATGAGGGGGATGATGAGGAGGATGGGGATGGGGGTGATGATTGGGATGATTAGGTGGTGTAGGATAGTCTGTCAGTTAGTTAGTCACGCACAATCAATACACCCCTCATCATAAGAATCGCATACATTTCCTTTCCTGTCCGTTTAAATCCTACACCCCCCGTCCACCCCCCCCTTTCCCCCCCTTCCCACCCCATCCACCAAACCCCACATCTAAACCTTCTCCCCCCCCTTCTCCCTCACAGCCGGTAAATCAAACTCCCCACTCTGCCCCCCCCTCATCGGCTTCCACAGCCCCACCTCCCCCTCCGTATCCCACGCCAGCGCGCCGACCCACGGCTGCACGTTGTAGCGCACGCGCAGGGTGACGCCGCGGGCCTGCGCGACCCTGCCGGTGGGGGCGGTGATTTGGTATTTTGGTTTTTGGTTGCGCAGCTTGATGATGCCTCTGTTTGGGTATTAGCACTCGATCCCCAACCCCCTCTCTCACGGTGTGTGTTCACACAGGCACGCGCTGGCTGCTTCCGCCACATCCAGCTCCATGAGCAAAGTGCACCCGTCCACCCAAGGCAGAGAGGGATGTAGGAAAACACGTACCGTCCCGCATCAACGCTCTTCCCCCTCCCACTCTCCACTAGCTTCCGCTTCGCCAACTTCCCTAGGTTCGCCAAATGATCCGCGCTAGGGCTCGTGATGATCGTATCCCAAATGACCGCCTCGTTCGGTGCCGCCACCGCGCCGCCCGCCGTCTCGTTCCACGCAGCGGTCACGTAGACGAATACTTGTTTCGTGTTCCACGTGAACAGACTGGAGAGGTCGGCCGAGAGATCAAACCGGATGCTGGCGTGTTCTTCTTTCTTCGTACTATAATAGTGTGGTCGTCCCTTGGTGCTATCACCGTCATTATTAGCTATCTCTTCTTCTTCGTCAATCAGACACTTGGCCCCCGCAGCGAGCCACCAGCCACCCATCCAGACATCCAGCCGCTCCCACAGTTCGGCAACACGCAGGGAGATAGTAGGAAAGAAGGACATACACCCTAATCCCCCCACTCCCAACCTTAACCTCCGCCCCCGGCGTCCGAGCAACGAGGTAATCACTCCCCGCCACGAAGAGCGCCACGACGAATGCGACGGTCGTGAAAAACCCAAACGCGTTCTGCGCGCGCGTTATGGAGGTATGCATCCTTGCCCCTTCTTCTGTCCTTCCCTTTCCCTTCGGCCTTGTGGAATGGAGTGTGTGTGTGTCGTGCTGTGCGGCGGCGCACCTGTGCGATTCTGGTCGTCGCGGAAAGGTTTGGTTTGGCGTGTCTTGTAGATTCCCTCGGTGGTGGTGGTGGTGATGGTGGTTATGATCGAGAAAAAGAGAAGGTACGCTCGTAAGAGGAGGTGAGGGAGAGAGGGTGGAGAGAGCTAACAATTACTATCCCCCGTGTCGTGTTGTGCTGTTGTGCAGTTCAACCGGAGTGAGTGATACCACCACAGCTATATTTCTTAGAGCCACATCGCGCGATCTAATCGCCGCCGCCGTGTCGCGTCTGGGGTTTCTCAACCCCAGGGGTCCGTCAGTTGGTGTCGGCGCGGGTGGCACCACGATTGTTGGTTGGTTGGGTGGTGCGCCACAGTTGTGTACGCCACAGTTGTGTACGCCACAGATATCGAAGTTTAATAAGTTACGGATTGACGGAATTGGAATAGGAGGGGGTCAGTAGGGTAGGGAGAAAGTACACAGTGTGACTGGAAATAGTTTGAAGTTGATGAGTCCCTTCATATTATTGTAGCAAAAAGTTCCCCCTCTCTCCCCCTATGATATGAACCACAACCTTAAACCGCCCCGCCCCCCCGCCCCCCCCCCCCAAAAGTTGCGTCTATAATTACACCCAACCCTACTACTATGCTCCTAGTCACCGGATTGTAAGAGAGGTTGCAGAGGAAGTGCGCTCAAACAAGTGCCGGGTCTTCTAGGTGATATGAAGACAGCCTCGCCCATCCTCACCACCACCATCACCACCACAAACAAAACACAAAAGTCTCAGCAAAAGAAATCACTACCGCAAACACATCAAATTGGCAAAGAAATAAAACAAACAAGACCCTCCCCCACCCCACCGCCTATCCCCCCATCCCATCCCAAAATCCAAATATCAACCCCCCCATCCCCCGTTGAATCAAATACGATCAGATCAGATCCCAACCCAACCCAACCCCCCAGCTCCAGCTCCCGCACCCTGCCATCCCATGCACAAACGCTTCCCCAGCCAGCCAGCGCCCCCCAAAGAACCCATCCCCCCGCGCCATGCAACTTTTTGTTTTTACGTGTTCCGACACTCCCAACCCCATCCCATCCCAACCCAACCCCATCCCATCCCAACCCCATCCCATCCCAACCCCATCCCATCCCAACCCCATCCCATCCCAACCCCATCCCATCCCATCCCACCCCACAGCTTTTTACCAACACCCCCATCCCCTCGAACTACCCGCTCCCGCGCACACCCGCCGGTGACCCGAAAAACGTCCCATCCCATGTTGCTAATATTCTACCCCCCCATCACCGCAGCCCAAGACACGCAAAGCCCCATCCCGCACCGAACCGAACCGAACTGAAGCAGAACCCGAACCCGCCCGCTTCCCAGATATCAGATCAAGATCGCTATGCACGCGCCAGACCAGAGCAACAGACCAGATCAGACCGACACCCCCACCCACCAACGCGCATTTGTCCGCAACCTAACGCGCAGCCTAACCGTACCGACAACCCCCCAACCCCGACACCCGCCACCAAAGCCAAATTGAAAAAAAGAAGAAGGTTTGAAAAAAGAGAAGAAAAACTGAGGAAACTTGAGAAACTTTAATGAAGAAGAAACTGGTGGAAATGCGTTCGTATGTGTTGGAAAGACGCGGATGGGGATGTAGAGGCCGCTTCCAACTCCTTGAATGGGATGGAGACAGCGCGTTGCAAAGGCCGGGAGGTTGAGTAGGTAGTAGAGCACCAGCGACCCCCCTCGTCGTATGTATTCCAAAAAAAATCTCGAACGATAAAAATGTTGCTTCGTCCAAAATATTCACCACCACTTAACAACCCCCACCCCCCCCCCCCCGACACCGACACCCACACACCCTCTCACCACCCTAAGCAGGCGACTTATTCGGCACCGCCGCCGCCCCATTCTGTCTCACATCCCCACTCATCGCCAGCCCACTAATCCCCGACGACAGAAACGCAAACGGATCGCTCTCCCCCTGCTGCTGCTGTTGCTGGTAGAAGTTCCCCCCACCGCCCGCCGGTCCATTTGTAGCGCTCTGGAACGCAGCCTCCGCCGCGCGACTATCGAATGGGCCAGCAGAGTGCGCGCCACCACCGCCGCCACCGCCGTAGTGCGAGTTCAAGCCCTGGTATGGGCCGGTCGCCGCACCCAGGCCGGAGGGGAGTGCGTACGTGCTCTGTGGGCCGGGGAAATGCTGGCCGTAGCCCGCGCTGGAGGGAAAGCCACCAGCAGACGAAGCGAAGGGTCCTGGGCCGGGGGTACCGGACATGCTATGCGAGTTCATGTTGTACCCCGACGGCGCCTCCATAGGGGACGGGTATCCGGAGTCCGCGACGACGACAGCGCCAGCGCGCGAGGCGCCGCAGCGGAGACAACTCACGTTCTTGGCGAAGTTGTGGTATCCGCAGCCCTCGGAGCCGCACTTCCAGTCCCCAGCGCGGAAAGGAACGACGCCGCCGCCACCACCACCACCCATGCGGCCGCCGCCATGGCCGCCGCCACCGCCCATGCCGCCACCGCCCATGCCGACACCGCCCATGCCGCCATGGTGACCCATGTGCTGCTGCGGGGGCATCATGGCCGCGGGTCCGTAGCCGTAGCCGCCGCCTCCGTAGCCACCCATCGCGTCGCCGCTCGGTCCGGCGCCCATGGCTGGGAAGGAGCAGCGGAAGCATGCGGTGCGGCGCTGGAAGTTGGAGAAGCCGCAGGATGGGCAGGTCCAGTCTCCTGGGCGGGGGCGGTTCTTGCTGGGCGGGAAGGGGGTGAGGATCTCGGCGGCGCGGTCGAGGACGCGGCTGGAGGAGGGGGAGACCTCGATTGCCTTCTCGTTGAGGGCGCGGCCGTTCATGCAGAGGGATTCGGCGGCCTGGAAGTCCATTAGATTGTGTCCGCGAATGTGGAAGAATTTGACCAGCCGCGGGATGGGGAGTTTGATCAGCTGGTCATAGAGCAGGAGCACGTATGCCAAGGGGCCTCCACAGACGACTATCTGGTAGGTCTCGCACAGCTTGCAGTAGAGGTAGAGATTGGAGAAGGGGAGCGTGCTAACCTCTTCGTGGGACGAGAAGACGGCGAAGCCGGAGCCCGTGGGCTTGTGCTGGTCAGGAGTGCGCAGCGTCCAGAAGGCAATCGGGCGGCCGCCGAATTGCGTGAACCAGCTCTCGAGCTCCGACTGCGTGGTGTCGTGGGGCAGGCCAGCCATGTGCAGGACCTTGCTGCGCTCCGACAGGAAAGCCCGCACGTCAGCACGAGCGTCCATGGGACGGGTGAGCACGTCGGGGTGTTCGTGGGCCGGCTGGGACTTGTTGATCAGCCCACGGAGGACACGCGCGAGGGTGACGGCCTCCTCCATGGCGCGGCGGGGAGAAGCGGGTGCCAGGGCCTGCAGGTGGAACGGCAGGTTGTGCTTGATGGGCGCGCTGGCGGCGACGGGCTCAACCTCGAGCGCGGCGCAGATGTTGGAGAGCATGGATGGCCCGAACGGGAGGGATTCGGGGTGGTGTTGCTGCCATCGCTGGTACTCGGTGCGGAGGTCGAATGTGCGGGAATGTTGGAGGTACGGCGGCAGGACGACGGCCTTGTCGCGGGCCTCACGGGGAAGCTGGACGCGGAGGTCCCACGAGTCGAGGGTGACGAACGAGAAATCGAGGTTCTTGGAGGTCAAGTGCTCGGAGGCGAATGCATCGAAGCGGGTGATCGCATCGCGGAAAGTGCCTGCATTGCGGACGTGCTCCCACGTCAATGTTGTCAGGCTGGCTAGAGGAGGAAGAAGTGTTAGCTATATTCCGGCCAGGCCATTGTAAAAGAGGTTCAATTTCGATCAAGGGGTAGCTCTTCCCAACTTACTGCAGAGGGGGGTGATCGGGGTGTTGATCGGCTTGACGAGCACACTCTCGCGGTATAGCTGTTCACCCCCAAAAAAATCCCAGTCAGTGTCTCAGTCCTCACAAATAAAATATTATATATGGGAGTCGAGCGTCAATTTCGGCGTACCTCGTCGCAGTTCTTGGCATCCAGGAGAATCCAACCCAGCTCAATGACCTCGGCCGAGTCCTTGGTAACGTATACGCCGTGCTCATCGCAGGTTGTTGCAACGTGGACGACGACGTATCTGTCGAGGTTCCCCTGCTGGGGAGTAGGCAGAGCTATGGACATCTTTTATGGTTGTAAAACTGCTCGGGGGGGAAAGGATGTCGAGTTAGCAATCTGGGGTCTGGGTATGAATATAGAGCAGCAGCCAGAGGACGGACACACGGGGGGGGGTGGGATTGACGAGGTTCACTAACCAGTGATTTCTTTCCTGGCGTCGAGAAGAACCAAACGTTTTCCAAGGGTTCGGTGTATAAGATGCCCGAGAGCGACCTTTCTTTCTCGTAAAGGGGAAAAGGGAAGTAACAATGCCAAACGCTGTTCACTATAGAATTGATAGCAGCGGGAGATGCGCAGGAGAGGGAGGAGGAAGGAGGAAGGAGGAAGGAGGGAGAAAGAGGTAAGAGGTAAGAGGTGTGAGGTATGAGGACTGGGAGGAAAGTCGTCTGGGGGTTGTAAGGGAGAAGGGAGAAGGGAGAAGGGAGAAGGGAGAAGGGGGAGGGGGAGGGGGGGAGGCGGAGAGGGTGGAGAAGAGGTCCGTCGAAGATGTTTAAAAAGAAATTTGAGGCCGTCGTTGGTGGGTTATTGGGGTGACCGTAGTAGGAGTAAGTTATGTAGGAGTATGTGGGTGGGTGGGTGGGAGGGAGGGAGGGATAGGTGGGAGAGGTAGGTGTATGTAGGGTAGGGTAGGGTGGGGTAGGATGGGGTAGGATGGTAGGGTAGGTAGGGTATAGGGTAGGTTAGGGTAGGTAGGGTAGGGTAGGTAGGGTAGGTAGGGTAGGTAGGGTAGGTAGGGTAGGTAGGGTAGGTAGGGTATAGGGTAGGTTAGGGTAGGTAGGGTAAGTTAGGTGGGGTAGGTAGGGTAGGTAGGGTAAGTTAGGTGGGGTAGGTAGGGTAGGTAGGGTAAGTTAGGTAGGGTAGGTAGGGTAGGTAGGGTAGGTAGGGTAAGTTAGGTAGGGTAGGTAGGGTATAGGGTAGGTAGGGTAGGATAGCTGGGTTAGCGTAGGTAGGGTAGGATAGGTGGGTTAGCGTAGGATAGTAGGGTACTCGAGTAGCTAGAGGGAAAGGTGTATGGGAGGGTACATACGAAGGAGCGATAGGAGGGGATATCCGTAGTCAGTACCACTCATCAGTACTACCACTAGTTACCACCACTACCACCACTACAACTACCACCACTACCACTACCACCACTCACCACCACCACTAGTTACCACTACTCACCACCACTACCACTACCACCACTACCACTACCACCACTACCACTACCACCACCACTACTCACCACCACTACCACCACTACCACTACCACCACTACCACTACCACCACCACTACTCACCACCACTACCACTAAGTTACAACTAACTGCCACTACTCACCACCACCACCACCACCACCACCACCACTAACTACCACTACCACCACCACTAGTTACCACCACTACCACCACTACCACTACCACCACCACCACTACCACTACCACCACGGCAGACACCCTTCTATAATTCACATCTCATCATTCACATCTCATCATTCACATCTCATCATTCACATCTCATCATTCACATCTCATCATTCACATCTCATCATTCACATCTCATCATTCATACCCACTATCCACAAACACGCTGGATATTCTGGCCTGCTTTAAAAACACACAACCGCCGAACCCACCCAACCCGCTTCGCTACCAAACCAACTGACTGGGGGGTGGCCCTTGGAGCTCCAACGCCAACGCCAACTCCAACACCAACGCCAACGCCAACGCCAACGCAACGCCAACGCCAACTCCAACGCCAACGCCAACGCCAACGCCAACGCCATCCCAACGTCACACTGGCCCTACTATCCTACCTACTGAACCATACTATCTATACTACTTACTACCTCTCTCCTCCCCTTCGCTCGCTATCAATCGATAACGAAGCCCACCATGACCACCACCAACAGAGATGTCCGCAACCACTTTCTCTTCGAGATCGCCACCGAGGTTGCCAATCGAGGCATGGCCACTCCCTCGCTCTCTCGGGCAGCTTCACATACTAATGAATCCTAGTCGGCGGTATCTACTCGGTCCTCAAATCCAAAGCCCCCGTCACCACCGCCGAGTATGGCGACCGCTACACCCTGATCGGTCCGCTGAACAGGCAGTCGGTGAGCACTCCCCCGAGCTCCCGCAACCCAATTCATTGTGTGGGGGGATTGTAGCTAACAGATGCAGGCCGCCGTCGAGGTCGAGGCGCTGACGCCCACGAACCCCCAGCTCGCTGCCACCATCGCTGCTATGGAGGAGCGTGGCATCAGCATTGTCTATGGGCGGTGGTTGATTGAGGGTGCCCCCCGCGTCCTGCTGATCGATACGAAGACCGCATACAAGTTCCTGGACGAGTGGAAGGCGGACCTGTGGAACACGGCGAGCATCCCGTCGCCGCCAGGTGACGACGAGACCAACGAGGCGGTGGTCTTTGGATACCTCGTCGCCTGGTTCCTGGGAGAGGTGAGGATAGCTGGCTGCACTCTCTGCGGACATTCACACTGACACCACCCCAGTTCGTCGCCCACGAGAAGGAAAGGGCCGTCGTCGCCCACTTCCACGAGTGGCTCTCCGGTGTCGCCCTCCCCCTCTGCAAGAAGCGCCGCATCGACGTGACGACCATCTTCACGACCCACGCAACGCTCCTCGGCCGCTACCTCTGCGCCGGCTCCGTCGACTTCTACAACAACCTGCAGTACTTCGACGTCGACGCCGAGGCCGGCAAGCGCGGCATCTACCACCGCTACTGCATCGAGCGCGCCGCCACGCACTCCTGCGACGTCTTCACGACCGTCTCGCACATCACCGCCTACGAGAGCGAGCACCTCCTCAAGCGCAAGCCCGACGGCGTGCTGCCCAACGGGCTCAACGTCACGAAATTCAGCGCCATGCACGAGTTCCAGAACCTGCACCAGCAGTCCAAGGAGAAGATCCACGACTTCGTGCGCGGGCATTTCTATGGGCACAATGATTTCGACCCGGATAACACCTTGTACTTCTTCACCGCCGGCCGCTACGAGTACAGGAATAAGGGCTGCGACATGTTCATCGAGTCTCTCGCGCGCCTGAACCACCGCCTTAAGGCCTCGGGATCGAAAATGACAGTCGTAGCTTTCATCATCATGCCCGCACAGACCCAATCCCTCACCGTCGAGGCCCTCAAGGGACAGGCGGTCATCAAATCCCTCCGCGACACCGTCGACGTCATCGAGCGCGGCGTCGGCAAGCGCATCTTCGAGCGCGCACTGAAGTGGCACGACGGCGACCCAATGCCGGATTCCAAGGACCTCATCACGGCACAAGACCGCATCCTCCTCCGCCGCCGCTTGTTCGCGATGAAGCGCCATGGTTTGCCGCCGATTGTGACGCATAATATGGCGAATGATGCCGAGGATCCGATTCTGAACCAGATCCGTCGCGTGCAGCTGTTCAACCACCCCTCGGACCGCGTTAAGATCGTGTTCCACCCCGAGTTCCTCAACTCCGCTAACCCGGTGCTGCCGCTCGACTACGACGAGTTCGTGCGCGGAACGCACCTGGGTGTTTTCCCATCCTACTACGAGCCGTGGGGCTACACACCCGCGGAATGCACGGTCATGGGCGTCCCATCCATCACCACCAACCTCTCGGGCTTCGGCTGCTACATGGAAGAGCTCATCGAGAACTCCACCGACTACGGCATCTACATTGTCGACCGCCGCACCAAAGGCGTCGACGACTCCGTCAACCAGCTCACCCACTTCATGGCCGAATTCGCCGCCAAATCCCGCCGCCAGCGCATCAACCAACGTAACCGAACCGAGCGCCTGAGCGATCTGCTGGATTGGAAGAGGATGGGGATGGAGTACGTCAAGGCGCGCCAGCTTGCGCTGCGTAGAGCGTACCCGGCCAGCTTTGAGGGCGAGGAGGGCGAGGGGGATGTCTTTGCGGGGAGTGACGTGAAGATCTCGCGCCCGTTTTCGGTGCCGGGGAGTCCGAGGGATCGGTCGGGGGTGATGACGCCGGGGGATTTTGGGAGTCTGCAGGAGGGGAGGGAGGGGTTGAGTACGGAGGATTATATTGCGTGGAAGTTGCCGTGAGTCTTTTTTCCCCCTCCATTTCTTACCCTTTTGCCTGTTCTTCCTTCCGTTCCCCCTTTTTTTGGGGGCAGGGGAGGGAGGTTTGGGGGGGGGGGTTATGTGGTGTGTGGATGAATGAAAGCTAACGAAATAACCAGAGAAGAGGAAGACCCAGATGAGTACCCATTCCCCCTCACCCTCCGCAACCGCCGCCCATCGGGAAGCGCACTCGACCCCATGAGTGGGGGACCCACCAGCCCTGCGGAGCTGGGGAAGGAGAACGGGGAGGGTAAGGCGAAGGCGCAGGCGTCGTCGTAGACGAAACCGTTTGATGGAGTCGTCGATGAAGCCGTAGACGAGGAACCGGCTTGCCTTGGCTCGTCTGCTGGGTGATATATATATATATTTTTTTGGTGCAAGTTGAAGAGGAGGCTGGAGGAGGTAATTAAGACGAGGAGGAGGAGATTTCAAAAATGTTTTGCATGAGGACAGAAAGGGGGGGGGTGCGTGGTTGAGCTTGTTGGTGGATGACGGGGGGTGGCATTTGTGCGCGCGCTGAGCTTCTGAGTGACTGGGAGGGGGGGAAGGGAGGAAGCTTTTTTTTTTTTGTATAAACATGAAGACGCATTTATGGCATTGCATGCATGCATGGATATTAATCCGGTCCTGACATCTGTTTCTACTGAGCGTGTGTGTAAAATATGTGATCGCAGAGGACAAGCCAGTCCACCCACCCGTCCGTCCGAGTCCTAAATCCCAGACAGACTAAAACAACACCCGCCGTATCATACCACTATACTTGTCTCATATAAAATTTATATGGGGGGGTATATCGCCGCCGAGGTGTCTGACCTGCCATCCTAGGAGAAACGTATTTGTAGTACCCTAGTAAAAGCGCGACTACGTCATCACCCATTGACTGACGCGAGACCAGGCACACATGTGTGGGACGGTGGGATGGGGGGGCAGGCAAGCGCCTTCATTAGAGCAATTTAGCAACTGAATTACTAGTACTGTCGCACTTTAGCGTGTGACAGTAACCAGGGTCCCTGCCCCTCTATTCCCAAATCAGCGCTAGGCTCTCTAGGCTAAGAAATTGCCATATAGTAGAGTCCTACTAAGCCGATGGAATCTAGCCACTAGTTTGATATCGGCTTAATGAATATATCGCGCAACTGAATGCCTATATAATCCAACTATCTAGACTGCTTTGAACTCTGCCATTAACAGTCTGCTAAGCAGCCTATATTGAAGGTATAGGCTGCTCTAAGGTTGCTTCTTCTTCTTCTTAAATTTAAGCATCATTATATTAACTTAGATGACTTGATATAATATCTTGTAAAATCTCCTCCTCTGTTAGTGCCTCAGTATCATTGTTCTAGGCCTGTGTTTCCTCATTAGGATTTAAGAAATTGTGTAATGCCATTGCATCTTGTATATTTCCAGCTCTTGTAACGTTGTTATATAATTCGGATAGATTTGGAGGATTCATTGTGTCACACTGACATTCATTGCACTCAGTTTGCTATCAAACTCAAGAGCAAACTTAGAAATCTCCTCCTCAAACCTACAAGTCACCATACATATCTTGGCTTATCACACCAACAACAAGAGCAATACCACTCAATGATTGCTGCAAACTCTTCTACTACATCTGTTTATGCTACATACATCATGGCATATCATTTGGACACTCATTGAACAAGTTATTAAGAAAATCTCCTCCTTAAGGGGGTGGGCCAATACTACCACATGGCATATCTCTACCAACTAGAGGCCTAGGAACATGAACGATAGCTTTAGAAGCTTCTACAACCCTCTATGATTCATTACATGTCATCGCTCCTTAGTTACCCACAAGATTGGTTAAGTTATGACATAATTTGTCTATAGGTACTCTGACCTTGGACCTCCTTTTCACTTCCTATAGGCTAGAACCCAAGAGATGGTTCTATGGGATTCTCTTACATTCACTACATGATTAGCAAGCTAGTTGTGGGTCGCACTTGATTTCTAATACATTTACCAAGCCTGGTTAGTCATGGAAAGTCATGGAAAATGAGAGAACTACACTCCTTTGGCATAAATAGGATTGCCCTTTCCTTAAGAAAGGGCAAGCAGACAATACAGTAAATCGACTATGACATACTTCCACGTCTTTTACAAGCTTTCAAGCATTGATCTTGTTATTCTTTGTTTCTGAAAAGTCAGTGAGTCAGTGAGTGTAATTGTAAGGATGCCTGTCCCTCAGTGACGGAAAGGATCTGAGTCGGGCAGGTTACGGTCACATGATGAGGGTGAAGGCAGGTTAGCCGAGTCGGACCCGTTTAGGGTACTTAAGGAGATTGATCCAACGGGGGTTCCTCTCTTCATCTTTTTTGTATCCTTCGTAGTAGACCTATAGGATAGCATCCGTTTAGCCTCCGACTTGCACTCTCATATGCTATTACTGTGAGCTGGGTGCCCTGTGTCCCTACATTATACAAAAAAGATCATGCCTGCCGGGGACGGCCGTACTTAAATAATATCCCACACCGGAACGACTCAGGAGAACTACCGTTACACCATCGACTGCGACTCGGTGACGTTTCGGAGGAGAGACCTGACGACTTCAAATAGCCGTGATTCCAGAGATCTCACGGACAGCCAGTGGATCAGGGTTTGATTCTTCAGAACAAGCTGGTAAAGTCGCCGACGCGTTGGCGCCAAATAGGATACGAGATCCTTAAGAACCCCCTCCTAGCACAGAGGAAATTGTGGACAAGAGCGTTGATAGCTACGAGCTACCGGAAGTCAAGCTCTTTCATATCAGTACCGATACACACCCAAGGCAATATGTCGAAAAAGCTGACATCAAACATACCCCAAGACAACGACGGTCAACTGCCCAGAATGACTACCAGACAAACCACCACTGCAGCTATGACCGCTGTGCCATCTGAAGACATCCCGAGTCGAATGGCCCACCTTGAAGCACAGATACAGGAGGTCAAGGATCTACTAGTTATCCTGTCGGCATCCCAGACCAGAATCCCGTCCACACCGCCGGTGGACGCCCCCATACCCACAGTAGAAGTTACGGAGCAACGAACGCCTCGTACACGAAACACCCCCGAGACAGTTCAATTGCCGCCTCTTCGGAACACTCGTTCTCCCTCGATTCCAGGGTCATCACGAATGCACACCGAGGACCCTCCGAATCGCTATAAGAAATCAACCATCTCTGAGAAAATCCTTCCTCTCAGCGATGGGGTAGAACATACCTTCTTACAATGGAGCGCTTCGATTCGGGATCGACTCGTAGTCAATGAGGACCACTACCTTACCGACGTCTCGAGAAGCGTTGATATGGGGAACTACGACCGGCCTGGCGAAGACCTACCTAAAGCCCCAATACCTGTCCGCTACGCATGGGTTCCGCAGTGCTGAGGAGATGATGGATCTACTAGGTTCATACTACCTCACAGGCAACGAGACGGAACAGGCCAGGAACCTCTTCGACGACCTGCAAATGGGAGAGAAAGGGCATGCTAGCAAAACCTTCCCAGAGTTCAAGGCTCGTTTCCAAAGTGCAGCTATCACAGGACAAGTCTCCGAGTTGGAATGGTTTCGGTACATGTGGAACAAGTTGACTCCCCAATTCTGCAGCCGCGTCGCGATCATCAAAAACCAATGGAATGGAGACTACCAGACCATGGTATGAGAACTTACTGCCTTTGATCAGGAACGGCGCCGGAACAACGAATTGAATCCGCTACCCGCTCTCGCAAGGACGTCCACACGTACCACGGACACGACAAGGCGTCAGCGTCGAAGCTGACTCGAGCCACATCCGCTCTGTTCACCCGAACCGTGTTCCTCCCCAAGCCAGCCATACCGGAACGTGTGAGAACCGCAGTCCCTGCGTCCTCAGGAAACTGTTTCAAGTGTGGCAAGCCTGGCCATTTCCAGGACAAATGCCCCCTTAATGCTACTATCAAGGAAATTGACCGTAACGACCCCGAGGCAGAAGAACAATGGGAAGAAGCCATGGAACTTCAATCAGATGCGTCCCTCGAGGAAAATGATGAGGCCTAGGAGAAGGCTCCTTCCTAGGTCTATGCAAATGTGACCTGCGAGGACTAGACTTACGAGAACTCCTGGGAGGCACCCAGTTCTTAGTCGACACGACCCTGAGTATGAATGGACTCGGGGTGCAAACGAAGTCCCTAGCAGACACAGGAGCAAATGGCTACCTCGTCATTAACAAGCCTTTCGCAATACGACTGTCGAAAGCGCTTCAGAGCCCCATACAGAAACTACCCTACTCTGTACCCATACGTGGATTTCAGCGCAAAATCCAAGGCCACGTATCGGAGTATATTCGGTTACACTTAACAGTCGAAGGACGCTGAATATATAACTGCCCCTTTGTACTCCTGGACCTCGGAGCACAAGATGTGATAATTGGGAAGAAGCTTTTCAGCCGCTTCCGAATACTACTCGACTCTGCAAAGAGCCGGTTAGTATGGCCAAAGGAGTACCCGCTGACTCCTAGCTGGAGCAAGGAGATCACCTTGCCCTACCACTCACGCGAAACGTCCATTAAATATCCTGCATACCAGTCGGATGCGAATCGCCGGGATTCCGCAATCCACCGCGAAGACAGACGCCGCGCAGGCGGACGCTCGATGGAAATGAAAGTGATAATTTCTGACTACGAAGAGATCACTGATACACCATCGAACCCACTACGAAACCAGGAGGTTTCTCCCCCACCGCAGAAAACCCTAGTACATAGGTTTACGCCCATGCTCATCCAACAGAAACTCCCGCCTATGCACCAAAGCTATGCTGATGTCTTTTCGAAGTTGGAATCAGGTCGGATCCCTCCACACCGCATATACGCCATAAGATACAGCTCGAAGCTCCTTTACCAAATGCCTTCTCCCCGCTATACCAACAAGGCACTGAAGAGCTTAAGGCTACCAAGCAATACCTGCTGGAAAACCTGGAAAAGGGATTTATCGTCAACAGCAACAGCCCCTTTGCATCCCCTATCCTATTCGTAAAGAAAGCGGATGGCAAATTAAGATTTTGCATCGATTACCGGAAGTTAAATGGTTTCACCCGGAACGATCCCTACCCCATTCTGCATATCGACGAACTACTAGGACGGGTGTCGAAAGCCAAAATCTTCACGAAGCTAGATATTAGGCAGGCCTTCCATCGTATACGAATGCACCCCGACTCAGAAGAGTACACTACCTTTCAGACTCGCTATGGAACCTACAAATGCAAAGTGTTACCGTTTGGCCTGACGAACGGTCCCGCAACCTATCAGCGGTATATGAACGAATGCAATATTTGGACGACTTCTGTACTGCCTACCTAGACGACATCCTAATCTATTCCGAGTACCCTACGGAACACGTAGGCCATGTGCATAAGGTCCTACAGCATCTCCGAGAAGCTGGACTTCAAGCCGATATAAAGAAATGTGAATTCAACGTTACCTGGACGAAGTAC